GGGCGGCCACAACTAAAATGTTCGTCGATGGACAATTCGTCGAATCAAAAACTACAGAATGGATAGACTTGCACAACCCTGCCACCAACGAAGTAGTCACAAGGTAAACACAAATTATAATATTTAATTAAATCCTCATTGAAAATTATATTAGATCATGGGTCAAGTCTGCAGTTATTGAACTGGAAGATTGAGTATTATACATATATATTTCCATCAAACTACAACTGCTTAGAAGGTATTCAGTAGTAATTATAACTAAAATAATAAATAAAATTTTAAAATACTATTCATTGGTAAGAATCTTCTTAGTCCATGATAGTGGAAGATTGAGAATCGCTTGGTAATTTTGATGGATTTAATGGTTTTTGGAATTAAATTGAATAATATATTTTCTCATGAAAATAAGGCACTATTACGAATCCTTTTAAGAGACCTTACATAAAATACTGATTCGAAGGATATGGAAATTGGTTATGTTTTTATCCGCTAAATAGAAAATTAAAATAGCAGTGTAAAATCGTGATTTTTGCACGTCCAATAAGTAAACAACTTCTCACCAGGTGCAGGAAAATTTCAAATAATTTCTTAAATGCAATTGTTAATAAATTACAAACAATATAACTACTAATAATTGATATCAAGACGTTTTTGTTGATCTGGAAAAATAAGTTAAAAGTTTTTTAGATAATTTTGTCTTATTTAATTTATTATCTATACGGATAAATGGTTTGGGAATTCTTCCATGAATATAATCTTGAACGACTATAAGTTTTTTTTTTGAAAAATATTCAACCTTTTGGCAAAGAGACTACAGGTAGAATATTTTGCTAGACTTTATTTTCTCCTTCGAAGAATGACTAAATTGTCAAGGATAATTGCAGAAGGCAAATAAATATAAGGGCTGGAAATAATTACATTAATTACATTACATTTTGCAATAATTTTATGAGCATTGGATTCAAAAATTAGTTTTTTACCTAAAGTATCTAAGTTTTGCGTTATTATTTTTTATTTTATATAACCACATTATTTTTATTATTTATATGTATTTTTTTGCGTATAACACGTGTCTATCATCATTTGTTTGACTACTTAACACCAAAAATTGGAAGAGTAAATATTAATATGGAGTAAGTAATTCTAAATATAAATAGTACTTTTTGAATTTAGTTATACAATTATACCAAATTTTATTCATGTACTAATTGTTAATGTAATTATTGATATTACTATTAATTAGTAGCTCGATATTTAAAACAAAATTTTAAACAAGATTTTTTTTTTGGAAATAAGTGTCAACTGCAAATGATCATAGTAATTAAATACATCCTTTTGGATTTTGTTCATACAAAAAAAAAACAAATATGTGAATATTTTAATTTCGTACATTTTATTTAATTTTTTAATTTTTTTAACCACAGAATAGTTCAAGAGGACTTAAATATACATTCACATATAATTTAGATAAAATACAATATAGTATAATATATTATGCACTTAAAACAACACAAAATAGCATAAAACAAAATGTGACAATTTAATTACAAAACACAGAAAAAGATAAAATAATAAAACATATGTGAAAATAAATATAAAAGTTTACTTGAGCAGATGGATAGTAATACAAATTCGTTACAGTAATTACTTAAAATATACATAATATAAAAGGTAAATCAAATTGAATACATCATGGACAGAAAAAACTAAAAATAACTAATTGACCTTACATATTTTGGTGAAATTTTAATAAGTTTCTTCAAAATTTTATATTTCCAAAACTTTGTATTAGTTGTTTTTTTAACAACCATTTTTACGCATAACATTTTTTTTTCAAATATATATCATTATTGCAAATTAATAAACATTGTAATTTTATTTTAATTTTTGTAAAAGTTTGTTTTTCAAAGCGCCAAACATAAATTTAATACTTACAGTAGAAGTACTAAAGAAAAATAAAATTTTGTTCTGTTTTTCACGATTTTGGTTATCATTTTCGTCCAACATTTTCAAATAATAATCGAAAATTTCAACAACTTTTGGAAGTTCTGCATTTTTGCAAAAAAGGGAACAAAATACTCTGAAATGCAACTATTTTTTTTTTGAAAAATATAAATATAGTACTCAAAACATGTTCTGGTATTTGTCAAATTAATGACTCAATGTCTTCTATATAGACAGATTATAATTTATAAAAAATAAAAAAGAAGTTCTGGTACAACAAATAAATTCTGGTACTCGATAAATAAAACTATAAGCCATCTCCATTAATTAACCTAGGTTTTTATGATTTTTTCCATAATTTATTTAGAAAATAATAATATAATTAGTTTATATAGATATACAAAATTCTAATTGCTTACATTTCCTTTGTGTAATACAAATAAATAAACCTTTTCAAACAAAAAAACTCTGAAATGCATAGCATGATTCCCATAATATTTATGAAATTATAAATTCAAACACATCGTATAATTTATTATTTCCAATAAATTTTATATTAAATTTATATATATATATATATATATATATATATATATATTTAACATTTATATAAGAAATCCAGTCAACGTAGTACTCAATTGAATACTAAAAGACTTAGTATAAAATACTTCTTATTACACAGCTTTTTCCAAATTCTGCTTACTCACCTCTTCCCAGCGCTCCCTCTAAAACATATTTGTGTAAGATAAGAATATTTACCTGTGGGATAAAATTACAAAAGGTGTTCACGTTCTGTTGGACTTTGCAAGGAGAGGGAATTATAAAATACCGGTTTCAAGTACAACCTTTGCATTCTTTTATATCATTTGGACTGTAACTTTTGAAGGAAATACATCGTAAAATGTTTAGAAGTTAAATTTAGATAATTTTTTTGTGAATTTTTGAATATTATAAATAAATAACAAAACTGTGAACATCTCTCTTGTCTTCTGTAAAAATGGGTGTGATTAAGGTAAGAAATATATAAGCTAATAATTATAGATAATGTATATTTTTAATATTATTTATATAGTTTTGTTGATATATATATATATATATATATATATATATATAATTAAATATTAATTATATAAAATATAATTTTATATTTGGATACTATTTAGCTATTTAGCATTTCCTATGCTGACGTGTCAATAAAATTAAATAGGTGTTAATTTTTCGTTTTTTTTTGTTTTTAGTGTTGCAAATTTTAAAAAATTTATTATATTATTTATTGTAATAAATTCTTGGGAGCTTTTTAAAAATTTAATTCATTATTTAATTATATAGCAGTAAGAGTCTTAATTGTTAAATATATAAATTGAAAGGTTTTTTGTTCCACATTGAAATATATTATTTAATAATAATAATAATGTAAATTTATTTAAAATTGTACAGTTTTCAGATCTCTAGTGAACAAACTAGAATTTTAAACCAAAAATTAATTAAAAACATCATTAGGTTAGAAAACCACGTGGGTTTAAAATAAACCAACAAGTCTAAATTAAAATTACTATAGTAACTATTATATATATATGATAGTTAAAGAATATTATTTATTTCATAGTCAATGCATCAAAATAAAATTTAAATTTATTTAAAATTCTAGAGTTTTGAGAGCTCTAGAAGCATTTTAAACTGAAGTTTAAACATTTTTAGGTTAGAAACCCACATGGGTTTGAAATAAACCTGATTATCCTAATTAAAATTACTATTTTAAGTGTAAAATTTCTTAACTAATTCTAAACTCACGTTGTTTTCTAACTTAAAATATTAACTTGAAATGTTATTTTCAATAAAAAAATTTTATAGGTAGATGAAAATATATATTTTTCTTTATTTAGGAAAATATTTTTTTCTTTATCCATTAAATCAAATAGTTGAAGTATATTATTTAATTATTTCATAGCCTATCGATCGAAATGAAATATAAATTTATGAAGTTTCGAGAACTCCAGTAAACAAACTAATATTCAAAACCAAAAATCTAACATTTAGAGGTTAGAATAGCACGTGTGTTTAAAATAAACCAATCTCTCATATCTCATTTTCTTGCACGTTTTTTAATTTCCATGCATTTTTAATTATTTGATTAAAATATAAATATGTACATCTTCAGACAGACGAAAGTGTATCTGTACAACAGTATATATTTATTTTAAACATATCATTATTACATATATAATATGGTCATTACAACATTTTATATAATTTATTCTATAATTCGATCACACCTATATTCATTTTTACGTTCATATATTGGTGTAATTTATTTATCAAGATTCTTTTTATCATTTGGGTACTTTCCCAGTAAGCACGTGATGTTGCAGCAATATTCTATATAAATCCCTGCCAACATCCCCGCTGTGACAATAAACCAATGTGGTGTAGATGTTCGTTTAAAATTGCAATTGTGACATACCGATCGGTCGTTTTTTATGAAGGCTATCAAAAGCTATATTTATATTGAGAGAGAACCGTTACATCAAATTATCTTATATTTTAGAAATTTTAATAATAATTATACATTTTGTTAACATTTTTAAAGTTTATCCGTTATACTGCGGTGCGGCGCTTACGCGCTTCGGTATTTTTTCTCTGAAATAACCGCGTAGCATTATTGCTTTGAAAAAAATTCAAAATTTTCAAAAAAATTCGAAACAAAAAAATTCAAATTTTCCAAAAAAGTCATATTCTTTTAAAAAATCTCAAAAGTCTTATTTTTTCAAAATTTTTATTTAAAAATAAAATCAAATAAAAATCGAAATTACGTACTAATTATTTTGATCTCTGTTAAAATTATTTCAATTTAATAAATGTTCAAGTATAAATAAATAAAAAAAAAAACAAGTATTGCCCGAAATGCTTCTACTGATGGCGCGAGGTTTGAATAGAAATGCTCAAAAATAATTTTTTATCCGCAAATATATATTTTTAATAATCTAATCATAAACAAAATATTTAGCAAAAGATGCTTAGTTCTAATTCTATTTGTTGTTTGGAATAAATATCAAATATTAAATGAATAACTTGTGAATTTTGTGAATTTGTTATGTGGTAACACTACTGTGGTACAGGAACAGTAGGATTATCTAGGATTAAAGATGGCCGGTTGTCAACAAAGAGTGTTTGTGCTTTATCTTGTTAGTAAACTTAGCATTGAAATAAAATGGAAAAGTAAGTACATCATATATATAACTGTATTAATTAAACTATATTAATTTATTTAACGTTTACTTAACTTGATATTCGTATGGTATTATGAAAGATACATGAACGATACATCAAATGAAGAGGTTAGAAAAAGCACGCCGCTGTATTGTCATAGAAAAATGATACTGAAGATAGAAATCCAGTCAATTTTACAAGATCAAACACATGATGATATTTGGGATCGTTTCGTGAAGATTGATGGTTCAAAATAATGCATTTGGAGTTAATCCCACTTGTTAAATTTGTGGATGAATTACAGTCAGTGAAGATGGAGAGTTATCTTTTGAATTTGTAAGTCTCTTGTACTATATATATATATATATATATATATATATATATATATATATATAACATTTCCTAATAGATACATATTATGTTCATTCTTTTAGAAAATCTTCACGTATAATGAAGTGCGATGAAATGGTAGTGAGATGAGACAAGTCATATACTTTTTCGCCCTAGGAGTAGATGGCAGATCTAAGAAGTTATTTAGTCAAGACAATATTTGAGGAGCACAATTGTAAATAGGTCAAGACTAGAGAATGATATAGGTTCAGAAATTATATCTGTTCCATGTACAGTAGAAACTCGTTTATCTGGATTTTGGTTATGCAAACTACAAACCTTGAGCAATTTATATATACATGCAAATATTCAACTTGTACATACCTACAAGCTGAATTTTTGCATGATTAATGCTGCAGTTTAGTATATGTATGTAATGTAATCTAAGAAAATATATATGTACATTCGTAAGAAAGTGTTTCTTAATAAACACTATTTTTGTTGTTGTCTATGTATGTACTTGTTATTTTTAATAAATACACAACATAATTCTTAATACATTCGATTATCTGGATTTTTGGTTAGCCAAATGCCTATTGACAACAATTAGTCCTGTAAATCGAGTTTCTACTGTATAATTAATTCCTCAAATATGTACAAAAATTTGTTATACATAAGATTACACATCACTGTTCTTTATATATATATATATATATATATATATATATATATATATATATTAAGATTGAGTAATGTGGATCATTATATAAATATAAATTATTATTTTATTTATAATTGTAAATTAGGATTTATGTTATTTATGATTGTTTTAAAGTAGAATTATCCGTAAACGTTTGTCATACCAATTTGTAATCTTTCAATAATATGTGATTATTATAAATAAATAAATGCTTTTCTAATAAATTGTCTATTAATTCTGTAAAAAAAATATGCCTGTATTTATACTAAAATTGGATATTGCTAAGATGTCGTACGGTGGTCGCGAGAGAGACATCGCGATGCGATGTTGATTCAAGTGTAGAATCCATCTCAATAACACATTCGTGACTACGACGCGGCGATGTCTCATGTCGCCGGCGCGACATCAGTGCGACTATTGCACTGATGTCGCGTGCTTACTGGGTTATGATTCTATCTCATTTTTTCTTTATTTTTAGGGTACCAAAATGCACACAAGAAGAAATGGAAAATGCAGTCAAATCCTCCCAAAAGGCCTTCGAATCCTGGAGCCAGACATCAGTTTTGACCAGGCAACAGGTCATGTTCCGCCTGCAGGACCTGATCAGGAAAAACATGTCTGCCTTAGCCAAAAATATCACTTTGGAGCAAGGAAAGACCTTGGTGGATGCCGAAGGAGACGTTTTGAGAGGATTACGTAAGAATAATAAATAATTGCTAATTAATATTAAGTTCATATTCAGCCTTTATGGGCCAGTGTAACTTTTAGATCACATTTAAAATTGTTCGGTATTTTATCATAAATATTGGTATTTCTAAACTTGTGGCACACGTATTTCGAAATCTAATGAGTAACATGGAAAATCTATATAACTAACCAAACATCTGGTGTCTGATGCACTTGAGACATTTCTGACCAGTTTCTGAGAAGTTTTGTTATATATTGAAATTTGTTTTTTATCTATCTTGGTTATTTTTTATCTTCTGCCTGATACATTTGAGAGATTTCCGATCCCTAAGAAGTTTCTTGATACATCAGGCAAATTAAAATTGCGGTAATTCCGTGTTGACTTGTTCAGTATACATGAATCAACCCCGTATGCCTCATACATTACAAACAACTACTGCCAAAATCATTTTTAAAAATTTTGGACCATCAAACTAATTCCTGATAAATATTTGCAGAGGTTGTCGAACACTGTTGCAGTATCACCAGTTTGCAAATGGGTGAAACCATGCAAAATATTGCAAGGGACATGGACACACATTCTTATACTTTGCCTTTGGGAGTCACAGCAGGTAAGGGAAAAATATACTAACTAGTTGGTATTTTGCCTTGAGGCAAGTTACACGAACTTCCCGATATGTGTAAGTAAATAATAGTTTTAATCAATAAAAAATAAATTAATTTATGAGTTATTAAAACTATTCCGAGTGGATTTATTACACATAATTAAACACGAACGAACACATTAACTCTTAGTATTTTCTAAAAGAAAATTTTTACAAATCAACAATTTTCATAATTGAACCAGTCTCCGTACGACTTTAATGGTTTAGTATATTTATCAACACCAAGTACTTCGTCGTTATATCAAGTAAATCGTTTAATTTTAATTTTAACAAACCTCAAAAAAACTACTCATTTTCTCAAACTTTGATGACTTTTTGAAATTAAACTACTTGTCGTAAGGCCGTAATATTACAGTAAGTTCTATAAAACCATGATATATATCGCCAAAAAAGATCCATAAAAATCGGCTTATTTTTTTTTCCAACAGTTAATTACAAGAAAACGGCTCGGTAGATTTTCACCTAAAACTGATCAGTATCTTTCCCAACTAATATCTTTCGAACAGTTTTTGATTTTTTAAAGTCGATTCGGTAGTATGAGCTTAAATGTGGACGAAAAATTTAACACTTTCTTTTCAAATTGCAAAGAAACGGCTCGGCAGATCGTCGCACAAAACTGACAAACGATAATCCTCATCGAGATACATCAAAGGCTTTTTAAATATCTGAAATCGGTTCAGGCGTTTTTGAGCAAACGTCGATGAAAGTTCTAATTTTGACAAATGCCAAAAAGACAATACTAATTTTTGCATATTTTGACGAATTTTTAAAGCTAAATCAGTTGTCGTAGGGCCGTAATATTTTAGTATGATCTATAAGACTATGGTATCTACCGTCAAAAAAATAATCATAAAAATCGTCGATTTTTTTTTTTTAAACTTTATTATAAGAAAATGACCCTGCCAAACTCTACCAAAGTCTAATCAGCACGATTCCCATCTAATACCTTTCGAACGGTTTTTGAATTTTCATAAGCGATTCAGATTTTTTTTTATTTTATTTTCAATAGCAATCAGAATACATGACAATTCTGTGAGCTATTTGGTTTATGTCATTCACTCGCACACATACACACACACACACTTTCAAACACATAAGTTTATCTGATAAATATTACATTCATATTTAGAGAATCACTTCATTTCGATTCAGAATTGCGGGCTAAAACGTGAACGATTTTTTTTTTTTACTTATCTGCTATTTAAAGAAACGGCTTGGCCGACCGCCGCACAAAACTGAGAAACGCTAGTCCTCATCGAATTACATCGAATGCCTTTTAAATTTTTTAAATCGGTTTAGGCGTTTTTGAGAAAACGTCGATTTACGGCAAAAAATCTGTTCACATACAGACACACAGACACACTTTTTCCAAATTTGGTCTCATTCGATTCAGAATGGCTTGAAACGTCGAGAAAACATGAAATTAGCGAATCGAATTTTTTTATGAAAACATAAACTTCACCTCCGGGAAGTTAAAAATAGCTTCACCAGGACCAATATTAAATATGCTCCTGATGTTCTACGAAAATAAAACCTATGATTTTATATTAACTACTTTTGTTTTTCTTAAGGTATCACACCATTCAACTTCCCTGCCATGATTCCCTTATGGATGTTCCCCGTGGCAACTGTTTGTGGAAACACTTCCATCATCAAGCCAAGTGAACGTGATCCTGGTGCGACCATGATGTTGATGGAGCTCCTCAATGAGGCTGGTTGTCCTCCTGGTGTGGTCAACGTGAGTAGACATGATTTGTTTGTGTTAGTCTTAGTACTTTACCTAAACTTTACTTTATTAAAAAATAATGAGTCCATTAGTTTTGTAATTGCATTTTTGTTCAATTTAAAAGAATGCCTGGTTACACATCTTTTGCCCCCTACTTTAAAATAGTATTATAAGAAAATATGATACATTACTTGTTTTTAAGATAATGGTGGCAGACCCTTTTACTCACAGACCTCAAACCTAATTTTGAACTAGTAGCGTCCTGTACCGTAACGAAGTGTTCGAGGAATATTAAATGTTTTCGCGAAAAACTAATCACCACTTCTCCTCATCATTACAAATGTGATGTTTTTTGGATCATTCAAATCGGAATACTCCGTTCTCTCGAACTGAAACTCGATTTGAATTTTCTGCACTCTTTGCTTCGTATCTCCATAACGGTTGGACCTGCCTTTGCCAAAAACTAATCATCACATCTTCCTAACTATAGGAATCGAATGCATTTTGAACCATTCAAATCGGTTGATCCGTGCGCCCGAAAACGTGAGCGAAAAATTGCATACAAACACACACATCCATTTTTCCTGAGGTATGCCTAAATGTTCAGAAACCTCTGAAACGTGAAGATATGCAAAAATTTTCATTTTCGATTTTTGGCCCATTACTTAGAAAATGGATGTGTGTGTGTTTGGATACAAATTTTTCGTCCACGATTTCGGGCGCACGAATAAACCGATTTGAATGTTTCAAAAAACATTTGATTCCCATTCATGGGAAGATGTGCTGATCAGTTTTTGGCAAAGGCAGGTCTAGCCGTTTTGAAGATACAGGGCGAAAAGTGCCAAAAACGGTAATTGAATTTTTGAGAGAACTGAGTACCCGATTTGAATGATTTAAAAAACATTTTACTTGTATTGACGAAATGAAGAATTGTTGAAATTTTTGGTAAGGCAGGCAAAGCGGTTTCGGAGATACAGAGGAAAAAGAAATAGATATTTGGCGATCAAAAATGATTATTGGACATATGCACACCAAATTGAGATATTTGATTTGATTTGTTCGGTACCAATATTGTTAATTTATAAAGTTCACTTATACGGTTCAAGCAAATTTCAATATTTTCAAAAATATACAAAATTCTATACTTCAAATATAAATTTTAAATTTACAATTCAGTTTGAAAATGTATATATTTCAAATGCGTTATTCTAATCGTAAGAAATATATCCTCAGACAGATTTATTCAGCACCTCTTGCTAATGTAAACTTTTTCAAGTGTTTTGAGCGATAAGATTGTCACTGCATATTTAATGAACGATAAAATATATAGTGATTATAATTATATATTCGGAAATATTTAAAACAATTGTTGTAAATCATTGATCAATATTTATTGATTACTGAATTTTTTTCCTTGAATATATAATTGTGGTGCGGAAAGTTCCAGCAATTTGCTTTAAGACACGATCCCATAGCTGTATAAAATGACTAGATTCTTAAGTAACGCATGTTTACATTATGCCTGATACATTTGAGAGATTTCCGATCCCTAAGAAGTTTCTTGATACATCAGGCAAATCAATTCGTGGTAATTTCCGTGTTGGCTTGTTCAGTATACATGAATCAACCCCGTATGCCACATACAATATAAACCTAACTACTCCAAAAATTTGTTCAACAAATCCTTAATTTATTCCCTAAAATAACCATCAATAAATCTTTTACCCAGGTTATCCATGGTGCCCACGACGCCGTCAACTTCATCTGCGACCATCCGGCAATCCGTGCAGTATCCTTCGTAGGATCCGACCAGGCTGGTAAATACATCTATGAACGCGCTGGACGCAATGGTAAGAGGGTGCAGAGCAATATGGGTGCCAAGAACCATGGTGTCATCATGGACGACGCCAACAAGGAACACACTCTTAACCAGCTTGCAGGAGCCGCCTTCGGAGCCGCTGGACAGAGGTGTATGGCTTTGTCCACTGCAGTATTTGTAGGTAAGAGGGGAAATAATTCGAACTTGACGTTTGTACTATATTCAATATTATTGCGATGCCTGGTATCCAGCTGTCTCAGAATTCGACTTCTGAACTGATACAACAGCGTCATTGTTCTTGCGCTGAGCGCGAATTCTTCCGGTACCAGAAATTAATTTTTTTTAAAAAAAGATAAGTTTTTTTTTAAACTTTAAAAAAAATAAGATTTTTAAGAAATTTTTAATTTTTGAAAAATGTTGATTTTTTTTTATAAAAAGACTTTCCAGAACTTTTATTTATTTTGAAATATTTTGGAAATTTTAAACTTTTTTCAAAGTAATCGCAATGCTTTAGCATATTCTACTGAACAGATACAGGACGTCTTGTTCTTGCGTTTTTGCGTTCCTGTTTATTAGACGGAGAGCTGAGCACTAATTTGTTCGCAAAATTTTCATATTTTTTTTTTAAATATTAATATTTAATTTCTCTAATGAATATATATTTTAGAGAACAAATATTGTTCAATAGGTCAGAACATGGTTTATCTCTGTTTTTGTCATGTGTAGTATGGATTATAAGTGCTATTAAAATAAACTAGTCAAGATTATGAAATGAAAGTTTTGGTAAGAGTTTCAATGTTCCAATATGAAATTTGCTTTGAAGCTTTTATCATCACTTCACCGTAAGGGGCGTCCATAAATCACGTGAGTTTTTAGGTGGAGGGACGGTTTGACAAAAAATCACTAAACACCACGTGGGGGAGGGAGGGGTACAAGGAGATATCACGTGTATTTATTGTTTACCTGATTTTTTTTAAATCCAAACTGTTTTAAAAAAATCACAACTTTTACCATTTTTTCTCGTAACTAAAAATACTTGTAATGTTTGTTGGGGGAGGGGGGGTAATTTTGAATGTCACCACGTATCACGAAGGGCGAGGTGGGGTCCAAAAATTGTTAACAAACGATCACGTGATTTCCCTTCCCGTCTTCCCTTCAGGCGAAGACGGGGTTGACAAAAAAATCACGAAATATCACGTCGTGTTTATTTTTTTACCAATCTTTTTTTTTTTTAAAAAAATCCAAACATTTTCAAAATAAATTTAAAAAATCAGTTCTTTCTCTCAACTAAAAATACACGTAATGTTTGATGGGGGAAGGGTGGGGATAATTTTGAATATCACCACGTATCACCAAGGGGGAGGGGAGTCTAAAAATTATTAAAAAAATGATCACGTGATATTATGGACGGTTGACTTCATGGAGGATTCACAAAAAATCACGAAATATCACGTGGGGGAGAGAGGTATTTATTTTTTTTATCTGATTTTTTTTTAAATCCAAACATTTTCAAAATAGATACAACTTTTTTTTAAATACACGTTATGTTTGGTTGGGGAGGGGGGTAATTTTGATTATTACTACGTATCACCAAGGGTGAGGGGGTTCTAAAAATCCTTAAAAATCGATCAACAAAGGAGAGAGGGGTAATTTTGAATATCATCACGTAACTCCAAGGGCATGGGAAGTCTAAAAATAATTTAAAAAAATTTATCAGCACGGGGAGGGGGATCTGTAAATCTTAAAAAAAAATCGATCACCAAGGGAAAGGGGGTTCTAAAAATCTTTAAAAAATCGATAATCCAGTTGGAAGGGGGTAATTTTGAATATCACCACGTATCACCAAGAGGAGGGGGGTCTAAAAATCCTCAAAAAATTGATCACCAAATGGAAGGGGGCTCTAAAAATCTTTTAAAAATTATTACAAAGGGGGATGAATATCGCCACGTATCACCAAGAGGTAGAGGGATCTAAAAATCCTTAAAAAATTGATCACCAACGGGGAGGGGGGTAATTTTGAATATCACCACGTATCACCAAGGGGGACGGGGGTCTAAAAATCTTTAAAAAATTGATCACCATCAAGGTGGAAGGGGGTTAATTTTGAATATCACCACGTATCACCAAGGGGGACGGGGGTCTAAAAATCCTTAAAAAATTGATTACCATCAAGGTGGAAGGGGGTTCTAAAAATCCTTAACAATCGTTTACCAAGAGGGAACGGGATCTAAAAATCCTTTAAAAAATCGATCACGTGATTAATGGGCGCCCCCTAAACCCATTTGCAACAATAAAATAGCATTTTTATGGCAGTGGACCAACATCATCAATTGAAAGTGCTTTCTTTATCTTATATCGTTATTATATTATTTTATCTTATCGTTGCCTGATACATTTGAGAGATTTCCGACCCCTAAGAAGTTTCTTGATACATCAGGCAAATTAAAATTGTGGTAATTCCGTGTTGACTTGTTCAGTATACATGAATCAACCCCGTATGCCTCATACATTATAAAACTTTGAACCAAAAACTATTTTGTGCAAATTTGAACTCGCAAACTAATATTTGGAAAATATATTTTTTCGTGCAGGACAAGCTAAGGAATGGATTCCAGACTTGGTAAAGAGAGCCCAACAATTGAAAGTCAACGCTGGACATGTTCCTGGAACTGACTTGGGTCCAGTCATTTCTCCACAAGCCAAAGAACGCATCCACAAACTGATCGAATCAGGTAATAGACAAAAAACTTCTTAATTGCTTCTATAATGCACAATATATTTTTTATTTATCTTGGTTGTCTTTTACCCTAGGTGTGAAAGAAGGTGCCAAGCTCGTCCTTGATGGCCGTGGCATCAAAGTAGAAGGTTTCGAGAAGGGCAACTTTGTTGGCCCAACCATCCTCACCGATGTCACACCTTCCATGGAATGCTACAAAGAAGAAATCTTTGGCCCAGTTCTTGTCTGCATGACTGCAGATACCCTGGACGATGCCATCAAAATCATCAACAAGAATCCCTATGGAAATGGAACTGCCATCTTCACCACGAATGGAGCTGCTGCCAGGAAATTTGTACAGAAGATCGATGTTGGACAGGTAAGAAAGATTAAGAAAAAAATTATGTGCATGTGAGCACCACGGTTAACTAGTTGATTTAGAGGTTGCCTGATACATTTGAGAGATTTCTGATCTCTAAGAAGTTTCTTGATACATCAGGCAAAGTAAATTTGTGGTAATTCCGTGTTGACTTGTCCAGTATACATGAATCAACCCCGTATGCCCCATACATTTTTCAAAATAATATTAAAACTGTATTTGGACTCAATACTTACATTTTTCTCAATAAATCTATTCTTTTTTCAGGTTGGTGTAAATGTACCAATCCCAGTACCACTGCCCATGTTCTCCTTCACCGGCTCCCGAGGCAGTTTCTTGGGCGATAGTCATTTCTATGGAAAACAAGGCCTTAACTTCTACACACAAACCAAAACTGTTACCCAACTCTGGAGGGAAGGTGATGTAGGTCATGCTAAAGCTGCAGTAGCTATGCCTACTATGCAGTAAAATTTTACAAATATTTTAATACAAACAACCTCTCGATCTTCATCCAAATCACCAAAATCATCTATTTTGGTGATTCTGATACTATGCTGATAAATCACACAAACAGCTAGTCATTGAAATATTATTTGCATTAAATTGTTTGCAACAATTTATATTGAAACTGATTAGAAATAAGTTACGTGTTAAGTTAAAAATAAAAAGAATCTCAACGAAATGAAACTGAAATATCTAAAGTCTTCCACATCACTAAAAGAAAACAATAATGATTTTTATATTCGAATATATTGCATTTTTATAAAATAATTTTTCATTTGTACATATTACAATTTTATTGATAATAAATAAATATATTAATTTAAAGGATTTGTTTGTAATTGTTAAAAAATTTAATAATTTTTTTTTAAAAGTAAATTTTTCACAGATTAAGGGGCCAATTCCCTGATATAATCGACCGTTTACAATTGTTATGGAAACGCTATCGACACTAAATAATAATAAACATTTTTAGAAAATTTTGTAGAAAATACAACAACTAGCAAGTACTATCAGTACATCCTTGTTGAAAATACAAGTAACTTGTGCGTCTTTTTAGGTAAAAATATGAATTATTTAAATATTTTGTTTTAGACATATCAATTTTAGTATTTGTAGTAACTCTAGACATGTTGATGTACAAAATACCAAAATTATAAATATCTAGCATAAACGGTGTGTCCTGAAGAGCTCATTGAATTACAAACATCTGTATAATGTTTGTTTAGGAAAAGTATCTATATTAGACAAAAGCATTATTTATTTGCGTAATTTATTCTGGACTATAATTTTTAATATTTTTATCTATAGGTAGACAGATTGAAGAACGAAATTTTTATTTCACAAATTATACATTTTTTATTCAAATTATTTCTTTTGTAAAAACACATTTTGTTAAACGAAAGCGTGAAATTGTCCTGATTTTTTAAATTGTGAAAAACGTGTTAAGCGAAAAATTTTAGTGAAATAGTCCATCAATTTAAACTTATTTTTTGAATTGAACTAGTGGTGCATGGCATCTTGCAGGAGCTTTCTACACCAAAATTAAATATTCCCGAAAAAAAACAGTACAATTGTTTAATAATAATCGTTTTAAATATTTTCAAATAGATAATTATAAATGCTATATATTTTATCGGTCATATATCGCACAAAACGCTTGAGAATGTTTACAATAACAAGAGATGCCGAATGAATCCATCTAGGATACATTTCTTGCGAGTAGAATAACGGATATGAAATATATACATTTTTAAAATGAATTGCAAATATAAATTTAAGGTATAAAACTATATATTTTTTTTGAAAATTTTGATACTTGTTTGAACCTTACTTTATAAATTTATGATCTTGGTACGGAACCCAAAAAAATTGTAGCAAAATTAGTACTTATTTTCAAAGTCTTCATAAAATATCTGATAATTTGATGAACATATGTCTACTGATTATTTTTGACCCAAATGATATTTTTTAACTTCCCGAAGGAGAAGTTTATGATTTCATCAAAAAATCCGATTCGCTAATTTTATGTTTTCTCGGCGTTTCAAACCATTCTGAATCGAATGAGACCAAATTTGGAAAAAGTATGTGTGCGTGTGTGTGTGTATGTGAACATATTTTTTTCTACATTTTTCTCTGTATATCCGAAACTGCTTTCCAAAAAAATTATCAGTTCTTCATTTTGTCAATACAAGCAAAATGTTTTCTGAATCACTCAAATCGGACGCTCTGTTCTCTCAAAATCTAAGTATTTTAGACCAACAAAAGCTCATGTTTAAAGTAAATTTTTCATCATTAGGTGAGCGTTTGTCTTTATGTGTATATGTGTATATAAAGTATTTTCTGGCAATTTTAATTTTTTTCAAAAAATATTTGTATTTATCAAATTAATTTCTCTATCTTTGAAACGGCTCGACCTGCTTTCAAAAACTAATAAGTACATCTCCCTATCAATAGAAATCGAGTTATTTTTTTTTAAATCCAAATCGGTTGATTCGTGTTCCCAAAAATGTCGACGAAAAATTATATCCAAACATGCATAAGCACACACATATTCATGCATTTTTTCTAAGGTATGCCAAAATGTTCAGAAACCTTTGAAACGTAAAGATATGCAAAAATTTTCAATTTCGATTTTTTTGCAATTATAACGGGTAACTACGGGAAATTAAAAGAAAAGTGTTAAATGAAATTATGCACAGTTTTATTAATACTTATTAATACCAGCTTCATTACTAAATGCAAATGAAAATCTAAGAAAAATTTTTACTTTTCAACCTAATTGTAATGCATGTTTTTATTTTTATATCTTTACAAAATAAATACACCAATAAAAATCATCATAAACATTTCCACTGAGCAAAAACGCTTATTAAATTGACTAGAAGCAGCATTGCTCGCCTTCCAAAAAGAAAATGGATAAACCAAATACTCCGACTGTTTAATCTCAGCCATACTCTCCAATTCCTTCGAATGAGTAATATCTTTGAATAAAACTTCAACACCTACTGTAACTTCAGGATCATCCAAATTAATCTTCACATCAACTTGTTCACCATATTTGACACCAGCTCGCAAAATCCTAGACTGCTGATGTAAATGTCTAAAATCTAAATTCAGGTACACAAAGTAGTAACTGATGTAATATACCAAATTTTGGCAAATTAAATTCCTGCGTTTTGTGTAACCATTTATGTTGTAGTTAGTATCTTTGTGGTGTACCAGTTTTAACCACTCGGAGGTCAGATTTCTTGGTTTACCAAAAACCGAGACAAAGTTGTTTAGCCTGTCTTTGTTTCCGAATAAGGTGTAGAATATTTTCTTCTGTATATTCGTGCACATGTGTGCCAAGTTTGTGGTTTTAGTGATTTCCAACTTGCCAAGCTTTAGGTCACACTTGGTCCTTAAATTGACACCAAAGTTTATGGTTTCGTAAGTGGTGTTTGATAGTTTACACAAGCCTCTAACATTTGCTGGTGCAGTCAAAATATTTCTGGTGTTGAAGTACCTGGAGTTCTCGTGAAAATAATCAATGACGTATTGGATTGTAGGAAAATCGTTAGTATTATTATGTACAATTTCCACGAATTTACCACTAATCACCGGACGTCCTGTTAAGTACCCAGGATTTCCACTCAATTCCTTGTTGATACCTTGCTGATTTTTTACTACCAAGTGCTTGACTTCAAATATCCGATCAATTTTTGTGCCTACATAAAAGGGTTCAGTGTTGTGCAGGATTTCAAAAAACACTTGAACCTTCTCCAAACCTTTTGCAAATTTATGAAACATTTTAATCAATATATGTTTAGGAACATTCTCACACTTCATCCTACCATCTTGGAGAATTTCACAAGATTCTTCTATCTCGCCTTCAAAAACTGGTTCACAGCAAGTTTCATCAGGATTCGACAAAGTCCTTAAATCGTTGCAAATGAAATATTCCAAATTTAGGCATAAATCCATGCAGTCTTCGTATTCTGTAGAATTCAGTTTTTCAGGAGCAGAAATCATGGTGATGTTATATAAGTCTTTGAGGGTTATTGGAAAGCCTGAACGATGGATTCGTAAGAAGTCTTTGTCTATTCCAAATATGGGTCTTAATATTTCTGTGTATTTGACTTGTTGGTCGTCCAGATATTTTAATGGTGTTTTTGTTATGCGGTTGAAGAATCGTCTGGGCGTATCTAGAAAGTAAGAAATAAAATCAGACCAAATAAAATGGTGAACACTGAACTATCTCGTAATCTTCATTTATCAAAACCAAAACTTAGGATCAACCATGTTGTTCTCAAAGTTTGCCAAAATTGATAGCGATAATATTGATTCTGGCTTTTTGAGCAACTTGGATGCTTCATAGATTATTTTTCTCTTGTGTTGACATAATTGGTTCGTGGACGTGGATGCTATAGCATTCATTAACTTCCCGTAGAGTAAGTTATAGTAATCGCAAAAAATCGAAAATGAAAATTTGTATATATCTTAACGTTTCAGAGGTTTCTGTACATTTTGGCATACCTCAGAAAATATGGATGTATGTGTGTGTATGTGTATGTGTGTATGTGTGTGTGCGGATACAAATTTTCGACCACGATTTCGGGAACACGGTTAAACCGATTTGAGTCGTTTAAAAAACATTCGATTGCTGTTGATAAGGAGACGTGCTGATTAGTTTTTGGCGAAGTCAGGTCTAGTCGTTTCGAATATATGGAGCAAAAAGTGCCAAAAACGGTAACTCTGTTTTTAAGAGAACGGAGCGTCCGATTTTAATAATTCAAAAAACATTTTACTTGTATTGACAAAATGAAGAACTGAGTAATTTTTTTCGAAGGCAGGTCCAGCGGTTTGAGACTCTCAATAAAAATAAGTTGAAAAAATATAATTTCGCGGTCAAACATATTTATTGGACATATGTACTTCAAATTATCAAATATTTTATAGAGATTTTAATCTAATTTTAATAATAATTACTAGCAGTCCATGTAGTATAGGGTCTATGGATTGATCAGACATTTTGCATTAACTTTTGATCATTCCCAAGAAATTGTCATGAGACAAATATTGTTTTTTAATCTACTTACACAAAAATCCTGATCGAGTAGTATTTTTGTTAAAAATCCATATAGGACTTTTGACAACATATGGTCTAACTGGTATATCCAATACTTGATCATAATCTTCTATATAATCTGTTGATCGAGGCCATGTGTAAGAATTTGCAATGACATTGTCTTGATTGGTCTAAAATAAATAAGACAGATCATTAATACACAGTAAATTGTGAAAAATAAATACATGGACCAAGACTCAGGTAAAAAATAGCTATAACTTACTAATCATTAATCTTATTAATAGCAATATTTTTATGGAACAGGATAAAATATTCTTCTAATTCAGGCATTTTTCATTAAATCAAGATTAATACGATGTAACTTTGAAATGTTTATTTATCTATGCCGATTGCCTTGTTGATATCGGCACGCATACAACGTTGATGCCGGCACGCATACAACGACAGATCTCTATTCACATACACGACGACTAATCACAATCGACTCGTATAGAAATGATACCATCGAGAGCGAATGACGAATCATTGGCACTAGACTCTGCCGTAACGCACTTCGGTTGCATTTGTACGGATTTACACCCTAGTTGTGCCTAAAGAAGTTTTACTTAAAAAAAATCTTACAAGCTTTTTATTTTAAATTTCAAATTATTTTGTGTACATTCAGAACTTTCCTTAGGTGTTCTACGATCCTCTGTGATATAATTTATTTTAACATGGTACTGTTAGTAGGAAACCCAGTGGTTGTCTATTACCTTTGTGATGATCGAAGACTATTGAAAAAAAATTATAGTGATGTGTTATATAACTATATGAACCGTTGAGCTATTTTTAATTGAAATTTATTTAAATTTATATTTTCAAGTAAGAAGTAATATTGATACTGCTTGATATCAGGTTGTCCGAGTCGGGAACAGAAGCTTGGAATCTTGGAATTGCAAGGTCAAATCATATAATAATTGACTTCATAACTTTTTGACATGAAATATTGAAAGGAAAAATGTGTGTTTTTGACACGTTTGATTTGAATGAAAAACCATGGATTAGTTTGAAAAATTTCATTAAATTACAGAAGGGCAGTCTGATATCAAGCAGTAGTGTCACGTTTTTACTTGGAAATATAGATAACAATATGTTTTAAAGTAAAATAATATTTAGTCGGCATCAATAACAAATTCATAAGTATTACAGAAATTCTAATAATTTTATCACGTAAAGCTAGGACAACCATTAGGGTTGCTATCTATATAGCTACGTCATTAATTAAAACAAGTAATTAATTAAAATAAGTCATAGGATTTGTTAAATTATTCTGACTACTGTTAAAAAATAACAGAATATGTATAAGGTAAATAATGAACTGATTCTGCCGCATAATAGACCAATGTTATGGCAAGGCTATTTTATGAAGAACTTTCCATACTAAATATTGACGAAAGATATGTGTTTGCTGTGCAGTCAGGCGTTGTTCTCATGTTGTCAGATAGAAAACCTAACCTAGAAACCGCACAAATGCCAAAAAACGCTGTTAGATAACAGAGGGTCTATCTGACCCAGCTTCATAACATACGAGTGACGTTGCAGTTTATGTGTAAATTGTCTGAATTCACTGCAAATACATGACATTTTGACAGTATTCAGTATGATCAGTAGCATAATGTATGGTAACATGGCCTTGCCATAACATTGGTCTGTTGTGCGGCAGAATCAGTCCCTAAATTTCTGATTTTTTTCAATATCAGTTATTAATATTAGTTAAACTAAGTATCACTTACCGTTTCTGTATTACTTCGCAAGGGTGTATTACCATTTTTGATGCAAAACAAATCCGAGTCACCATTTTCGCATGGTGTCAACTGCCCGTAACGTTTTCCTTGGAATGCACTACTTCTGGTGATTTTTTGGCAGCTGGTAAATAAATTTCGATCCATTTCTGAGCAATCGTAGTCGCAGCAGCAATTCAAATCGCATACATCAGGCTGGAGAAAAAAAATTAGTAAAAAAATTAATTTTTTCTAATTCATATGATACTAAATTACCGTCAAATCGCAGAAGCAAAACCGATCATCGTATGTAAAATACTCATTGACACCTTTCCTAGTCGATTCATCAGATTTGGGAAACTTGGTCCTGGTACTATTATTCAAAGGCGGTTTATAAATTTTTGTCCTGTTCATATTGATGAACATCAACAAATCCAAAGTAGTGGCTTCGATATTTGAATCAGTCGTGGAAATATCTGGTTCTGAAGTTGCATTTTGGCTTAATATTAGTGGAAGAATGTAATAAAGTATTAGGAATATTTTGGTGATCATCTTGGTCATTTGTATTCGACTCCGTAAGCATCAAAATTCTTAAAAATTGTGTTCAGTTCGAATGACACCACTCCGGCTGATTGGGTGTTCAGTTTGTATCTGGAAATAAATGTAAGTAATAACTGACGTTGAGTTCTGGGATTGGAAAAAGAATTATTTATTATTACCTATCTACTCCGGAGTGAAAATTATTCGGCTTCACTTCTTCTGGAGGACTTCCAAGGAAAAACTGCCGAATACTTTCCCAAGTACTTTGCCTTAAGGACCACGTTTGACAAACTTCTTTGTGATGTCCTGGTGTTAAAGGCACGTGCATAAAACCGTAACTGGAAATAAAAAATTGCAAAAATTAATAAAAAACTTTTATTGGTAAAATTAAAGTGTTTACATCAATATGGTTGTATATAAGATTGGCTTTTAATTGTTCTTACCCAACGACGCGACTTCTGTTAAATATATCCACAGAGTATACTTCTATACAGAATTTTGGCCAACCTAAGAATAAAGATAATTATAATTTTTTTTGTAATTTTAATAAAGTGTTAAATGTGATATAAATAAATATATTGAATAAATATTTTATCATTTTACCTTGTAATCCACGAGTGGCAAAACGAACATCAATAGGATGGTTCCACTTAACTTCTTCTTCACCATAAGATTGATCAGTTTTTGTGATGCCTTCTGAATAACCTCCGACAACTTTCCAAGCGTTTCCTGAAAATTTGAAAGCAAAAATATTGAAACTAAATGGAGTTCGACAATATTGGACGTTTACTTAATAAATTAACTAGTTGGTATTGGTATTTTGCCTTAGGGCAAGTTACATGAACTTCTCGATATGTGTAAATAATCGACTTAATCAATAAAACATAAATTAATTTATAAGTGATTAAAAGTATTCCGAGTGGATTAATTTTCAAAGATCAACAATTTTTATAATTGAACCAGTCTCCGTAGGACTTTAATGGTTTGGTATGTAGACCAAGACCAAGTAGTCTATCGTTATTTATTCATTTATTTAAATATATAGCCCACAGATTTCTCCAAGAGGACTCAAAAATACAATTAGTTTACATAATAAATAACAATTAAAATATATACAAAATCACAATATATAGCCAGTAACATAAAATGCTTAAGATAATATTACATATAATGCAGAATGTAACAATATTATTTATAAACAGAATAAGATTAAATAATGAGAAATTTGAAATAAAAATAAAAAGATTAACTTGTGCAGATGGAAATTATTTGATTAGGTGAAGTGTTGTGAATATCTATTTCATTATTAATTAAGTTAAAGTTAGAGGACATTAGTAAAATTGGCGAATTTAAGAGAGAATTAGATTTAGGGGTAGGATAATTGAAAAATAATTGTGAACGCGAAGATAGCCTTGGAACATTAAAGGATAGTTGATTGAGAATAAGAGGACAGTCTATAGAATTATTGCAAAGCTTAAATAAGAACATAATTGTACAGATAAATCGACGTGAGGCAAGGGAAGGAATACCAAATTCTTTTAGTAAAGTGTTGTGGTCAAAGCCACGTTCAGGGTAAATTTTATATGCTTTGTAATAAAGATATTTCAGAAATTTTCGCTAAACCTTCTCTATCGCATCAGAGTTGTTGGTTTGACGAGGATACCAAATAATCGAACCATATTCTAATTTTGAACGTACAATGTACAATAGAATAGTACATGCAAAGAAGCGCATTGGTAGATTTAAATTGTTTACAATTTCTCAGTATCAAACCTAAAGATTTGTGTGCAAATCTCAGTTATATGATCCGTGAAAACAAACCAGAATCAAATAGAACCCCTAAATCTGAAATTTTATTACATCTATTAATGCTGGTGTTTGAAATTTTATAATCAAGTTAATCAAGTTATTGGTTGTTATACCAAGTAAATCGTCTAATTTTAATTTTAACAAACGTCAAAATAACTACTCATTTTCTAAAAACTTTGATGAGTTTTAAAAATTAAACTGCTTGTCGTAAGGCCGTAATATTTCAGTAAGTTCTATAAGACCAGTTCTTCAATTTTTTATGTGTTTTTATCAGAGGACAGCTAGATACTCTGTCTATTTAAGACTATTATTTATTAGAAGGCTACCTAATTTAAGGATATTTAACAATTTTAGTATATAACAGATAACGTACCTGCTTCCAGATGCCACTTGCAAGACAAAGTCGATTGGTTAAACCCTGATGCACCAACTATTTGTCCAATTATGAATAATTCTGCCATCACATATTCGATATAAAGGTTTATCTAATATATTTTAAATATTTATATAAACTATGTCAAAATTAAACTTTAGTAAACTATCTCTGCTTTACTCATAATAGCTTTGTTTATCTTTTATTCCTAAGTTGAGTATTTCTGTTGCTAGGCAACCGTGGTAGGTATAACTACAACCCCTATAAATAAAAAATAAAAAAGGTATTTGGTAAGGGATGATTAGGTAATAATAATTGTTTAAAGTACTTTACCAAAGAGTTAAGAAAAAAATAAACTAGCTCTGTATGGCATCGTGCTTTAAGGCAAATAGCTGGAACTTTCCGTTCCGTAACGAAAAGTTCGAGGAATATTAAATGTTTTCAAATAGATTATTATATATAAATACTGTTTGTCTAATATTTATAAGAATGATATAAACTAAATTGCAGTGGTAAAGTTATTTATTTAAAGTATATAATTGAGCTTTAGAACTTTAGCCAGAATTAAAATTAAAATCTGATTTTTTTCTATATAAGGAAGAACAAATAAAGAATGTTCCATTGTCCGATTACTATAACTTACCCTCTGAGAAGTTAAAAAAAGAATATGTTAATTGTTATATACAATGAATGCTATAGCATTCACGTCAAGTATTACGCTTCTGTTACTAAAGATAATACAAAGGTATAACAATCACATGAATTTAGAGTTATATAAAATTAAATAAATTCTGTACCACAATGAAAATGCATGCTTTAGCACTCACGTGTTAAAATAGAATATTAAAGCGAAACAAATGTAAAATAGAACCAATATTAACTATAGATTAAATTACATAAATTTTAAATAAGAATTCATAAGGTGTAACTTAACAATTACATATAGTATAACTTATAATTATACATGAAGGATTTCTAAATTCTCACACACAAAAATTTCAAAATTCAAATTGAGCGCCATTACATTGCGTACCGCCATGACAGTGCCGACACGCAGCAACTTCAAGTCCTTCAACTTTTGACGTATGCGATGCTTGAATGGCGACTCATAATAAAACGCAAATGAATTATTAATTATAAGTTGTGATGATACTTTCATATGTTTTTCGGATAGTTGACGGAGAGCTTAATTTGAAAACCTAGCATCTACTGTATTTAGGATAAATATAATATATAAGCCTTAGGACTAAAATGGATGAAGGTAACGTTTTGTTGGTTATGTCGCTTAATGTTGATTTATCTATATAATTACATATTTTACTATCTATTATCACAGCTTCGGGTGATCACTTATCATCGACCGATACATCATTTGATAAATCGAATGAAATATCATCCCAGAGCATCGGTTCGCCAGATTCCAATGACAAAAGCTTTCAACCAGACTCTTCAAACAACACTTCATTCAATAAATCGGGTTCTCTGTCACCTGGTAGTCATAAATCTAAGTCACCAGGATTAAATAACTCTAATAGATCCAGATCAGGTTCTCCCAGGGATAGATCTAAGTCTAAGTCAAGGTCTAGATCAAGGTCTTCGAATAGATCTGACAGATCAGGTTCTGTGAAATCAAATGCTTCACGACAGTCAAGACATTCTAAAACTAGATCAAGGTCCAGGTCAGGAAGTGTTCGTTCAAAGTCTAGATCTAGGTCTAGGAGTAATGCTGGTTCTGCCAGATCAAGATCTGGTTCTGTGAAATCACGATCAAGGTACTGTTTTGATTATTATACATAGAATAGTAATAAAATAGATAAGAAGTTTATTAAAATTCAATAGTTACAATTCAAGTCATTTACAATACCTAATTATTCTTAAGGTTAATTTAAAATAATAGGGATTATTTAGTAAAAAATTTTTAACAATAATTTTAAAGGTGTTTCTAGTTTTGCATCTCCATCCATCAGATAGCTTATTATAGATCTTGGCTTCTAATGAAGTTCTTAGCGTTGATTTAAGTTTAATTAAGTTTTTTAGACATATCCCAGCATCACTTCTCAATAGATAATTTCTTTTATCACAAGCAATAGCTTGATGCCAAATATACATGTTCGTGACAGCCAAAATTTTGTATTTGATGGAAAACAGCTTGCAGGACTCTCGGGGTGAGACTCCTTCTATTGCTCTACCCGCCTTCTTTTGTAGATCCATGACTATAGTAGAATGTGCACTATTAGTCCAGTCATTTAAGCTTAAATTAGGTAAGAATCTCGGATGATGTAAGAATCTTGAGATACCCAGCTGTAAGACTGTAAATACTTCTATATTGACACCCTAAAGTTGTCTCAAAACCTACATATGGTAGGGAGTCAATACCATATGTAGGTTTTGAGACAATTTTAGGGTGTCAATATACAAACATTACAGCGGGGTATTTTGAATTCAAGGTGAACTTACTATAATGACGGGACTATTTGTCCCTAAGCTAATATTCCATATGAAAGTACAGACTGGATTATAGCAAAGTAGTTTCCCTGGCACATTCCTGGTTTATTATTGATCTAATTCTTTTGATGGCATAGTTGGCTTTTGAGAGCCTTGCGCATAGCAAATTTATATGTTTGGATCAGGTCAGCAAACTATCCATTGTTAGTCCAAAGTAGAGATGGGGTTATCATATCCGAAGCTTGATCAGTTAGAATTTGACTCCGCTTCAAGGAGGAGTTATATCCTCTTAACAACTCTACGACTCAGACAACTTTGACCGAAATATTTGACACAAATGTGTCCTATAGTGTGTTGTTTTTGTATCTAAGGATTTGTCAAACTCCATTAATTATTTGAAATTCTTTTATAAACAATTCAAACATAGTTGTTGATATTATTATAAAAAGTTACGATTTTAAGTATTTCTAGCAAGTGAGTATAAATATTTTGAATTTTCAAGAAAATAAACCTTAAAACTAACATAAAAATTTTCTTTTGATGAGAAAATAATTGATTTTTGGATTAATTTTATATAATAATAATGTAGTAAACTTTGTAATAAAAGCAAAACCTTTATCATAAAATATTTTCACCAAATAATAGTTCTTCTGCTTTCTAAATTTTTCTTCTGCTATTTCCATTCGAGAATTAATATTATATCGGGTAGTTCAATTAACATATTATTACTTTTACACAATTATGTAATTGTGTAAATGTAATAATATAATACTCAATTTATTTACTGCTTAAATACTATTGATATCACTGATAAATTTTGCACTCTAAAGTATTGTTTTTTCAGGCTATGGAAAAAACAGATTAATTGTATTTCGTTTCATGTATTTTTTGGTATGTATATTCCTGATTGCCTTCATTCACGGCCAAGGATTGACGTGGTCAATAAAGTATACATTTGAGCTATTCAAATTACATTTGAACTCAATTTCATTGTTCTGTATCTTTGAAGTAATAATTTTGTATTTTCTGGAAAATACACAATGGCATTATTTTGACTCGTATACCTAAAAGGTCATAGAACTGCTTGTGAGAAGAGAAAGCGACCGCTTCCTTCCCAAAGCAAAAACGCAGTAACAGATTTAATACCAGTTTAGGAAAGTGGGATATGACAAAATCTCCGATACAACTCCGCTTATATTCACTCCGAGGAAGGAGTTGTATCGGAGTGATAACTCCGGAGTGAGTTACCCATGACTAGTCCCAAGTATCTAACTTTATTTAGTTTCATTCCAAGTATCCAACTTGGTGGATGGAAATAGTTTTATTTTTTCTTCAGCCTGTGTTCATAAGCATTTTATATTTTTTCATTCATAACATTTATGTGTGTGCTTAGCTTTGTTTATATCTTTTTTTATATCATTTTTTATAATAGCTTCTACCTTTGTTTATAATCATTTTTTAGTTTCCTGTTATGTTTTGAAAAACTTTATCAGTGTTATTTCATCAATGCCAATGAGTTGAATACAGTTTCTTATACAGAAATTTAATATGATGAAGATAACAATTACATGTTATTAAAGCCTATACACATTTACATATATATGTATTATGTATGTGTATGTATATATATATATATATATATATATATATATATACTCGTATATATATATACACATAAATATGCACCCATTGTTTTTATATGCAATACACATATATATTTTTGCTGTTTGCCCAATATACTTCAGTCTACATCAGTATTTCAACAGTTGATTATGTTGACTTTTGATTTTTGATTAAACAATTTCTTGTCTTATTAATATTTTTTTGTTATTTGAGGAATTTCCGTTTCTTTCATGTTTACTAATATCACTGAAGTGTTTAACATATCTTTGCAAAAATTTTGCACTCCATGTGTTTTGTTGATTAATTGTTTCAAGTGAAGACCATTGTTGAGTTTTATTAGAGAATAGTTCGTAGGAGAGAGGTGTATAATAGACAGTGTGTTCATTATGATGTGCATATATAGTAAACGCCAGATTAAAGTTAAAAAATCTAAATGGTGATTTTATTTATGTTTTTTTTTATTATTGTTTATTGTTGACTTTGTATACTTGTATATTTACATTTTATAATTAATCTTTACACTTTTATTTTATTTGTTTGTATATAATTGTGTAGTGCATCATATATCCTTTTCTTTATCAATAATGTTACAAAATTGGTTGGGATGGAGATTTTTTGCCTCACTATCTTCATCCATAGTTTTTCCTACCCTTTTCCAATTTTTTGCTCTCCATAATGGCGTGCTCAGCATCCGCCCTAGTCACTCCTCACCCAAACAATAGCAATTAGGATCGGTATTGATGCCAATTCTCTACTCTGGTGAAACGGAGTGTATGTATGGTTAAATCTTAGTTTACGACCGACTTTCAGTAAACTCATCATACCATGATCTGATATGTATTGCTTCTTGTATTGTGCCCTAAAATTTACCTGTGATCTGTTTTGAAGCCTGATAATCCAATTCTTTGCGAATCTTTGCTTTGCATTAATTTTTTAAGTCTTTATAGGATAACTTCTGTCTTCATAGGACATCCTCTACTGAGATGTACTTTTATGTTCTAAGAAGCTTTCTAATGAGAAATCTCCAAAATTTTATTTATGGGATTGCAAAAGCATAATTATGTAACCATTAAGGATTACGGTATGAACTAGCAGTATGATGGTTTTTGTTTGGTTTAGCGATCATAATAATTTCTACAGTCTTAGGCCAATAATTATATTGAAGGATGGCGTTGAAAATATTTGTTATATATAAAATACCCTTTGTAGGCAATTCTTTTAACATTGTTGGTGTAATTTTGTCCATACCCGGCGAAGATCTATTTTTCATCTTTCTTATTTCACATAAGACATCATTTGGTGAAAAATGTCCTAACGGTGTTGAATGTATGGGTTGATTTACAAAAATGTTAATTATGGTTTATAATTTTCAGAGGAGGGTTTTGTTGTAGGGGTTTCATTTTGTTCTTGATTGGTTTCCATATGGATTTATTCCAATTTTTCCATTCTTTCATTTTTTTTTCCTAAGCGTGTTATTGAGATGATTAAGGGATGTCTTATCCGTTGGTAGATGGGAATGTTGCCAGGTACGTCTTGCTTTTTGTTTCTGTGCAATTAGCTTCTTAATCTCTTGCGGAATTGTTATATTATCAGTATTATGAAATCAACTGGTATTTCGGCATTTTCGCTTTTAAAACCGCAAAATATTGGTGCTAAAAGGTAAGCTAACAAAAATATCTATACTGCTCTGTATAGACTTTCCATCAAAGTAAAACTTCTTTGCAAAGACGATCCAAAATTCGTTCAAGATCATATTACAATATTAAAATAAATTCTATTGCCTGTATCCGATGTATGAATCAACATAATTTCCAAAATTTTAAAGACTTTAAACTGCATTTTTTTGTACATTTAGTTCGGTGTCTTTGAAACGGCTGAACCTGTCTTTGCCAAAATCTAACCACCACTTCTCCCCATCATTACAAATTGAATAATTTTTTAATCATCCAAATTGGGTGCTCCATTCTCTCAAATACTCGATTCTTCTGCACTCTTTGCTCCGTATCTCCGAAACAGCTGGATCTGCCTTTGCCAAAAACTAATTAGCACATCTCCTTATCAATAGGAATTGTATGTTTTTTGAACCATTCAAATCGTTTGATCTATGCTCCCGAAAACGTGGACGAAAAATTGTCTCCATACACACACACATCCATTTTTTCTGAGGTATGCCAAAATGTTCAGAAACCTCTGGAACGTGAAGATATGCACATATTTTTATTTTTGATTTTTGGTCCATTACTATAACTTATCTTACGGGAAGTTAACCCTTTCTACTCGCGAATTTCGAGATTTATATGAATTTTGCTGCCGGAGCGACGGCATCCGAGTGGAAAGGGTTAATAATAAAGATTATATAAGTGTGGGCTTCATTTTGTTAATATTGAGTATTGCTATAAAATATTTTGGCGCCGATGTCATTTTAAAAAGTCTTTACGTTTTTAAATAAGAAGAAATAAACATCATTATTTATCAGTCCGGTCCGACGGGTTGAGACAATATTTTGACACTTGTTTATGAAATGGAACGACTTAATGAGATTATGTTTTAAGCGATTTAAAGTTTGAATGGTTCATAAAAACTCACTCAGTTGTAGCAGTATGTCAACTGGTGTTTGTTTCAATACCGAATATACCGATATCTTTAATATAAATTCCAGTATTAATGAAATTCCGGTATATCTATTTTTCGGTATACCGGTATTTCATTCTCTATTCAGGATCATCATTTTGCATTTTTTCAACTTATTGGACTAACAGTTTACTCCAAAATCTTCAGTTTCATGTTCTATTATTGTTATAATATCCTTTTTACATTTATTGTTCTGTAGATACCTATATCATTTGTTAGTCGATTTAAATTTTTTGTTCAGTATATTTCTATAAGTTAAATTGAATGTTTCAAAAATGAATATTGTTTAATCTTTTTGAAGTTACATAATTAGTTCTAACTATTAAGGTACAATAGTTTGGTTTGGTGTAAAATAATCATTAAGTGTAAGGTGTTTTAAGAGATATAATAATCCCTCATAATTAATTATTTTAATAATAATTCTTTCCTAATAATATATATTACATTCCTTATTATATAATATAATTTGTTATAAAATAATTATCCTTATATCCTTTATCATCAATTATTTTAATAATAATTAATTATTTTTTATTGCTGTATATTTTTAACAAGTTTCTGATATTTATAGAAATCGAATCCTACTATAACTAAATAACTAAATCTTATATAACCATCACTAAATTACTGATTTTTTTTTTTTTCAAAAAATATAATAAAAAATATATAGATAAAAACATGAACAAATGTAATTACAACCATTTTCTTAATAATTTTTATGTATCACTAGCAAACCCGACGAACTACGTTTCGCCACCAGATGGTTTTGTGAGAAAGATGAAATTTTTTGTTTGTTGTATATTTGAAAAGGAAAAATTTGATTTCATTACACAACAGTAATGAATTTATTTCGATTACAAAAATAAAGTGTTTTTTAGTTGAACTTCTCTAAGTAAATGAAATTGAATCCGCAAATTATCCGTTTCATTGAAGTGCTCTTTGGTAAACCACATTTTTTGTTTTTTGGTCTGAAGTTAACACAAAGCGGATGGTTTTCGAACTTGTGAACAGGCAACATATAACTGCCCATGTGAAAAACGCAAAATCTAAGCGATTGGCTTTGTGACTTGTTAATTGTCATTGCGAACGCAAGGCGAACTGGAAATTGCAATCGTTTGAAGTCAAACGGAAGACCAGTCGGAATCATTGGTACGTCACCAAATCGCCAGCAATTTTTGATTGAATGGTGAAATTCAGTGCGTGTATATAATTATTCTTTGCGACAAGAGTTGCTCGTTGACTTAATCAAGCATAATTCTGATAATTCTCAGTAATGTCATTACTCGAGGTTTTAATTACGGTACGTGAAGTTCCACCAATTTGCATTAAGGCACGATGCCGAGACCTTTCCAACGAATGCAAAATTGTCGAAATCGGGTCGTGCGTTCTTGAGTTTTATCGCCAGGAAGGAAAATCCGACTTGTTTATATATATATATATATATATATATATATATATATATATATGTGTGTGTGTGTATGTAGATTTACTTTATAATTATTGTTATGTAACTTCATTATTATTATTATTGTTCCAGGAGTAGATCTATTCCAAAAAGATTCATAAAATCAAGAACAAAAAGTCGGTCTGTCCATTCCGGTTCAAGAAGACGCTCTGGATCTGTAAAACGATCTCGCAGTAGGTCTGGATCAAGAAAATCTAGATCGCGATCTAATAACTCTAGGAGATCACGCTCTGGCTCAGCTGGATCAAATGTAGTCTCTAGAAAATCAAGGTCTAGATCTAAGTCTGGATCTGTGAAGTCTAGATCAAGATCTAGGTCGGGTTCTGGAAGATCTAGGAGTGGTTCTATTAAATCTAGAAATGGTTCTATTAAATCTAGAAGTGGATCTAGAAAGTCTAGATCTGGATCTATAAAGTCTAGAAGTGGTTCTAGAAAATCTAGAAGTGGTTCTAGAAAATCTAGATCTGGATCTAGAAAATCTAGGTCTGGATCTAGAAAATCTAGAAGTGGTTCTAGAAAATCTAGATCTGGATCTAGAAAGTCGAGAAGCGGTTCTAGAAGATCCAGGAGTGGATCACAAAAAGCCAGAAGTGGTTCAAGAAGATCAAGGAGTGGGTCAGTTAGATCAAGGTCAGGATCCAGAAGATCTAGAAGTGGCTCCAGAAAATCAAGGTCAGGATCCAGAAGATCTAGAAGTGGTTCTGCAAGATCCAGGAGTGGATCTCGCAGATCTCGGAGTGGATCAGCGAGATCTAGAAGTGGTTCGAGGAGATCGCGAAGTGGCTCGAGGAGATCGCGAAGTGGTTCCAGAAGATCTCGCAGCGGCTCTGCAAGATCCAGAAGTGGTTCCAGAAGATCGAGGAGCGGCTCGAGAAGATCCAGAAGTGGTTCACGTAAGTCGGGAAGTAGATCCAGATCGCGCAGTGGCTCTGCGAGATCCAGGAGTGGTTCGAGAAGATCCCGGAGCGGTTCAAGACGATCGAGAAGTGGTTCAAGAAAATCGAGGAGTGGTTCAAGAAGATCGAGAAGTGGTTCCGCCAGGTCTAGATCGGGTTCAAGGCGATCAAGAAGTGGCTCCGCCAGATCTCGTTCAAGATCAAGAAAGTCTAGATCAAGATCTCGGTCTCGATCGAGATCTGGTTCTAGAAGATCCAGGTCAGGGTCTGGATCAAGATCCCGATCTCGATCGAAATCAGGTTCCAGATCACGGTCACGATCGCGATCTGGAAGCCGTTCAGGCTCTGCCAAATCGAGATCCAGATCAAGGTAAGATCATGGAATCCCAAAACACATGAATTAAAATAGATACCGCCATTTTATAATTGGAATAATCTTTGGAGGCTTAAAAAAATCGCTTTTTTGATGAATTTTTAGGTAAGGAACTAAATATTTAATTGGAACGAAACTTTCAAGTTCTATTTTTCGTAGTTATATATTTCAACATTCTTCTCAATTTTTTTCATTAAATTATATGTCATAATATGCAAGGTACAAGCATTTTGCCGATACGACATGAACGTGCAGGCGGAAAAGATGCAGGTCACAATTTCCATCCGAAACAAAAAAATTAAAACAAATATGTATTTTCAATAGTATAGATTCTAATTGAACCTAAAAAATCTAGAAAAAAGCGAGAATTTACCAATTTTTCGCAACTTGAAAAAAAACATGTTTTTTGTTACAAAATTTCACTTTAGATTGTTTAAAAAGTGGGTTAATTATAACTTGTATTTAAGTTTTTTAGGTACAACTAGAATAGAATTTAATCCTGAATACAATGAATTTTGTCTTGTTCCAATAGGACGTTTAGTTTTTTTTCTATCTTTTCCGCCACTTTAGAAAAATCGAAAAAATGTAAAACCGAGAAATCAAAGTTTTCATTCCGCTCGTATACATGCTCACTATTTCTTCTGTAACTCCGAAAATAATTTGTATTTGTTTTTTAAATTTTAGGGATATATTCTTGGCTAGTTTTAGAAGACATTTTTGCAAAAAAAAATCAATTTTTTTAAGTCTCTAAAGAAGGCTCTCCTTTTAAGATGTCGTTTTTTCGATTAAATGGGAAATGTTTATTGAAGAATATATTTGTTTTTAAATTATTTCAATATTAAGCGAAAGACGTACATTTTCATAATGCATAATGTTAGAATTTATAAATTTAATATGATGTAATTTATATTTATGTATCATTTTTTTTATAGGTCCAGGTCAAAATCGCGGTCTCCAAAAACGCAGAAAAGAGCTCGTAATGTTCTTAGTGATTCAGAAGATGAAGATATTGGTCCTTCACCGAAAAAGAAACAACCAGCAGCTGTCGATTCTGATAATGAAGACCAGGAAGAAAATGTGGATGAAGGTGAACAACGACCACCTGAAGATCAGCAGGGATCGGATTCAGACGAAGGTAATAAATTTTATTAATATACCGTAGGGTAAGTTATTGTAATCGTCCAAAAATCGAAATTGAAAATTTTTTCAAATAATTTCAATTTTTTTTTCAATATTTTTTTTGTATATCGAAAACAATCCGAATTATAATTCTAGCTGAAATTCTAAAGCTTACTTATTTAATTTAAATAAATAAAGTTAAAACCCCCGAATAACACGTTACTTCTATAACACGGATTCGCTCTAACACGGTTAAGAATTGATACCATCCCCCTTATAACACGGTACTTTTAAAACACGGCTTTGCTCTAACATGGTTTGAGAATTTAGCAAAACCATAATAAAATGAAAAGTATAGTAAAATCTATGAAAATCAAACTTTATTAAAATGAAATTAGTGAAATTTCAGTACAATAGCTTAATAAATGTGATGAAATTAGTGCAAAATGACTATCTTGATACTTATTATTCGAGCGCGTTCGTTTTATAGAAAAAAATTCTAGGTTTATCCGAACACTTAAACAAAGTCTTAAACAAAGATTCTTTAAATAAAATGAGCATGAAATTTTAATAAATATTACTTTGCATGTGGTAAATGTATAAATGTCTTTTCGCTAAAAGCAAGTAATCGCAAATATATATTTTTTGCAAAAAATAATGCATGGAATTGGAGGTAGTACAGAAAACTGCTCAGAGGGTGAGGATACCTTGCAAAAAAAAGGATCCCGTTGGATAGTACTTACTTGTTAATTATGACGAAAAAAAATCATATTATTCATGTAATGTATTGTATATTTCTCCTCAAAACAATTAATAAATATAACAATGTTTATTATAAAATCATGAGGATGTACATTTTTGTAATTCTAGGAACCTACTCCTCTTTTTGTACTAGTTCTTTGTCCAGTATAACAAGGATTCGCATATCACGTTATTTTTTTTGAAAAGTAACTACCGTGTTATGCGGGGGTTACCTGTAATTTTAATTTTGTAATTCAGTTTATATAATTCTTATAAATATCAGACAATATCACAGTATTTATGATAAACTATTCGAAAACATTTAATATTCCTCAAACATTTTGTTATGGTACGGAAAGTTCCAGCAATTTGCCTTAAGGCACGATGCCATACACCACTAGTTTTCTTTCTATTGCTTTTTGTTTTTTATAATACAGAATTAAATTAATTAAGATAATTTATTATTATAGGTGTACGACCTGATGACCGTGAAGGCCAGGAAAATTCTCATATGAACGACTTCGATCTCATGTTGATGAGAAAGAAAGAAGAAGGATCCAAACGCAGAAAACGACGTGATATTGACATAATCAATGACAATGACGATTTAATAGCACAACTTCTACAAAATATGAAACACGCAGCCGACGAGGATAGAGAATTAAATAAAATGAATAAACCCGCAATTAAAAAAATTAGTATGCTCAAAAGCTGCATGTCGCAGCTGATAAAGAAAGATTTACAATTAGCTTTTATTGAACACAATGTTCTGAATGTTCTTTGTGATTGGTTGGCTCCTTTGCCTAACAGGAGTTTACCTTGTCTACAAATCCGGGAAAGTATATTGAAATTGTTATTAAGTTTTCCACCAATCGATAAGTCTTATTTGAAACAGTCTGGCATTGGAAAGGCTGTGATGTATTTGTATAAACATCCTAAGGAAATCAAACAGAACAGGGAGAGAGCTGGAAGACTTATTTCCGAGTGGGCGAGGCCTATTTTTAATTTGTCTACTGACTTTAAAGGTAAACAACGGGAACATTATATATTATTTGTTAACTTCCGATTCGCTAATTTTATGTTTTCTCGACGTTTCAAGCCATTCTGAATCGAATGAGACACAAATTTGGAAAAAGTATGTGTGAATGTGTGTGTGTATGTTATGTGATCAGATTTTTTGCCGTAAATCGACGTTTTCCCAAAAACCGATGGACCGATTTCAAAAATTTAAAAGTCATTCGATGTATCTCGATGAGGACTAGCTAGCGCTTATCAATTTTGCGCGACGATCAGCCGAGCCGTTTCTTTGTAAATAGCCGAAAAGTGAAAAAAAATCGTCCACGTTTCAGCCCGCAATTCTGAATAGATTTTGCGAATTCAAAAACCGTTCGATAGATATTGGTTGGGAATCGTGCTGATTAGTTCTTGGTAGAAATTGGGCGGGCCGTTTTCTTGTAATAAAGGGTTGACGATTTTTATGATTTTTTTATGGTAGATATCACAGTCTTCTAGATCATACTAAAATATTACCGCTCTACGGCAAAACGTTTAATTTTAAAATTTTTTCAAAGTTTGCAAAAATTAGTATCGTTTTTTGGCATTTGTCAAAATTACGTTTGCTCAAAAACGCCTGAACCGATTTCAGAAATTTACAAGCCATTTAATGTATCTCGATGAGGATTATCGTTTCTCAGTTTTGTGCGTCAATCGGCCGAGCCGTTTCTTTGTAATTTGGTAGTGTTAAACTTTTTGTCCACTTTTAAGCTCATACTACAGAATTGATTTTAAAAATCACTAGTGGTGCATGGCATCGTGCTTTAAGGCAAATTGCTGGAACTTCCCGTACGACAAGTAAATATTCGAGCAAACAAAATTAATAAACAATAAATATTAATCAATTATTGATAATTGTTTTAAATATTTTTAAAGAGATAATTATAAATACTATATATTCACTCGTTTAAACAGTGATGATGTTATCGCTCAAAACATTTGAAAATGTTTACATTAAGAGATTCCGAATGAATCCATCTGAGGATATATTTCTTACGAGTAGAATAACGCATATAGAATATATACATTTTTAAACTGAATTGTAAATTTAAAATTTATATCTAAGGTATAAAACTATATTTTTGAAAATTTAATAAAAAATCTGAGAATTTTGGAATTTGTTTGAACCGCAAAATTTTGGTACGAAACCCAAAGAAATTGTAACAAAATTTGTTTTTATTATTAAAAATCTTTAAGATTTTTAATAATTTGATGTGCATATGTCTAATGATCATTTTAGACCGCCAAATATCTTTTTTTTCTACATTTTCATCTGTATCTCCAAAACTGTGAGACCTGCCGAACCAAAAATTTAATCAATTCTTCATTTAGTCAATACAAGTAAAATGTTTTTTGAATTAAAAATCAAAACTGTTCGAAAGATATTAGTTGGTTGATTAAATGATACTGATTAATTTTAGGTGAAAATCTACCGGGCCGTTTTCTAGAAATTAACTGTGAAAAAAAATTAAGCTGATTTTTATGGAACTTTCTTTGGCGATAATATCATGGTCTTATAGAACTTACTGAAATATTACGGCCTTACAAGTTGTTTAGTTTTAAAAATTCATCAAAGTTTGAGAAAATGAGTCTTTCTTTTTTTTTGGCGTTTGTCAAAAAGAAAATTAGACGATTTACTTGGTATAACGATAGTATACTTGGTCTTAATGAGCATACTAAACCATTAAAGTTCTACGGAAACTGGGTTCAATTATAAAAATGGTTAATTTTTGAAAATTTGGTTTTAGAAAATAGTCCGAGTTAACGTGTTCGTTCGTGTAATAAATGTGTAATAAATCCGCTCGGAATACTTTTAATCACTCATAAATTAATTAATTTTGTATTGATTAAGTTGATTATTTACATATATCAGGAAGTTCATGTAACTTGCCTCAAGGCAAAACAAATACCAACTAGTTAAATATTTTTTTTATATATTTTTATTTATATATTAGCTATGTCGCGAGAAGAAAGACAGCAACGTGACTTAGAACAAATGGCACGAACAAGACGCATTTCTGAGCCAGAAACTTCAAGTTCCACTGCTTCCAGTTCGAAAAAGGGTCTTAACCAAGCCATAGTTGCAGAAGAGAAGTCCGCCATATTTTCTTGCCAACATACACTAATTACATAACATTTGTTAATTAAATTCAATTATTCTTTTAGAGCATTGAGGCCTGGTGAGAAAGGTTGGATCGGACGAGCAAGAGTACCCTTGCCATCTAACAAAGACTATGTAGTTCGTCCAAAATCTACATGCGAAATAGATATGAGCAGGATTACTAGCAAGAAAATGAACCGGTACGAAAAACAATTGAAGAGGTTTATAGATCAAAAACGATTAAAAGCAGCTAATAGAAGAGCTGTTGAAATATCCATCGAAGGAAAGAAAATGGCGCTTTAGGAAATAATCATGATTAGTAATAGGTATACTGAATTGTTTATAACTGATTATATTTTTGGAAATTCATTTATATGAATGAATTTTTACGAAATATTTATGACTTGATATAATTTGACTCCACATATTCATGATAATGAGGCAATTGTGACTGTAAACGAATTTGTTAATAAAGATTTACTTTATAAATAAAGCAAAATATGTTTCACCATCAGCATGAAAAACTAAGTAGTAGGTGATAAAATCTTTATTTGTTAAAAGTTTTCTCCAAAAATCTTGAACCGATTTTGAACATTTTAATGAAAGATATTACAAGTTGGTTATAGTGCTGATTATTATTGGGTAAAGGCCGTTTTTTCTTGGAATTTGATTTGACTCATGTCTATTGAATTGAAGTGTGAACTAGTGGTATATGGCATCGTGCCTTAAGAAAAATTGCTGGAACGTCCCATACCAGAATTAAATATTTGAGCAAAAAAAATTAATAATCAATAAATATTGATCAATGATTAATTACATTTATTAATATTACTGTATATTTATTTGTTTATATAATATACAGTTATATAATATACAGTGACGATCTTATTGCTCAAAACACTTGAAAATGTTTACATTAGCAAGAGATGCCGAATGAATCCATCTGAGGATATATTTCTTACGAGTAAAATAACGCATATGAAATACATACATTTTTAAATTGAATTGTAAATTTAAAATTAATGTATTTTTATATATATATTTGAAAATTTTAATGAAAAAATCTGAAAATTTTGAAATTTGTTTTAGTGAACATTAAAAATTAAAAATCTTGGTACGGAACCCAAAAAAGTTGTAACAAAATTAGTCTCCATGTTTATAATTTCTATAAGATATCTGATAATTTGATGTTTATATGTCTAATGTTCATTTTTGACCGCCAAATATCTTTTTTTTTACTTTTTTCTTTGTATCTCCGAAACCGCTAGACCTGCCTCACCAAAAATTTAATCAGTTCTTCACTTTATCAATACAAGTAAAATGTTTTTTCAATTATTCAAATCGGACGCTCCGTTCTCTTAAAAACAGAATTAACGTTTGTGCCACTTTTTGCCCTTTATCTCCGAAACGGCTAGACATGTCTTTGCCAAAAACTAATCAGCACGTCTCTTTATCAGTAGGAATGAAATATTTTATGAATCATTCAAATCGGTTAATCCGTGTTCGCAAAATTGTCGACGAAAATTTGTATCCGCACACACACACATACACACATACTTCAATTTTTTCCAAAAACGTTCAGAAACCTCTGAAACGTAAAAAGATATAAACATTCATTCCCATTTTTTTAAATTTTTTTTGCTATTACTATAACTTTCCCTACATAATAAATTTAATATTATTTACTTATTTATATTTATTATTACTTTTAATATTAAAAAACTTAACAATAGTGCTAAAACGGATTTATGAATTTTCAATGTGTTTATATAGTAAAAATTGATTCGAGATACAAGCGATTCGACATACGAGCGTAGTTTAACAAACGAATTAAAATCGTTAACTTCCCATCTTTACTTATATTGACAAAATGAAGAACTGATTAAATTTTTGGGAAGGCATGTCCAGCGGTTATGGACTCTCAATAAAAAATAAGTTCAAAAAATGTCATTTGGCGGTCAAAATTGTTTATTGGACATATGTACATCAAATTATCAGATATTTTATAGAGATTTCAATGATGTGACAACATTTTGTGTAATTTTTTATGGGTTCCGTATCAAGATTTTTAATTACGGTACGGGAAGTTTCAGCAATTGGCGTTAATGCACGATGCCATGCACCTCACTAGTTGAAAATTCTTTTATAAATTTGAATTTCAAACTGTGCGCCAAAGACATTAGAACTTAAACTGGCGTGAAGTTAATAACTTTTTAATATTTAAATTCCGCCGGCACTGTCGCTCATTTCAGGTTAAATCCTCATGGCGGAAGGATCTGTCAAAAAGTGTTTTAAAATAGTGAATAAAAGTGAAATTATCATGTGATTTGTGCAATTATCCTGTAATCCTGTCCAGACACAAAGTAAGTAATACACAAATAATCTAACTTTTATTTATTATAATTTATTTATACAATGGAACATAATTGAATGGAACAAGGAATCGGTTAAACTGTCAAAAGATATTTTAGTACGCAATCATATAAGCAGACGTTTAATATTATAATAATTCGGTACTTAAGGCTTAATATTTTAATAATCTCAATGAAGAATTAAATTATGATCTAGAAAAATATATACAATTTATACAACATAAGATCAATGGGTTAATATGACTTGCTCAAAATGTCATGAATAATAAATTTACGTACGACATTTTGAACTAATATTTTACAACAATATTTACCACAAAGTAATTACTAATAATAATATTGTAAGGTATATTCAGTAAAACCTCGTTAAAGCAATTATGCCTAATAGGATTTCTCGCATAATACGCTACTTGATATGGGCATCCACACTTTAAAACATGTATTTTCTTTCCTTCTTAATACGCCTTCCCGTTTAGGACGCGTTTTTAGTAGGGTCTTTGAAAAATCGTCTTTACGAGGTTGTACTGTAAATTGTACATATTGAATTTTTATTTATAGAAATTCTTAAGAATTTCATATAGAATTCTATACAAGTTCAAAAAGGAGTTTGAAGTTATAACAATTTTTGGTTTTTGTACAAAATGAATAGATAAACTATAAATTCATTTTCGAAAAGCATTAATTTAATTAAATTTTTAAATTAAATCAAACCATAAAAATTCATATTTGCCTTTGATGTACAAATTCATATTTATTTCTCTTCAAGAGTTTCTCAAAATAAGAATTGTTGGATAAAAACTTAAAATGTGTTACATAAGTCAGTTGTTTCCAACCTTTTTGTATCTCCCCATTTTTTTTAAAATAAATTATGCGTTATTTTAATTTTTCTAACAATCTAAATCAATAAATGTGTACTCATTTGAAATTATAAAGAATTTACGGGCTATAAAATAATATTCAATATTAATTATAATTATTTATTTATTCAGTTTTTTATATCAATTCAATTTTCTTTCTTTTTTATTACAAAGTATTATGTTGGAGAATACTGCAAGCGCCCTTTTAACAATTTCCAGCCCCGTTAGGGACGCGACCCACATGTTGGAAATCACTGACATAAGTTGAGAAAATATATTTAAAATTATAATTTTAAATATGAATTTTAACAATATATTGTTAAACGTTATAATAAAATTTTCAGTCTAAATTATAATAAAATGTAAATCAGAGTAGAAATTCATTGTGAACATATTAATACAGTGTTTTCCAAATTGTGGGGCGCGCCCCCTAAGGAGCCCAAAAACCAAAACCAAAAAAGTTGAATTTTGATTTATTGTATGAAAAAATCTTTTGCATTTATACTTATACATAATAGTGTATATTATTTTGTAGCCCATTAAATTAATAATATTATTTGATTGTGATATTTAATTGTTAGAAAAATTAAGGAGGTGCATTTTTTTTTAAAAAATCAGGAGCATGAAAGGGAAGCCACTGCATTAATATATTTCTCAATAAACTCTTTCAAAATTAGTCTATCTGATAATAAAAGGATATGTAAAATAAATTTTACAATCAGTTTATTTAATTTTAGGAAAATTATATCTTCAAAAATATCAAATTGTGCACATTTTGAATAAATCCTTAACCATCACTCTTTACGCAATTAAAAAACCAAATTATTATCAAAATCATCCATAATTTTTTAACAATAATTTATATAAAAATCATATCGCTTTGATTTTTAGTTCTATTCTACAAACTATTTGTGTAACTACTACAATTTTTTTTTGCACAGCACATTTGATTTTTGGATATTCATGTTCATCAATATATATTTATATAACTCTGATATACTACAATACTTTTTCAAAATAATATATTTCTATATTTGTTTATATAACATCGATGATTGGGAATATAAATACATGATAAATACATACTTGTGTATCGTAATTGAATTAAAAAAATCCAAAAAGTTATAAACAAAATTGGTAAATTTTAATCTAACATTTTCAAAATAATATATTTCGTTATTTGTTTATAATAACATCGATGATTGGGAATATAAATACATGATAAATACATACTTGTATATCGGAATTGAATTAAAAAATCCAAAAAGTAACAAACAAAATTGGTAAAGAGGTAAATTTTGATCTAAGATTCTATATATTTTTTTTGAGTGTTACTAATAAAATTTATATTCATTCATTCTTTAATAAAAGTATTTATTTCTCATTTCTTTTGAATTTATATTACTGAGTTTTTTAATTAATTGAAATTTATAATGAATTTGGCTACAAAATCAAATTTATTAACAATTTATTACAATATTTTCCTTATTCCAAATACTCTTCAGGTTTTAATACAGAATAATACAATTGTAAATTATATAATACATTTATTTTCATAATTAACCCAAATATTATATTTAAACATCAACAGTAAAAAATTATATCATAATTTCTTAGGCATTGTTTTTTTTATAATAATAACTGTTATAAAAAATTAATGTATTGTATACTTATTTGAACATCATAATTGGACAAGAAATCTTTTATTTGCATATTTTGCAAACTAATGGCACAATTGTGCCGTAACAGATCTTATAAAATAGCGTTGTCATGGCAACACTCTCTTATGCTTGTTCTTGGTAGTGAAAATTATGAAAATCTCTATCTATTTGCTGTGCGATCAAGCGTATTTTACATATAAACAAGCAAGGAAGAATCTTATGATAACAGAACTTTAGATAGTGCAGTTATCATAACATTCTCCCACTTCTGTTTTTATGTAAAATATGCCTGATCGCACAGCAAATAGACAGACATTTTCATAATCTTCAATACCAGGAACAAGCATAAAAGAGCGTTGCCATGACAATGCTATTTTATAAGCTCTGTTACATCAGAATTGACCCATAAGGAAGGTATATGCTGTTCGAGATCAATTCTTTTGAAAAACTAAAGTCTTCCTAAAAGAATTGATTTACTTAAAATAAATTACAGGGTTTTATATACATATATTATATTCACAATATAAAATTAAAATAAATAGTAATACAAAGCACTTAATAAATATCAAATAAAAATCTTTGTACAGATTAGTCAAAAAATACTCGGGTCCAGGTGTGTTTCATACGTACTATACACTATTTTTTATTGAGTATATACAAAATCGTGGGGTGTTGAATAATGGAAAGATTTTAACGTGTATTCTACTTTGTGTTAATACATATACTTAATTTAAGAGTATTAATATTAAGTTTTAGTATAGCAGTTTTTTACTGAATTCAAAATCAAGGATATAAGAATAAACTTAATGATAATAGGAAAAAGAGAAATATAAGCCACAATATTATTTTGAAAACAAAATTTAGCCAATTTTTACACCCAGGAATGTTATCAACAAAAAAAAATATTTTCAACAAGTTATTTAAATAAATATTTTTATATAACAATTAAATTATTATCAAGCTTAGTTTTATATCCTTTCTTTCCAAATGTTTACAGTCTACAGTTTTATGTTAATGTATGTATGTGGCCCCCTTAAATATAGGATTAAATGAGAATGACACGATGTTTGACAAATTTTTTTTATCATGCTTTTGCAGATTTTTTTTTTATTGATACAGTTATTAATAGCTGGCTTCATGTCCTGCAAGTATATATATATCGTGTCCATCTTCATTTCCTAGTGAACCAGTCCTTAGGACTTGACTTTCTAAAGTAACGACCCTGGAAATAAAAAAAAAAATTTAATTAGGTGTAAGTGGCATCGTGCCTTAAGGCAAATTGCTGAAACTTCTCGAACCCTAACAAAATGTTAAATGTTTTCAAATAGATTATTATAAATACTGTAACATTGTCTAATATATATAAGAATTATATTATATAATAATAATTATACTATTATCGATATTCAACAAAAAAGCAATCATTTCATCAACACAAGCAAAAAGTTTTTTGAATCATTCAAATCGGGTGGTTATTTCTATCAAAAACTGCCATTTTTTGCACATTTAGCTCGTTATCTCCGTAACGGCTGGACCTGCTTTGGCCAAAAACTAATCACCTCTCTTTTCCCAATCATTACAAATTCAATGTTTTTTGAATCAAAAACTCGATTTCTAGTTTCTGCACTCTTTGCTCCGTATCTCCGAAACAGCTGGACCTGCCTTTGCCAACAACTAATCAGCACTTTTCCTATCAATAGTAATCGATTGCTTTTTCAATCATGCAAATCGGTTGATCCATGAGCTCGAAAACATGGACGAAAAAATGTATCCACAAATACATACACACACATACAGTTTCAAAACAAGAAAAATTTCATGCAAAAAAAGAAAACACTAGGCAACCTAATTTGATGATCAATAAGCCAGAGTTGATGACTATTGATGAGTTGGTGACTACATCTTCATTTCATTCCAAGTCGAATTTTATGTAAAATTAGTGGACCATGTATCTTCATCAGACATTTTATTGGTAAGCCATGTATCTGGCTTACTTTTTGCTAAATTGCATAATTGTCCAGTTGGCCCTTTTTTACCCAAACTGAATCTTTAACACTAATCATACCAAAGGCGGGTCAAATGACCCATTTTGAACTTTGAGTTGGAATGGCATGTATGATATTATTGTTTAGGTAATTTGGACGTTCGAAACTTTTCATACTGATATATTGATCATATTCTGTTAAAATAGTTTTAAAAATTTTTCTTTGTTTATAATTTTGAGTAATATTCAATGTATGCCGTTATCTACCAGACCCAGAGAGCATTTTTTATTTTATAAGGTTTTATTTAGCTTTATTTCTACAAGGACCGTTGTGAAAAATGCTTCAATCAAAATAGCCGTGAATAATTTCCAAAAATAATAAAATTTTAGATAGGACGAAGCTTTCAGTAAAATTCATTGCACAAAACAAGTCAGTAGAAGATTTTTAAAGATTTAAATAATATTGGAAAAGAAAATCGAAATTTCTCCTGACAAAATTAAAAATATTTCTCATACTCACTTATCACTGCCTAACAATCTGTACGTTTTAGACATATCGGTTATCTCTTGTGTAATTTCTCCATTTTTCAAAGACCTGCCTTGCACTCCATGCTTATGAAAAGCTAATATACTATCCGGAAGGCACACTGAAAAAAACATTCATTACTACACTATTTATGTCTTTGAACACATTTCTCACAAATTAGCACATAGTACATAATTGTATCATTATTATAGAAAATAGATAGATAAGCAAATTCATTTATACTACTTCATAACAAAATTCATAAATTTCACTATACAGTTGTTAGAAATTTAAATATGAATTACAATTCAATACCTACCAATGCTTTCAATGATGAAGTCGAACTTTATTTCATTCACGCACTTTTTGGCGATTCTTGGTTTTCCCTTGGCAGTAACAATATTGATTTTGGTTTCATAACAAACCAATATAGCATCTTTGTCAATTTGTCGAACACAAATTGTTTTTAAAGTATCACGTCTTGGTACAATGGTTTCAGTGCCATCGGAGTCTGAGGAATCACCTTCGTTGTACCAACTAGCACCTGGTAAAGGTAATATGTATGAAATTTGTATACAGTTACACTTATATAATTAATATATTTAATTGCGAACAAAGCACTTTCTAATTTAGATAACTACTCAAAAATAGACTTTGAAATATACTAATTTAAAATATAAAAATAATGTTATATTTATATAATAAACTAGTGGGGTGGGTGGCATCGTGCCTTAAGGCAAATTGCTGGAACTTCCCGTACCGTAACGAAACGTTCGAGGAATATTGAATGTTTTCAAATAGATTATTATAAATATTGTATTATTGTCTAATATTTATAATAATTATATAAACTGAATTGCAGAGTTGAAATTATTTGTTTAAAGTATATTAGAACTATAGTCAGAATTAAAAATAAAATCTGAATTATTTTCGATATACAAAAAATTTAAAAAAAAAAAAAAAAAAATTGTACAATTTTTTTTTTTTCAAAATCAATTATTTTGTTAAGACAAGCAGAAAGTTCTTTGAATCAATTGAATCGGACGCTTAGTTCTCTCAAAAACTGCCATTTTTTGTACATTTAGCTCTGTATCTCCGAAATGGCTGGGCCTGCCTTTGCGAAAAACTAATAACCCTTTCTCCCAATCATTACTAATGGAATGTTTTTTAGATCATTCAAATCGGATGCTCCGTTCTCTCAAAAACTCGATTTCTATTTTCTGCACTCTTTGCTCCTTATCTCCGTAACTGCTGGACCTGTCTTTGCCAAAAACTAATCAGCTCTTCTCCTTATTAATAGGAATCGAATGTTTTTTAAACCATTCAAATCGGTTGATCCGTACGCCCGAAAACGTGGACGAAAATTTGTATCCATACATACATACACACACACACACACACACACACACATCCATTTTTTCTGAGGTACGCCAAAACGTTCAGAAACCTTCAAAACGTCGAGAAATGTAAAAAATTTCAATTCCGATTTTCGGCCCATTACAATAACTTACCCTACGGGAAGTTAATATTATACTTAATGTTTTTATATAAAAATATACAAGCAATAATATTTCATATGAAGCTTATATAGTTAAAAGCAAAATTTTTGAACATCATGTTATGAAAAAAAAATCCAAATTTAATTCAAATCTCTTTAACATTTCTGCACGTTTCGAAACCCAATTTGCCTTTTCTTATTTAGCAGAAGTATTTAATATGGAACTTTATTTACAATGACGATGATGCATTCTGATTATACAATTAATGTAGTTAAAATTTTAAGTTCAGCTGAGCTTTTTTTTAATATTATAAATTATCTAAATATTTGTTCTTAAATTCTTCAAACTTGTTTTTAGAAAACTTGTCGAATCTTTAATTAGATTGTAAATATTTATAATTTACGGAATTGGAATAAAATCTCACTGAATTCTATAAAAAAAAATAAAAATATAATTAAATTAGTGGGGCGCATGGCATTTCTTAAGGCAAATTGCTAGAACTTTCCGTACCGAAAACTAAATTATTAAAAAAAACTTTGAAAAAATTAGATTTTTGAGAGATTTTGATATTTTTGAAAAAAAATGACTTTTTTGAAAAATTTGATTTTTTTTATATTTAGTTTTTTTTTTTATTTTGATTTTTTTTTGAAAATTTTGAACATTTTTTTTAAGCAATCGCACTGCATTTGGAGGCGAAATATCAAAGCGCGTACGCGACGCGTGTAAACATTGGTACGGAACCCATATAAATGTACACAAAATTTGTACTTATTATTATAATCTTTATAAAATATTTGATAATTCGATGTACATATATCTAATGTTTATTTTCGACCGCCAAATGGAATTATTTTTCATTTTTTTATTGGATCTCCGGAGACGCTGGACCCGCCTTTACAAAAATTTTACCAGTTGTTCATTTCGTCAATACAAGTAAAATGTTTTTTGAAATATTTTAAACGGACGCTTCGTTATCTCAAAAACTGAGATATCATTTTTGGCACTTTTTGCTCCGTATCTCCGAAACGGCCAGACCTGCCTTTGCCTAAAACTAATCAACACGTCTCCTTATCAGTATGATTCGAATGCTTTTTGAATTATTGAAATCGGTGGATCGGTGTTCCCGACATCGTCGACAAAAATTTGTATCCGCACACACACACACACACACACATCCATTATTTTTAAGGTAATGCCAAAATATTCAGAAACCTTTGAAAGATATATAAAAATTTTCATTTTCGATTTTTTTGCTATATCTTATCCTACGCGAAGTTATTACTACTTAGTACTAATATTATTAATTATATAATTTTGACAAAATAAAATCCACTAAATATAAATACAAATTGGTAAATGAAAGAAATTTCCACTTGCTTCTGGTCCTAAATAAAATATCAAAAATTTATCTCTTAACACATTCACTGCTAACCTTTTGTTGTTTAATATTAAATCAATTAAAAAAAGGTTGTTCCAAAATAGAATAAATAGGACTATTTCTGTTGTAATAATTACAGTACATAATTTCAATATAAACATTTTATTTTACTAACACTACTCTAAAGTGCAAGGAAGACGCACGCACATGTTCCGTTACTTGCCTGGCAATTGAAACGATCTCACGCACCATATGCGTGCGCGGCAGTGAACGTGTTAAGGGGCACAACTAGTGTGAAATTTTCAAAAAATCGAATTTTCAATTTTTCCATATTTCGATAGGTTATACCTTTAAAAATAACATACCAAAATTTTAAATCGATATCTTGAATAGTTTTTGAGTTACTGCCATTTAAAGAGTATATATAGTATATAGTATAACGATCATTTAATCTTTAAACGCGTTTTTCTCGAAACAGCATTTTTCGAATTTGCTGCAGCGATTACTCAAAAACAAATGATCCGATCACTATCAAATTTTGTTTACCTGCTCTATATATAGTTCTCCGTAAAATGAACTATCGATTTTTTAATCGGATCAAAAATCGAATTTTGGCAGTCCAAAAACAACCAAAATTTTGGGTAAAATTCGACTTTTTTTAAAAAACGCCGTCATTTCGTTAATTTTTGATTTTTTTTCTTTATCGTAGTTCATTTTACCGACAATATTATCTAGTTTAACGAGATTTTTTTTTTTTAAATTTCATCCACGTAGAAGAGGCCGGAATCACTGCAGCAGTGAAGGGCCTTTTTTGTCGCGCCGTTGGAGATCGACGATAACTTGAAAAATATTTAATTTTTTTCTTCAAAAATTTTACTGTGTATTCTTAAAACATGTATAAATATATTCCTTAAATTTTGAAATGATTGATAATGTAGTTTTTTTAATATAAATTCCCAAAAATCACCTTTTTTTAGGCGGTTACACTAATTGTGCCCTTCATAGTACCTTTATCAATCATATTCCTTTATCTTACCTGAGTTCATATTAATCAGATCCAGCCTGAACAACCTGCCATTGGCCCTATCACCTTCATTGTTCCTGGTCTCCTTCCTGACTCCTACACAAACCATCGGGAATTCAAGTTCTGGAGCGATCACCATCTCAAAAACTGAAGTTTCACCACCATTTCCATGATTAGGTAAATGGTGATTGTGGTTGCTTCCGGGAGAAGAACTGGCTGGTGAATAAGAGGCTGGTCCGAATCCAGGAGGCCATTCGCATTGTTTTAGGAGCATGAATTTGTTTAGGGGATCGTACCTGGTGGAAATGAAATATTTAGAGTATGTTCAGAGTAAAGATAAGATCCTAGTGGGAATAAACATTACAGGAGAAAAGTTTTTTTAAATCTAAAACAATAGATTCTTGTCTCTCTTTGGGAATTATTCTGGTACAGAATTTTTTAAAAATAGTTTTTCTTTTATATTATCAAAGTTTAAATATTCAAGAACAAGAGTAAATTTTTCTATGGTCTAAAATACCCCTTAAAATAAATTTATGACGCTGGTGCATTTGGAAAATGTTTTTCTGATCTTACATTTTTAAGCTTTTTTTAGAGAATTTTTTTATGAAAATTCTTGAATTTTCTAAGAATCTTTTGTCGGAATCTTCTGATTTGCACTAAAATATATTGATATACATATTACTGTAAGGTTTACTATATTATCCAATTTGTTCTTCATAAGTATATATTCAAACTAGTTGGTTTAGTATTTAGCCTTGAGGCAAGTTACATGAACTTCCCGATATGTGTAAATAATCGACTTAATCAATAAAATGAGTAAATAATATACTTCATTAATCTTACTTTAAAAAAATGATAATAATTTTAGCAAAGTTTGACAAATTTTTAAAATTAAACTACTTGTCGTAAGGCCGCAATATTACAGTAAGTTCTATAAGACCATGATATATATTGCCAAAAAAAGTTTCGGTAAACTCAGTAAATTTTCACCTAAAACTAACCAGTACCATTCCCAACTAATATCTTTCGAACAGTTTTTGATTTTTTAAAATCGATTCGGTAGGATGAGCTTAAATGTGGACGAAAAGTTTAACACTTTTTTTCAAATTGCAAAGAAACGGCTTGGCAGATCGTCACACAAAACTGACAAACGATAGTCCTCACCGAAATACATCAAATAGCTTTTAAATTTCTAAAATCGGCTCAGGCGTTTTGGAGAAAGCGTCGATCAAAGGTCTAATTTTTGCAAACTTTGACGAATTTTTAAAGCTGAACCTATTGTCGTAGGGCCGTAATATTTTAGTATGATATAGAAGACTATGGATTCTACCGTTAAAAAAATAATCATAAAAATCGTCAAATTTTTTTTTTTTTAAAAACTTTATTACAAGAAAACGGCCCGGCCGATCCCTACCAAAAACTAATCAGCACGATTCCCAATTAATATCTTTCGAACGATTTTTGAATTTTCAAAATCGATTCAGAATTGCGGGCTAAAACGTGGACGAAAGACTTTTTACTTCTCTGCTATTTACGAAGAAACGGCTTGGCCGATCGTCGCACAAAACTGACGAACAATAGTCCTCTTCGAGATACATCGAATGGCTTTTAAATTTTTGAAATCGGTCCAGCCGTTTTTGAGAAAACGGCGATTTACGGCAAAAAATCTGTTGGTGCACACGCACATACACACACACACATACACACACACATACTTTTTTCAAATTTGGTCTCATTCGATTCAGAATGGCTTGAAACGTCGAGAAAACATAAAATTAGCGAATCGGATTTTTTGATGAAAACAAACTTCTCCTTCGGGAAGTTAATAACTTTTAATTTTCTCCTGGAACATTGAAATTGGTTTGTATTAGTAAAAACTAGATAAAATTTACTAAAATCTAGTAAAAATTATTATATACCTTTTGATATTAAAATTTAGAAAAATTCGCAGTTGAAATGCAGACTTTAGTTACATTTTTACACTTTTCTTCAAATAACTTGTAATTTTGTATTTGAACAATATAATTTGTTCACAATAGTAAAAACTAGACAAAATTTACTTAAATCTAGTAAAAATTATTATTTGTTTCCGTTTGTAAGAACATTTTTTTATTTTTATTCAAATAGCTTTCAATTTTGTTTTAAAACATTATAATTCGTTTGTATTGCTAAAAATTAAATAAAATTTACTAAAATCTAGTAAAAATTATTATATACCTTTTGATATTAAAATTTTGAAAAATTTGCCATTGAAATATACACTTGGATATTGAAATTTTACGTTTACATTTCAACTGTGTTATATAACTTTCTTATTAGATTTATGTAATTTATAAAATCTTTTTAAAATGTTTATTCCTCTATTTCAAATTGAAGGAACATTTCTTTCCTACTAATTATAATTATTTTCCATTCTCGGTTATTAAATAATTAATAATTAGAACTATTGTGGTAATATTAGTATGTCATCTCATCGGAGCCTATATACTTGTTTGAAATAAAAATAAAAAAAAAAATAGTTTTGGGATATTTATGAAGTAGACGATTAAAAATCATACCATTGCATTAGGAAGACACCACTGGGCATAGATCCACATAAATATTTATAACCATTATATGGGTTTCTGCCAACACAGCACTTTGTGCAACCTAGAATTAAAGATTCCAATATTAGTATTGTGATCTATGAGAAAAGTAATAATTATGATTTTACCTTTGGTGTCTGGAACTTTTGTCGTCAGAGCAAATTTCCTCGGCACAAGTCTTTCTGGTATCTTATTCATATGCAAAGAAAACCTATAAGTCTGTTTACTTTGCAACGCCAAGAGATCATGCCTATACAACTGTGTGGTTTTACCTAAAAATATAAATAATTAACAAACTCTATTAGCTAAATTTGATTTTTATTATCATTTACCTGATAAACTCATTAAAACGTCTTTGATCACATACAACCATGTCGTTCGCCTGGGATATAGTCTGTTTAAAACTGTTTCATGAAGCTCGTTCAGGTTTAAATTGAATATGCCTTCTTCTGCTCCTATCAGGATGTGCTGATCTCTGGTGTCGGGATGGATCCAGGAAGCTGTGCAATGCACTCTTAATGGACAACCATTGAACACCTAGAAAATTGAATCATTATCGATTATAGTAGTTTGGGATAAATTCTTTGTCTCATGATGAATCCAGGAGTATGCTCAATGCACTCTCAGTGGACAACCATTAAAAACTCTGATGAAACAGGAATACTAAGGACTAAATACAAAATTTTATTAAAAATATTTCTCTGAACAAATTTATTGATATAACCCTTGAAATTAAAATATATTCATCAATTCTAACAACCACATTAGTAGTCTTCATCATATGTTTGTCCACCTTGTTGGCACTTTTTCCAATTGAGCTAAACTGAATTAAGTTTAGCTCAATTAAAGTTAGAATTTAAAGTTAGCCTATATATAGATAATAATTATTTATTATCTGACCTTAGAAAAACAGGCCCCCATATGGACCTTCGGCGTAGGTGGTAGACCATTAGAAATAGGTCTTGGAGGTGTATGTCGTTTTCTGTGGCTCCTCCTAGGAGGAATAGGTGGTGTGTTTGTTATTAAATCTGGTCCAACGGGTTCCATTGAATCTTAAATGAAATACCAAATTATTTTTGAATATTGTTTTCACCAATATTTAGATTTATGGTTCTGATTAAGATACCTTCGACACTTCGTTTCGTCGAATCATATAGACTTCTCTGTCTGATGTTGAGATCATTTAGATTTTCCAAAGGTTCTGTTTGGAAACTCGTCCATAATTCGTCCGATGAATTTCGGTGGTTTGAACATTTTACATTGTGCTCTGTTCCTAAAAAAAAGTACCAGAAAGAGAAATTATAGAGATTTGTAAATGTATATATTTTCACATTTGATATTTTCTGAACTACGACACCAAATTTTTTAAATTTAATTCGCAGTTGAAATGCAGACTTTAGTATTTTCATTTGCAAGAACGTTTTTATAATTTTCTTCAAATAACTTTTTATTTCGCTTTTGGACACTATAATTTGTTCACAATAGTAAAAACTAGATAAAATTATATATATATTTTTATGGTGTCCCTTAATATGGACATTTTCGAATTTCCTTGCTCCCAAGGGCTCAAATGGTTCCAAATTGATAAAAAATAATTCTCTGAAAGTTTTAACTCTTAATATTAACTTTTGGATAGTGCGCAATTCAATCAAACTTCGTATGGAAATAGCATGGAAAAAATTTTGATAATTAAAAAAAAAATTTTAGGAATAACTTAGCGACAAACGAATCAAAAGTGAAAATTCATGTCACTTTTTCTTGAAAATTCGACGCTGTGCAAAATTTTTGAAAACTTTTCCATTCTATTTCCATACAAAACTTTGATTGAATTGCGCTCTATTTAAAAGACAATATTGAGAGCTAAAAAAACATAAAGATTGAAGAGCTTTCAGAGAATTGTTTTTTATCAATTTCAAGGGGCAAGGAAATTCGAAAATGTCCATATTAAGGGATACCCTTATTTTTACATATATTATCTCCAGAACCACGACATCATATTTTGTGAATTTAATTTTGTTCTTGAATGCAATGAGATTTTCTTGAATGCAAATATTTTCTTTCTTAATTTATGTAATTGAAAAAACAATTATGCAAACAAATTTGGTATAGAGTTTATATCCTTCTGGTAAATTAATAAATATATCGCATAATATGCAAGTGAATTGCATCTGAATTTTAATTATTAAATTAATATAGATATAATAGAAATTGAATTTTTTTTCCTTATATTAAAAATAGATTTAATAACTATAATATTGCAGAGGGATAAAATGTCATTTATAGCGTTTATTTATAGCTTTATAGAGATAATTTATAGCTTTTTCGCTATCTAGTTGAATGAAAAAAGCTGCAGCAAAACGTCTTTCAAATAATTTTTATTAAGAAAAAAAATATCGGGTTCAAAAATTGTCGATGAATAAACATTCAGATTGCCATTGCGCTTATTAATTGCAATTTTGATATTTACTTGAATGAAACAAGCTTCTGCAAAACATTTTTCGATTTTTTTTCCAAAAAAATAAACAATCGTAATTGATTTTGATGAAGGTTGTTATTTATTTGAATGAAAGAAGCTTCTGCAAAACGTCTTTTTAATATTTTTTTAATAAAAAATCTTAATAAATTCTCTAAAACCGATGGCAGACGTACATATCTCTTCAATAAAATTAAAAAGCAATACCATTTGAACAAAAAATATACTCCCAAATATATTTTTTTTTTTAAATTCATGTTATTACTTGATGCAATGCCATGATGAAGACGTTTTGCGGAAGGTTGTTTCATTCAACTAGTTAGCAAAAATGCAATGAATAAACACAGTCGCATTTCAACTGTTTTTAATATTATTATTATTATTTTAATCTTTAATATTGGTATAATTAAATGAGAAAACACTAATTCAATATATTTTTCAGTTTCACTGGATGAAGGCTATATATATTTATATATTAATAATGTGTGTTTATTACCATTAAAGAAAGATAATAATTGAAAAAATATAAAATAATATTATTATAAATATAAATCTGATTATTTGTCAGAAAAGTAAATAAATTACAAGAGCAAAACAACAAAACTTTGGTTGGTTAGATATACATATATTATTTTTTGTTTTAAATCATTGTTGACTAAATATTTTAATGATCAATTTAGAGAATCATTTTTTATGTAAAAATGAGCATTGGTTTTTCAACTAGAATTTCAATTAATAAATTATTTATAAACTGAGAATAAAAAGAAACATATGAGAAAATTAATTAAAAGTTGTAAAACCACTTTAAATTTGAATTAATGAAATTCTAACTTCACAATTATATTAGGGGGCGTTCATTAATCACGTGAGGTTTTTAGGAGGATAGGGGTTTTGACAAAAAATTACGAGGAGGAGGGAGGAGTATAGTAAGATATTACGTGATTTAATTTTTACCTACATTTTTTTTAAATCCTAACATTTTACAAAACAAATAAAAAAAATCTAACTAAAAATATACTGGGGAGGGTGGGGGGTTGATTTTAAAAATCACCAAGAAGGAGGTCTAAAAATCCTTAAAAAATCAATCACGTGATCAATTGACGATCTCTCAGGAAACAAAATTTTAGCAAATAGTTCATCAAATTAAAATTTGAAACGTTATTAGTAATCATGATTTTGTGAAATAAATGCATAGACATAGACTATATATGATCCTTCTTATTAGTACTTCCATTTCTAATTTCAAGAATCTCACATAGTCTTGCCATTCATTCCCTGATCACAATCAGGATCATGTATGATCTCAAATCTATTTTTAAATAAATTATTATACTAACCATTAGATTGTGCCAGTCTATCGTAACCATTAATATCATCAGTCTGATTATTTGATAATACTGGAGGATTGTTTTGGGAATTTTTATTCTCTTCAGTATTGGCAGTATTAGAATCACAGAGTCTGTTGTAACTGTCTTTGTTCTCCGACATGGGCAACGTCGACCTAAACAAATTATATGGACAAACAAATGGACAAATAATTATTTGAATGATATAGAATATTTACTTATTTCGTTATAGAGATACATACATATTTACGAGATACTATATGAAATACTGTGTGATATACTAATGTCATTTTTGTATATTTTCTTAGGTTATTAAAATGGTTTATTTTAGGAGTTTTGCTTTAGATCAGTAGTCTCCAACATTTTTGTCAATTTTTGACTTCTACATTTAAATTTTAACAAATTCGATAACAAACCTAAATAATAATTGTCCACGATTTAAGCAATATGGATTACTATACATATTCCTTGGTCAACTCGATATCAAGCAGTATGATATCAAATGAACCGTCTTCGAAGAGCATTTTGAAAATAATATATTCTATTATATTATTGAGTTAAACTTTTTAGAACAAACTTTTTGGCACATTAAAAATTACATAGGAAATTTTATATAAATCTTAGATGAAAATACTTTATATTTATATTAATGATTTATATTAGACAATATAAAACAGTTTTTTGTAATCAATTATGTGAACTATTTAAATATATAATAAAAATAATATATTTTACATTAAATGGCGCGCAACTCAGATTTTTATTTTATATTCGAGACAAAATTGTACAAATGTTATACACATTTTAAAAATAACATTAAAAACTTTTTTATATAAATCTCAGTTGAAAGAAGTATGTATTTATTTAGTCATTTTTTTAAAAACCGATAATAAGGAAATTTTGAACACAAGATAAAGAATATGAAAAAGCGTATTTTGGTTAAAATCCTTTTATCAAATAAAGTAGAGTAGTTTTCTTTTTTTATGCAATTTAAATATGTAACTTATTTAATATTGTCTGATAATAAAAAAGAGCGGTTGACCGCTGGGTTGCCCCATAAAAAAAATAGGAGGTTTGGATGTACTACAAAAAACTTAACTTATATAACACGTAGTAATTTTGTTCAAAAATTAGCTTTCTCGTAAAATACTTCAAAATGAAGTGGTACTTAAGCAATATGCAATTGCTTTTGATTTTTTGACTGATTTCAGCGAAACTCTATTAAATTTATTTTAATCGTTTTAGATTTTTATATATAATTTTAATAAAAAAAAATTTCTCATAGTCTTAGAATTAAAGTTAATTTCCGAAATTCGTAAGCAAAAATTACTACTAAAAAACTTCGTCTATAACAAACTATTGTACAATCATAATTTCAAAATAAACATGAGTAAATAAATAATTGATAATATTTTTAGAACAATAATAAATTATTCTACAATTGTATGAAAATGTATATACAAAAAAAGTTAAATTTAAATTATTTATTTTATTCCGAAAATATTTGAACAATTTGTATCTATTAATACTTTTCGGTCAAAACAAATTATCACCAAATAATGTAAATATACAAAGATGACATTAGTGTTTTCGAATTACAGACTTCTTATTCATAATAACGGACCTAATTACAAAATTATGTATGTACTTTAATATAGCATAGATTTAATTAAAAAAAAAGTCGGTTCATGACATACGGATGCAATAATATTAAGAAAGTACCATACTTTACAAAACCAAACCATGCTCGAGAAAATACTTTTAAATTTTAGAAATCACTGGTTATATATATACAAAACCAACTCAACTTGCAATTTAGTCCAATAAAATACTTTAATAAATTATTTTGTAAAACTTTTGCATAAAACTCATTCATGCCAAAAACTTTCCTCCTGCAATGAACAAGAAATGAAAAATGAAGTACATAATTTTTTTAAATGCAGTGATTGTAAAGCTTTTATTTCATATAGGTATGAATTATACTTGATATTTCAACATCGATGACAAAAATGATATTTGTTTTCTTTTTCAATCATCCGCTGCCACCAAATGATGTTCTCTTAACGAACTAAAACAGTACTAAATGTGAAAATTTTGATTTTGATGTGCTGAAAATTTGAAATTCAGGTGAAAATCTAACAACTATAATGTGTTTGTTAAGCAAAGCAAGAAAAGCCATTAAAATCATCAAAATATAAATCAAAGAAAAGAATTAAAAATAATAATTGCATAAGACCCACCTCAGTTTTAATTCTTGGTCGATATATTGTAAGAGGCTCCTAAAAAAAATAATGAAACGATACTATTTTCAAAATTATACACCAAATTAAATGTTAAAATCAAATCATATAACAAATACAAAATGCAAAGAATATAATAAAAAATTATGTGCTACTTAATTAAACATGCAAAAAATATAACATGCAATTACTTGTATAATTATTATTTGAGGTGTAAGACAAATGTAACGCTAGATTTGCGATTAATGATTCAATTTTAAATTTTAAATTTAACAAAAAAATATTGAAAATTATTTCATAACACATACATTTCCAAAAACTGAAGATTTCTCTCAGTATAGAATTTTTCTTATGTAATTCTTATAAAATTTTCATTGCAAATCTAGGGCTAAAAAATATGTTAATAAATAATATTAATATGCAAAATGCGTGCTTTTGTGCGTATTATGGCAGGTGTTGTGTTAAAAGTGTGCAATTGTTAAAAATTAATTTAAAAAAATAAATAAAATAAAAAATTAAATCACATCAAAGATTTTTCTGAAGAGTAAAGATTCTTTTGCAGCTTTATGCTGTACCCCAAATTTTTTTTATGTTCAGATGCATTAGTCATAACCTTTTATATAAAATATAAAAATATGTTTTTATAAAACAAATTAAAATAAAATGAAGAAATCTAACGAATAGCAATAATAGTATTATAATTAGGAAACATGCAATTCCATAATATATAAAAAATCCTAATTTTACAAAATTATAAATTTAAAATTATACCAAAAATTAATGAATTCAACAACTTTCGTTTCCATTAATTTTGAAATATAAATTTCACATATCTAAAGAAATCTAGAGATCATTATCTAAAGAAATCTCAAGATTGGGTTTATTATTGAAATAAGTTTCAAAAATCTTATGTTAATTTAAACTCTTATTAGTTTTCAAAAGTGGGGGCATGTTAAATTTGGAAAAAAAAACAGTTTACAAACTTGCATAAATAAATTAATATTTTTTATCCAATCAATACCACACTTCTGACCTTAAGGACATTTTTAATATTTGTGAGCCAGTTAGAGAAGGCCTATGTGATCTACAAATGTAAAGAAAAATGTGTAATTTCATGATTTTTAATAAATTGATGAATAAATCTTGGTGAAATTATAAGTACTAGATAATGGGTTAATTTTGAATTTAGAAATGTGCGTTGGGAAATGATTAATTTAATTTTCTAAATTGAATAGAGTTACGAAGTAGAGTTATTAATATTATAAGTAATTATAGAAGTGAATTACTTAATTTCTTACAAAAAAAACTCTAAATCACTACTGCACATATTTTCTAACATTTAAAACAGTAGATTGATATAATAGAAATAATAAAGGTGTTCCAGAAGTCAACGTCAATTATTTCCATTATATTAATCTACTGTTTTAAAAGTTAGAAAATATGTGCAAGGGTGATTTAAAGTTTTTTTTTAAAGAGAGCATTTTAGTAAAAAATATAATCGAAATCGACTTGGGAATATATTTGAATATTTGAATTACACTGCAGAGTCTAAAGTAGAATTTTGTTAGGAAGTTTGTTAGGAAAATTTGTAGATAACTTAATTGCAAAAAAATCGTTGGATCTAATATAAATTCAACAAAAAATAAAGTAAGAATCATATAAAATAAAACAAAATTCAAATGAAATAAAATTCGATCTATAAACGCAATTAAAGATCAAAACTCTTTTGAAGTGTTTAAATTAAGTCTATTTTTAACTTCCATTATAAATATCTCAAGTTGTATTTATACAATACGATCATTATTTGATCTATATTATATGAACATTGAAAAATAATTTTAATAAAAAATGCACATTTGATATACAATTTAAACTTGAAATTTCTGTGATACAAAAATCTAACTAATGATATAACTAAAATGGAAAAATTCAGTAGATATGATTTTTTAACGAATTTTGTTCAATTATAAAATAATAAAATTAAAATAAAATTGAATATAAAATTCCTCATTTAGATATTTTTTCAATCAATTACAATCGTGAAGATTTTTAAGCAATTTTTTTTTTTTCTTTTTCAATGATGTAGAAATAGCTTTATTTGCCTAGTATTTACTCCAAAGAAAAATAATTTTAGTACAATTTAATTAAACAATGAACCACTTCAAAAACTTGTAAATTAGAACATTATCTTTAGAGCAGCTATAAAGGCTTTTGACAAATAGCTCCGTTTTGTTTTTTCTTAGCAAAAAAGTGTGATTTTTAAAAATAGCAATTCTGTAATTATTGATTGAAGATTAGCGAACTTTGATTTTAGAAATTCAAATTTTACTTCTATAATAAACTTAATTTTTGCAATAGATTTATTTGCATAATACAAACAAACTTATTTTAGAGTCTATTAATCGGGCATAATGTTAATAAAAAGTATGATTTTTTTTTTTGAATCCACAAAATTTGGCATTTTTTACCGTAAACATCGAACGTCTTAGAATTCTGCTTTATATCAAACTAATTGTAGAGACTGCAACAAAACTTATATCGGCAAAACGAGCCAAAATTTAATAAAACCCATTCTAAAAATTGCAAACAATTCAAAACTATACTTACAGAACAAATTAGAACAAAATTGCAAATTAAGAATTAGAACATTATCTCTAAATGAGTTATAAATACCAAGTTATTTTATTCAATATAGATAATATATTTTACAATTATCTTTGGTAAATATTTTGAGTATGATTTTTAAAACGGCAAAATTCTCTATTTATCTAATTTTTTAATCACTTAGAATAAGCAAAGTTCTATGAATATGAAAAAGATTTTATGAATATCTCCACATTTTGTGATAGTTAGTTCTAGTATTTGGCATTTCGGCTTTAAGCATCGAACGTCTTAAAATTCTGTTTTATATCAAATTAATTGTAGAGATTGCGAAACAACTTATATCGGCGAAAACGAGCCAAAATTTAATAAAACTCGTTCTAAAAATTGCAAACAATTCAAAACCATACTTACAGAACAAATAAACAAATAGAACATTATCTCTAAAGGAGCTAGAAAGACTTATTACTTAGGCTTACATAGTTATTGCATTTAAAGTAGAAAATGTATTTTATATTTATCTTTGGCAACTATTGCGTGTGGTTTTTAAAATGGCAAATTCCGCTTTTCGTATAATTTTTAATAATCTCAATAAGAAAAATTCTCAAACTAGAATTTTATAAATATCTCCACATTTTGTGATAATTTTAGCTATTGTAGGAGCAGAAATATTTGCATACAACTTCGTAAAGGAAAACAAAAATATAGTTTATAATAAACCATATTTTCAAAACAATATTCCATGTTAAAATTCCCAACTCTAAAATAAACAAACACAAAAGTAATTTAGAATCTAAAATTAAAATATGCGGCGTGATGTATGCCAATGGTAAACAACTGAATGGAATTGTATAAATTAATTTTGTTTTGAGCATGATAGTGATAATTAAAATTGTAGGTGTGTCAGGTGTGATTCATTCATGCATAATTTAAATAAATAATTGTTTAAATTAAATAATGACTTACATTTCGCTGGGCATCGTTTCTGGACTAGGCGACCTTAGATTCTCAACACTGTCCATCCAAATTGTTGAACTCCCTGATAAAAAAAAACATTTAGTATATTCAGAACTTTTTGAAATTTATATTTTGCTCTAACCTCGAACTAAAGTATTACTTAATGTATTAGTATTTCCATTATTTCCTTGCTTGGATGTCATTTTACTGGCTATCCTTTGTGGAACATTTGCAACAGCCTAAAAAAATTAAATATTAATAATAATAATAATTTAATAATAAATATTATTTTTACATACCCCTTCATCGTCGGCATCCAAATGCGAAAATGAGTTCGTCGGATTTTGGAATTTGTTTAGGAGTTCTATAGATAGTCTTTTGCTTAGGTCACCGTTTTGCATAAATGCATGCTGGAATTATCATATATTTATTTTTATATAGAGATAACAGATAGAATATTTTTTGGTACAGATAATTTTTAACTTAAGACAATGAACTGTGTGTGATGATAATACCAACTTAATACGTGGATTTTTACAAGGAAACCCAACGGTTAGTCCTTTGTAGACTATTTGTTTATTCGTGCATCTCATTTTACAAGTAAAATTTCCATAAATTTATATTTTTATATTATCTTATATATAAAAAATGAAGCTGTCGATATAATGATCCGCTAAAACTCGAAAATGGCTAAACCGATTTGGCCAATCTTAGTATTGAAAAATTCGTGCTAATCAGTTGGTTGTCGTAAAGGTGAGATATTATTTCAAAATCGCGTAGAAACTTTACATTTTTAATTTGAAAATTTTTGTAGAAGCATAATTTGAATAAAACAATGGACGGTGGCTCATACGTCAAATGTCAAATGTTTTGACAAAAGATGTTCAATTACGTTTAATAGGATGTTTTACGCGAATATTATTTAAGTAGTTTTATTTGTAGCTTTATTGATATACAAAAACGTTAGTAAACGGGCAGCAAGTGTTACTAGAGACTCAAAATATAAACTTTTTTGATATGTTAATATGAAAATGCACTTTTTGGCATATTTTTCTCAAACACGGTGCTCTGAAAGACCTCATTTGTATAATTATATACTCATTGGTATTTATAAAACATGTTCTAGGTTATATTATTTTTTATTTATGTTATTTCAATTCACAACCTAAATTTGTTATCGATCAAAGGGACATTTTGTGGAATACCATTTTCCCAGTTATAATTTCCCAGAATTTATCGAAGAATAGATAGTAATATATGAAAGTCCGGGGTTAAAAAGGTCCACCATGTGTCAAAAACCAGTAAAGTTAAGCATCGTTCAACAACAATATTTGAAAGTAGAGGGACAAAGATATATAACCAGCTATAATCTTGATTCTCATGACTTTGCTATTGGGAGATAAACAGTAATCTTTGAAAATCCATAATAAAAGTATTTTCTTCCGTTGGTAGTTTTTTAGCATTAGTTAAAAGTGTAATTATATTGTAAAAGACCTTTAAAATTAAAATAAGACATTAAACCTCTTTGCCACCTGGCCGTTCCAAGTTACCCTGTCTATGTGGTAAAAAGGTCTAGATAACAATTTTTTGAAAGACAGCAAAAAAGCACATTTCAACAATGATGAAGTAACTGGCAGTTTTACTGAACGTAATCAGATAATTGCTCATTTGAAATGTGTTATTTGTTGTGATATAATTGTTTTGGTTTTCACAATATAGTTTATATTAGCTCAAAGTCAAATTTGACCTTTGTGTCTCGCCCTGCTCTACATATATACTTTTTATTAAATTTACTTTAATTCATCGAATGTTATTTGAAACTTTTCAAAAAGCAGGTCAAAGGAGATATACTTAATTCATTTTCTATCTCTCCTCACAGAAATTTGAAAATTTTGTATAAGCTCAGTAGTATTATTTACAATTATACACAAATTCCCGAATCCAAAAATAATCTGGAAAACTTGAAACGTAATCAATAAGTCGAAAGACCAAAAAAGACTTTAAAGACTTTATAAGTCGAAAGATTGGATTATACCATGTTTTCTATAGAAAGTGTATAAAACTTCCAGTTTGATTGTATTGACAAAATATAGACAAACTAATGGGGTTTATTGTTTTTATAATACCTCATTGTATATAGCATTCAAACAACATATCCTTATACACTAAAAGTATTAATATTTTTGATTCTCTAGCAATTGTTTAAAATATACCTTACTTAGCAAAACAACGTTCGCCGGTTCATCTAGTATATTATGTTTTTAACTTACTTGTAGAAGTTTATCAGCCGTAGGCCTTTTCTTTGGATTTTTAGTCAATGAAACCTTAACAAAGTTATGGAATGTCGGAGACCATTTTTCTTTATCTTTGAGCGTTGGTGGTTTAAAACCACTTTTAGACATTAAGAACAATGCTCTCATCGGATGCAAGTCAAACATCGGTGGCTGTAATTCTGCCAATTCTGTAAAGAAAATATTAATAAATCAATAGGAAAGACATTGACCTCCATATTAATAAAGTCTAAAAAAATGGGTTTAGAGAAACCAAATTTTTAGACATTAGAAACAATGCTCTTATCAGTCTAAAAAAATTGGATAAAAAAGTCAAACATTGGTGGTTGTAATTCTGCCAATTCTGCAAAGAAAATATTAATAAATCAATAGGAAAGACATTGACCTCCATATTAATAAAGTCTAAAAAAATGGGTTTAGAGAAACCAAATTTTTAGACATTAGAAACAATGCTCTTATCAGTCTAAAAAAAATGGGCGAAAAAAGTCAAATATTGGTGGTTGTAAATCTGCCAATTCTGTAAAATTATGTCTATCATTTATAGAGTAATTATCATATCATAAGAACGACATTGAGCTCCATTTGAGCTTATTAATAGAGTCTAAGTAAATTAGGTCAGACAAGATAAAAGGTTATATAATGCTTTGACTGTATATTTGATGATAACAAGTACTAATTTGCATATATATAATGACAAAATTGTGAAAAAGAATATTTATATCTGTACATAGTATGAGTTACATATAGCAAAGTATAAATACGATTCGATTTTTCCGAAATTCGTTAAAAAAAAGTTGATTTTTTACTAATTTCTTAGTAAAGTATTGTTCACACTGTTAATATATCATAAATTAAAAAAATACTAGGTGTGAGTGGCATTTTGTTTCAAGGTCAACTCCAATAGACTTAATAGACATTTTTTTTGAATAGATTTATTAATATAATTTTTGAAGACAAAATGCTGGATGCAAATGCATTTAAAGAGTTTATCTTCTATGAGATATCTCTTTTTTTTATTTTTTGACATTTCATTTAAAATCGTATGGCCATTTTTTTCAATCATCAAGTAGAAGATTCCTCACTTAATTCTTTTAAATATTGCATAAAAATTGATACCTTGAAGTAAATTAGTAAATTACAATTTAACATATCATAATTTGAAACAAAACCTAGCTATAAGTGGCATTTTCCTAATTGCATGAATTTCCCAATAAGTTTAAATGATCCACAATATCAATAAATATTGAGATTTAACTATTGAGCAAAAAAATTTAAAAGTGTTTATTTCGAAGATATGGCGATTTCCAAGTGATATCAAAACAATCTTGTAATATCTATAATTTATTTACTAAATTTCTATAATTTGGACATGGACAAGGATATGCATGGTCTTTTTTTGATTCTTTATAAATAAATCACTTTTGCCAAAAATGTTCCAGAATGAACTTTCGTTTAAATCATAAAAACACTTTTACTAACGATGAACAAAGCTTCTTTGAAATCGTCAATGAATTCAATGATTTTTTACAAAAAAAAAACACACTCATAGGCCTATAATATTTCCGGAAAAATTTCATTTATATCATAAGAACACTTGCACTAATCTATATCTTATCGAAAAATCCTTAAGAAATTGATCACGTTATTAATGGACGTTTCTATCTGATAATTTAGTAAGATATCACGTGAATTTATTTTTTACCTCATTTTTTTTAAAAAAAACCCAACATTTTCAAAAAAAATTCAAAAATTTTACCATTTTTTTTCGTAACTAAAATACACTTAATGTTTGGTGGGGGAAGAGGGTCGTTCCACAAATCCTTAAAAAATCGATCAGGTGATTAATGGACGTTCCAAAGAAACTGCTCGACTGATCGTCTCGCAAAACTAATCAACGTTCGACTTGTCGAATATCATCGAATGGTTTCAAAAATTTTGAAATCGGTTCAGCCGTTTTTAAGAAAACATTGACAAAAAGTCTAAAAGATTTTTTTTTTCATTATAAAAAACCACTTATCATTGTTTGACATTGAAAACATTTGCTAGAAATGTCAATTCACTTGAAATTTGAATTTAGCTGAAATTATGAGCCTAGATAATATTAGAATGTAATATACAAGAAAAATGTTATGTCTACATTATTATTGCCGAAAAGCAGCTGAGATGTGCCAGAAATTAAAATAATATAAAATGCAGTCAACAGTATATGTTTGGCAGTTGAGATCATTTATTGATGACCATGATTACAAAAAGTTTCATTAGAAACGCCAGAAATGTTTCGACAATTAATTACCAAAATTACTTACTTCACCAAATAACTTTATCAAACTTGGTTTACGATTTTTTTGGGAAAACGTGAACAAAAAAAATTCACTTTTCTGCTGATTAAATAGAAACGGCTCTGCCGATTGTGTCATAAGGGTAATCAACTATAAAAAGTCAAATTTCATCTCACATACAAATAGACAGATATATTTTCCAATTTTGGTACCAAATGACCAGCAAATTGTAAAATTAGCAAATCCGATTTTCTGGTGGAACTAAAAAATAAACTTCTCCTTCGGGAATTTAATAGTGGCTTTGTTTTATACTTAAAATAATTTAATCTTACCTATGGCTGTAATTCCAGTCGCCCAAATATCACATAATTGGTTATAACCACCTTTGCGCTCAACAGCAGCTACTTCTGGTGCCATCCAATAAGGAGTACCAATAAAACTCCGTCTTTTATTTATTGTAGCCGTAATCTGTGCCGAAACCTGAAAAAAAAAAAATATAAGCATATGGTCTATTTGGGTTAAATTTTAATAGTTCTCCGAACTTACCCCAAAGTCTGCTAATTTAACATCACCATTTTCAGTCAACAATATATTGGCGCCTTTAATATCACGGTGCATTTTACCCATGGAATGCAAATACGATAAACCTAATAAAGTCTCACGACACATGTACGCAATTTGTGGCTCCGATAAAGGACCAGTTACTGAAATATAAAAAATTAAATAATAAAAAAAAAAAAATTATCATAGCTAATTTGGTGAAATTTCCTTTATCACTTACTATGATAAATATCCTGAAGGCTCCCGCCGCCACAGTACTCCATACAAATCCATAATTTGTCCCTTCGTAAATATGAACCATAATATGCTATTATATTTTCATGTCTACAATCTCTCATCATCAGAATTTCCTGCTGGATGATTTGGAAGTCATCACCAGGTTCTAATTTTATCACCTTGATGGCAGCAAAATCGTTGGTTGTAAGGCGCTTGGCCTGAAATAGAAAAAATAATAATGTGAATATGATAAATCAATATGGAGAAATTGATTTATACTGTGTTATTCATATAATTAACTATTTGGTATTCGTATTTTTTTGCCTTGCGGCAAGTTACATGAACTTCTCGATATGTGTAAATAATCGACTTAATCAATAAAATATAAATTAATTTATGAGTGATTAAAAGTATTCCGAGTGGATTTATTACACATAATTGAAAACAAAAGAACACGTTAACTCGGAGTATTTTCTAAAAGCAAGTTTTCAAAAATCAACAATTTTTATAATCGAACCAGTTTCCGTAGGACGTTAATGGTTTAGTATGTTCATTAAGACCAAGTACTCTATCGCTATACCAAGTAAATCGTCTAATTTTAATGTTAACAAACATCAAAAAGACTCATTTTCTCAAACTTTGATGAATTTTAAAAATTAAACTCTTTATAGTAAGTCCGTAATATTTCAGTAAGTTCTATAAGACCATGATATACATCGCCAAAACAAGTTCCATAAAAATCGGCTTGAATTTCTTTTTCAACAGTTAATTACAAGAAAACGGCTCGGTAGATTTTCACCTAAAACTAATCAGTATCATTCCCAACTAATATCTTTTGAACAGTTTTTGATATTTTAAAATCGATTCGGTAGTATGAGCTTAAATGTGGACGAAAAGTTTAACACTTTTTTCCAAATTACAAAGAAACGGCTCGGCCGATAGTCGCACAAAACTCAGAAACGGGATACATGAAATGGTTTTTAAATTTCTGGAATCGGTTCAGGCGTTTTTGAGCAAACGTCGATGAAAGTTCTAATTTTGACAAATGCCAAAAAAACGATACTAATTTTTGCAAACTTTGACGAATTTTTAAAGCTAAACGAGTTGTCGTAGGGCCGTGATATTTTAGTATGATCTATAAGACTATAGTCTACCGTCAAAAAAAAAATCATGAAAAAAGTCTAAAAAAAATTTTTAACACTTCATTACAAGGAAACGGCCCGTTTTCTTTACCAAAAACTAATCAGCACGATTACCAATCAATATCTATCGAACAGTTTTTGAATTTTCAAAATCGATTCAGAATTGCGGGCTAAAACGTGGACGAAAATTTTCCACTTTTCTGCTATTTATAAAGAAACGGCTTGGCCGATCGTCATAGAAAATTGACAAAAGATCAAATTTTTGAAATCGGTCCCGCCGTTTTTGAGAAAACGTCGATTTACGGCAAAAAATCTGTTCACACACACGCATACAAACACGCAAACACACACACATACTTTCTCCAAATTTGATCTCATTCGATTCAGAATGGCTTGAAACGTCGAGAAAACATAAAATTAGCGAATCGGATTTTTTGATGAAAACCTAAATTTTTCCTTCGGGAAGTTAAAAAAAAAACTTTTGAAAAAAAGCTTTTCCAATAACTCAGGAATTGCTGTAGGTATCAAAATTTAGCCAACGTCAACGACCAGAATGGAAAATTGATTCACGATGGATAAATAAAAGAGGGAAGTGTGTAGGATGGTGAATATTAGGGGTTGCATTTTTTTTTCTAATGATCGAGCACGAGCAATGAAGGAAATTTTTCCAAAAAATTGAATAGAAATTGTTAAAGATAAACAACCATTGAAAAAAAAAAGCTTGGACATATAACTAATACCCCAGGAACATCTGTATCAAAATTTAGCCAACGTCAACGACCAGGGTGCAAAATGATAGGTTCACGATCGATAAATAAAAGAGGGAAATGTGTAGAATGGTGAAAATTGGGGGTTCCTTGTATTTTTCAAATTTTGCATTATAAATCCGTCGAAATTAATCAATTTATATTTTGCAATGGAATTGAAAAATATGAGTTATGAATCTTTTGATATATGTCCAGGGTTTACATATGAGAATCTGTTTAGAAATCGTTCTTTTAAATGACATCAGCATGTGCTTTTTAATCCAGATGCATTTAGCTATCCATGGTCTGTAAACAAGTTTATAATTCGTTTATGAAAGGCACATTTTCAGGTGTTATTAGCAAAATTAATTTAATTAATGGCTAATAAAATTAGTAGGTATTCTCGAAATGAGAAAAAGTTAGAAAGACAAATAAGAAAGTTAGTTTTGGAATTTCATAAATAACAAAACGAGGCATAAGAATATAGCAGAATCTGCAAACTCTTTATTATTCAATTGAAAGAATGCTATAGAGCCTTAAGGCTAATTGCTGTAACTTTCCTTACCATAAAATCGATTTTTGAGTTTTGAAAAAAATGACCTTTTTGCAAAATACGATTTTTTTTTTATACTTTGATATATTTTGGAAATTTTGAACTTTTTTTCAAAGCAATCGCGATACGCCAGCTGCGTAGAAACGAAGTATCGAAGCGCGTGGGCGCCGCGTTGCAGTATACAGATAAACATTGGTACGGACATATAGAAAAGTAAACAAAATTAGTTCTTATTATTAAAATATGTGATAATTTGATGCGCATGTCTAATGATCATTTTTGTTCGCCAAATATCACTTTTTTATTGGTTCTCCGAAACCGCTACACCTGCCTTCTAAAAACTTAATCAATTCTTCATTTCGTCATTACAAATAAAATATTTTTTGAATCATAAAAATCGGACGCTCCGTTCTCTCAAAAACTGAGTTACGATTTTTGGCATTTTTTCCCTATGTCTCCGAAATGGCTCGACCTGCCTTTGCCAAAAACTAATCAGCACGTCTCCTCATGAGTAGGAATCGAATGTTTTTCCAATTATTTAAATCGAAATTTTGTATCCGCACACACACGCATACATCATTTTTTTCTAAGGTATGCCAAAATGTTGAGAAGACATTTGACAAATTTTTATTTTCGATTTTTTTGCGATTACTATACTTATCCTACAGGAAGTTAACTATTTCTCGAAGATCTGGCTAAAACTGGATTTAAGAATTTTATGGTTTTGGTACTAATGTTTTAATTAAAGCTTTGAAAAATTTAGAATCAGAAAATAAATGTGTACTCGTTCTTAATTCACCAGTAAATATTGTAAATCCTCTTTGTGCCGAGGAAGAGGAAATTTAGTTTTGAAATTTGGAGAAAATTTAAATTATTCGATATAGGCAACAATCTATAAAAAAACTATCTCAAAAAAAATTGATTCTAAAAGATCTTGCTAAAACTGGCAACAGAGCTTCTTTGGGTAAATTAAAAAAAAATATTTATATTATCTTTAAATTCTTCAATAATGTAACAATGAATAGAAAACTATCTCAAGAAATCTGATTCTGAAAGATCTTGCTAAAACTGGAAACAGAGCTTCTTAAGACAATTTAAAAAATAAGTGGAACATCGGCTAGAAAAATGGGACTCAAATTTATATAATTTCAACTTTGACCTTTTATTGGGGAAAATATCACAGATATGGAATTTTATGGACTTTTAATTAATGCACTGAGAAAATTTTAGAATCAGAAAATAAATGGTGTTCATAATTCACCAATAAATATTATAAATCCTTTTGGTGACGTGAATTACATTACATAATTAGTAATCTTGAGAGCAAGTTGTCGAAGAAAACGAAATTTAATTATGGAATTTGGAGAAAGATTTTGGAGAATCGATAGAAAAATTTCGCAAGAAAAAATTCTAGAAATAATTCTGATTTTAGAAGATCTTTAGATAAATTAAAAAATATGTGAAACATCAGCTAGAAAAATGGGATTCAAATTTATAAACATATTTTTAACTTCCCGTAGGGTAAGTTATTGTAATAGGCCGAAAATCGAAATTCAAAATTTTTACATTTCTCGACGTTTTGAAGGTTTCTGAACGTTTTGGCATACCCCAGAAAAAATGGATGTGTGTGTGTGTGTGCGTGTGTATGTATGTATGGATACAAATTTCCAGTCACGTTTTCGGGCGCACGGATCAACCGATTTGAATGGTTCAAAAAACATTCGATTCCAATTGATAGGGAAAAGAGCTGATTAGTTTTTAGCAAAGGCAGGTCCAACCGTTTCGGAGATACGGAGCAAAGAGTGCAGTAAATAGAAATCGACTTTTTGAGAGAACGGAGTATCCGATTTGAATGATCTAAAAAACATTCAATTAGTAATGATTGGGAGACGTGTTCATTAGTTTTTGGCAAAGGCAGGCCAAGCCATTTCGAAGATACGGAGCTAAATATGTAAAAAATGGCAGTTTTTGAGAGAACTAAGCGTCCGATTTAAATGATTTAAAGAACTTTCTGCTTGTCTTAACAAAATAATTGATTTTGGAAAAAAAATTGTATTTTTTTGAGACAGATATGGAATTTTATGGACTTGATACTAATGTTTTAATTCAAGTTTTATGAAAATTAGAATCAGATAATAAATGTGAACTCATAATCTTATAATAAACATCACTTCAAGAATAATTAGTTGCATTATTGTGTAGGTGGGCATAAGGTCTTTGTTGGACCTTGCATTAAAAATGTTTAATTTGAATATTGTAAATCCATTTGGTATGGAGTATTACATTAATAATGAACTTTTGGAGTTTTCGAAAAATAAAACATGTTTTGGATACTAATTGCAAATTACAAATCGTGTATGAAACATACATACATACATACATATATATATATATATATATATATATATATATATATATATATATATGTATATATATGTATACATATATATATCCACTGATGATGACATAAAATACTATGTCGAAACGTTTGGAAAAATTAAAGATTAACTTCTAAATCTTTGCCTTTTATTTGATGTATGCCCTTGAAGAACTTACTCATATTTCTCAACCAAAACTAACTTCTTTAACATATATATATATATATATATATATATATATATATATATATATATATATATATATATATATATATATATATATATATAGTAATTGCATTGCTTGTAAATGTAATTTGCGGCTCGAATAATTAAAAGGTATGTACTTCTGAAAGTTGCAAGCAGATTGTCAAAGAATTATCTTGTAATAAACATTTATGTGAATAACTAACTGCTATATCTCTTCGTATATTACATTAAGAATATAAGAATGTATGTATGAGGAATATAAAAAAGTTATCAAGAATATAAAGGATAATGACGAATGAAAAGAAGAAATTAATACGTTAGGAATACCATTATATATACAACAAGCTGACCCGACAGACTTCGTCCTTTCAAAAAAATCTACCAAATCGGTTCTGATTGCTCTGTTGATCTTTTAAGGTTCTGTCTAAAGCCTCAAAGGATTTTATATGTGCCATCGTGCATTCATCCCAAACAATCAATTGATATTACTGCAAAACCTTAGCCATTGCCGAGTTCTTCGAAATGTTGCAAGTTGGAATTTCATTGCTTTGCATATTTAATGGCAATTTTAGTGCTGAATGGGCTGTTCGACCACCTTCGAGTAAAGTTGCTTCGATTCCCGATGAAGCGAGTGCAAGTGCAATTTTGTTTTGTGAGCGAATTGTTGCTAATAGTAAAAAAATCGAGAAAGTTTTTCCTGTAGCACCAGGCGCATCTAAGAAGTAAATCCCCCCAGTTCCATCATTTGTTACTTTCATAAGAATATCAAATACATACCTCTGTTGTTCATTCAACAGTGCAAGATTTGTTTCGATCAATTCTTTCAAATTGTTGATATCATACAGTTTTTCTCGATGCAACTCTTGGTTAAAAGCATCATGCATTGGACAATTGGGGGCGGCCAGGCCTAAGTGAATTAATACTTTGTTTGACATCATCGAGCACATGTCTTCAATTGAAATCAATGCGTCGTTGTAAATTTCTTTACTGATTTGCATATTTGGATTTCCCATTCTATTCCGTATTTGATACAAAATGTCATCACACATATAAACTTTGTACTTGATCCACAAATCAATTGGGTTTGATGGAAAGCCTGTGGATATGATTATAGAAAACAATGTTTGTATTTAATGAGCGTGTAAAGATATTACAGCATCACTGAGAATTTGATCCTAATGAGCGTGATTTTCTAGCAATTGTAAACGTTGACGGGCTTCCCTGAAGGATCCACACAATTCACCATCAACAGTTCGTAAATGTTGAAATGATGTTTGGCCACGTACATTGACTAATAGCAGTCGTAAATAAAAACATTCACCATGGCTTGGATGTACTGAATAATTTCGATCAATCGCACAAAACAAAAGCACACTCAGTAGAGTATAACAGAAAATGCATGAAAAACACCGCGAGGGCGGCAAATGGACAATGACATAGATTGTTTCAACCTTATATGATTCGAAGTCAAATTCTTTAAAGCCATATCAATTTTATCGCCTGCCGAAAGTAAAACAAAAAAAATAATATCGAGAAGCCGACTACGATTATTTGTATTAGTTAGAAAAGGGCTGTTTTTAGGGTTTTCCCGACGATTATTCGATCATTTCTCGCCGTAAGAACCATCCTTGGACATAAATGAACATTTTAAAAAAGGAATTGGCCAAATTGGTCCAGGCGTTGTTGAGTTATGCGCTTACCAACACATTTTGCGATCCATTTTTATATATAAGAAGATATACAATATAATAGCTATATATATAGAATATAATAGCTTTTGTTATAAAAATTTTTATGGAACATAATTGTGATTGTATTACCAATTAAGACTAAGTATACAAAATGATTCGAAGAAACTAATATGTTAGCATTACTTTTTTAATAGTATAATAGTAGTTATTTTTATGGAAAAGTTTATGGAACTTCATTATGATTGAATATTTGTCCAACTGAAGCTCTTGATTATACAGAACGCTATGAAGTATTTTTATAATTTAAAATGTGTTCTATATAGTAAATTACATGTGAAGGTAATGTAATAATGTGGAATATATTTTGTGCATAATTAGTAGAATTATTGGTTATACTTAGCACTATCTGTTTCTAAAAAAATTTACAAATCTTGTATGGAACATATTTTTAGGTATTGTTGGTAAAAGTCTAATTTATGCGTAATAAAATTAGTACTCTTGAAAGTAAATTGTCGGGAAATATCCTTTTAATAAAAAACATTGACCTTAATTTTAAATTATTAGATAGATAGATAGATACATTTTGGCCTAGAAGGCCAAACCTCCTTTGTTAGTTCTTGTATGACAATTGTTTATTCATAAATCCTTTTGGTGTTGTGTATTACATAAAAATATACTCCTTGACTTATATAACATACATTCAGAGCCTTTGTTTTAATGGAACACTAAAAATGATTGCTCATCATAATACTGTCGATGTCCGAACAAATTCACAAATCTTGTATGGAACATATATTTAGATAATGTTAGTAAAAGCCTAAGAAAATTTGTACTCTTGAACATAACTTGTCAAGGAATATTCCTCTAACTTTTATATTATTGTGTAGGCGGGCCATATCTCTTGGTTTCCTTGTGATCAAAACTATTCGATTCAAATATTGCAAATCCTTTTGGTATGATGTTTTACATTAACAATGTATCTAAAAACTTAAGTAACATACATTTGGAGTCTTTGGAATTGTGTTCTTATACAACATGTTTTGATTACAAATTCTTTGGTTATGATGTCACCATGACAGTTGATATAAATTATAATTTCTTGTATACCTTATAAACGTCTCCATAAGTCCCTGATCCTATCCTCTGGATCAATTCATATTCATCCTGGGGGTTCTTTCTTGATATATCAGAACTCAAAACATTTGATCCATGAGCCATGTTAATTATTTGTCACATTACACATTTATTATAAAAACATTATTTATTTACACTTATATAATTAAACTGCACTGAATTAGCACGACAAGGAAATTGTCTGTATAAATATTTTAATATAAAATTAATCTGATAAAGAAAAATTACAAAGAGCACTGATGTCCATTGCCATGTTGACAACTGCGAACAAATCTTTGGAATGAAAGCTTTCACAATAATGTTATTGACGTAAATAAACAAAAATACAAAATAAACAGTTTTGGTAAATAAATAAAATATTTTTGGGCAAAAGAATGCAGATTAATAGTAAATATTTTGTATTTGCATCCTTGTGGTTCTAAAATCGACTAAAAATATAAATAAATTTTTGAGGTTATGAATGACATTTCATATTATACCACATATATACAAAAAAAATGGTTTTGTGTTAAAATAAAAAAATGGTTATATATTAATATTTAAAAAACATTGTACAGTTAAAAAATACAGATTAATAATAAATATTTTGTGTTTGCATCTGTGAGGATTTAAAATCAAGTAAAAATATAAATAAATATTTGAGGTTATGTTTGACTTTTGACATTTCTTCTTATTGCGTATAAACCACATATATTAAAAATAATTTAGTTAAAATAAAAAATTATAATATTATAGAATACAAAAAACATTGTGCGGTTGAAAAATGCAGATTAATAATAAATATTTTGTGTTTGCACCTTTGTGGTTCTAAAATCGACTAAAAATATAAATAAATTTTGTAGGTTATGTATGACATTTCAAATTGCATACAAACTGCATATAAAAAAATTGTGTAACTCAAATACTTAATTGATATACTCTTGTTTTCAAAATTTACTTGTGATTTCATATATATCTATTCAACTTCTACACTTAGAAATATTTATTATTTATTATTATTATTATCTTTGGTTTTGGTTTATTTAAAAAAAATATCCATTACCATGTGTCACTTATTACCACTTTGCACAAAGTATTTATAAACACTGCATTCCTTTGTTTCCTCAAAATCTATTTATAAATCCCTGTTCTATAAATAGAGTGCTCAGACTTGTAATTCTATTACCATGGTGTCTTCGGGACTGTGGTACGGTCTGTCCACAGTTGTCATTCTGGTTCTTATAAGAAAAATTAGAGAGTACACATGGGGTAGATGTAGAAGTAAAGGTTCTTTGCGTGGTAAAACGTTTTTGATAACCGGTGCTAATTGTGGTATTGGATATGAAACTGCCAAAGCTCTTGCGATCAGAGAAGCTAATGTTATTCTTGCCTGTCGGGATGTGTTTAGAGCCAGGATGGCTATTGAGCAAATCAGACAGTATTTGCCTTTGGGAAGACTAGTAAGATAAATGTCAAATACATTTGATAATATATATTTTGTTATTGTTATGTATGTTTGTTACAGACTGCTCTGGAGTTAGATTTATCGGATTTTAACTCCATTAAAGCATTTGCCCAATTGATCAGACAAGATCATAACGACATACATTGTTTGATCAATAACGCAGGTCTTGCAACAAATGAGTTACTGAAAACTAAACAGAACTTTGAAATTCATTTCGGTGTCAATTACCTTGGACATTTTTTGTTGACAAACTTATTACTCGATGTTTTATCTCAAAACAATGCTAAAATTATCAATGTAACTTCTCAATTGCACGAAAAGGGTGTTATTGATTTAGCTAATATTGAAAAGGCTGTTATAATCGATGAGGAAACATCATTGCTTGGAAGTAAAGTTAAAAACAATGGACATGTGAATCCTTTATATTGTAATTCCAAGTTGGCTAATTTGTATTTTGCAATGGAGTTGGAGAAGATGGGTTATGAATCTTACGCGATATGTCCTGGGTTCACATATACAAATCTGTTTAGAAATCATTCTTTTAAATGGTACCAGTACGTGCTTTTTATGCCAGTTGCATTTTTCTTTTTACGAAGTGCTGAACAGGTGAATATTGTAATTAAATTTATGGTTGCAGAATGAGACAAACTTTCTAATGCTAATATTTATAAAATACATCGTTTATATTTTTTTATTGCCTAAATGAAGGTTTATTTTATTAATAACAAGCATTGAAAAACTTTTGACATAAAATATTTTTTCAATTTTTAGTAAATAGCAAATTATTCATATTGCAAAACTTCTGTAACAAAATTTTTTATAGCAATGTGTAATTTTATTTAAAATAAGTAAATTATTTCAAATTGATAATAAAAACTCTTGCAACAAAATATTCCTTAATTGACTACATCTATTATTACTCTTACTCTGCAACCATCATGACTTTGATATAAATTTATATATAATATATAATTTATATATTAATTATTTATTCCTATCTGATTTCATGATTTTTTCAGGGAGCACAATCCGTTATAAAATGTGCATCAGAAAATCTCAAAACCCAAAAAGACATTTTTGATTCTAGAGCACCCACTATCAGAAATGGATATTATTTTAAGAATTGTAAATTTTATAAATCTAAAGTTTATTTGGACGAAGAGCTCTCTAAAGAGCTGTGGATTAAAAGTAGGAAGTTATGTGATCTCTGAATTATAGTAGAAGTAAAATTATAGTAATAGATTAAAAATAAATTTGAAAATTAGAGAGAGAAAACTTGTTTCGGTTTTAATTGTTGATTTAAAAAAAATGTTATTGAAGATTGTTTTGTAAATATATATAAATACATTTTTACTAAGTTGAATCTTAGTTTTAATTATGTCATTAATTATAATTATTAACTGTAGGGTAAGTTATAATAATCGCAAAAAACTCGAAAACAAAAATTTTTATATATATTTACGTTTCAAAGGTTTCTGAACATTTTGGCAAACCTTAGAAAAAATTGATGTATGTACAGATACAAATTTTCGTCGACAATTTTGGAAAAACCGATTTGATACATTCAAAAAACATTCGATTCATATTGATTCGAAGACATGTTGATTACTTTTTGGCAAAGGCTCAAAGGCAGGTCCAGTCGTTATGGAGATACGGGGCAAAAAGTGCCAAAAGCGGTAACTCAGTTTTTAAGAGAACGGAGCGTCCGATGTGAATAATTCAAAAAACATTTTACTTGTATTGACAAGATGAACAACTGATTAAATTTTTGGGAAGGCAGGTCTGGCAGTTTCGAAGATTTAGTAAAAAAAATGCAATTTGGCGGTCAAAAATGATCATTAGACACTTGCACATCAAAATATAAAATATTTTATGGAGATTTTAATAAAAAGTTTAGATTTTGTTTACATTTCTATGAGTTGATTTGAGCGCGTATTTCAAATTCATTATAATTTTGAATGCTTATTACCTTGGTTATATATATTTATTATAATTATCACCTAGGCAATAAAATAATAAGATAAGTTAAAGACGTATAGAATAATTCGCAAATCAATCAAAATAATTTTGTATTGGTATATATCTATTATTATTGTATATTTTTATTGCAAATGTTTACAATTCAATTTGATGTAAAATCATCAATTAAAAAATCTTTTTTTTTTCATATAGGTTTATTGCCGATCAAAATAATACAATTTTTTAAGGCAATATGCTGGGTGTAAATTAAAAAAAAAAAATGAGAATAAAAATATAATAAGTACCAACTGCCTCGATTATCAATAAATGCATAGCATGTAACATTTGCTGTATATTTTATACTATTTATGCAGTCTATTATATTCTTAAATATTTTATGACATAAAATCAGTTAAACAAATATTTTCATATTTCATTAATTTCCATCACGTTTCCGACTATGAAATGCCATGTGTCTTTTCTGAGTACTTGATTGTGTGAATGTCTTATTACAAATATTGCATTCATAGGGTCGTACTCCATTATGAATCATCATGTGAATTTTCAGATCACTTGATTGTGTGAATGTCTTTGTGCATGTACTGCATTCATAGGGGCGCTCATCACTGTGAATGACCATGTGTCGTTTCATATTACCTAACAGCTTGAATGACTTATTGCATATACTGCATTCATGGGGGCTCGCTTCACTATGCACCACCATGTGATGTTTTAGATTACTTAATTCTGTGAATGTCTTATTACAAATGTTGCATTCATGAGGTCGTACCCCGTTGTGTATCATCATGTGACTTTTCAGACAACTTGATTGTCTGAATGTCTTCTTGCACATGCTGCATTTATAAGGACGCTCACCACTGTGAATGACCATGTGACGTTTCAGATTACTTAGTTCTGTGAAAGTCTTGTTGCATATATTGCAATCATAGGGGCGCTCACCACTGTGAATGACCATGTGCTTTTTCAGACTACCTAATTCTGTGAATTTTTTATTACAAGTGTTGCATTCATGGGGCCGTACTCCACTGTGAATTAGCATGTGATTTTTTAGACTACTGAATTGTGTGAATGTCTTATTGCATATACTGCATTCATGGGAGCGAACGTTATTGTGAGTTAGTAAATGAGTTTTTAAAGCAATTGATTGTCTGAATGTTTTACTGCATACGTCACATTTGAAAGAGCAGACTTCAGAATGTGTAATCATATGTGATTTCAATCCTTTTGATAGTTTGAAAGTCTTGTGGCAGATTTCGCATTTAAAAAGGCGTTTTTTGCTGTGACTAGGCAGGTGATCGACCATATGCTCTTTTAAATGATCTGATTCTGCAAATGATTGATTACAAATTCCACATTTATATATGGATGTCTCGATTGACTCCTCTTTGACTTCTTCTTTTATTGTCACCTCGGAATTAATGAATCTTTCTAAATACGATTCATCTTTCTCAGAACACAATTCAGATTTAACATCAAGAACATCTAATTCCTCCACAACTTCGGATTTAATGTCTTCCTCTGAAAATTCTAGTGGTTCAATTTTAATTGCCTGATCATTCATAGACATAACTGTTTCTTCTGACATTTTTAAATATTTTTACTCAATAAATATTAGTGAGAATATACTCAATATAGTTTAATTAGTCTTTGTAAATATTGCAAATGATTTGAACTAATCTGACATTTATTATTTGACATTTGAAGCATAAAGCATATTTTCGGAAAGATGAGACATTTATCTGATAGCTTCCACATTTAACGTAAGTGGCGCGTATTTCAAGTTCATTATGATTTTGAATTTTTATTACCTTGCTTTATGTTTATTTATTTACTAGCTGTACCCGTTCACGCTTAGTCGTGATTTAGTTTAAATTAAAAAGCTGAACAAAGATGTGTATTTGCTACATTTAGTTTAACGTAACTACTATCTGTTAAACAATTTGTCTACGAATTTACCTTTCAACTTGTTGATCAACCTACCATTTTACCAGCTTCTCAATTTACCTGTTAACATGTTTATCCGTTTTGTTATTTGTCTATCTACCAGTTGTCTTGTCTGTCATTTTACATATCCTCCAATTTACCTGTCCACCAGTTTACCTTTATAAATTTTCTAATTCACCTTATTTATTTACGCTTTATAAAAAAATTAAAGCTCAAATTGATTCTACGTTTTAATTAGAAAACGTTTGTGTGTGAAAAAGAAAAGGGCTGTTTTTAGGGTTTATCTGGCAATTATTCGATTTTTTCTCGCCGTAAGAACCATCCTTGGACTTCAACGAACATTTTAATAAGATTAATTTGCCAAATTGGTCCAAGCGTTGTTGAGTTATGCGCTTACCAACACATTTTGCGATTCATTTTTATATTATAGATATAAATGATTACGATTGCATGTGCATCAATATTTAACTTTATATTTGAGGACAATATTTATCAGCCAATGATAAAAAAAATGTTACACCAATATTAACTTCTCGTAGGGTAAGTTATTGTAATGGGCCGAAAATCGGAATTGAAAATTTTTACATTTTTCGACGTTTTGAAGGTTTCTGAACGTTTTGGCATACCTCAGAAAAAATGGATGTGTGTGTGTGTGTGTATGTATGTGTGGATACAAATTTCCAGTCACGTTTTAGGGCGCACGGATCAACCGATTTGAATAGTTCAAAAAACATCCGATTCCTATTGATAAGGAAAAGAGCTGATTAGTTTTTAGCAAAGGCAGGCCCAGCCGTTTCGGAGATACGGAGCAAAGAGTGCTGAAAATAGAAATCGTATTTTTGAGAGAACGGTGTATCCGATTTGAATGATCTAAAAAACATTCAATTAGTAATGAGTGGGAGAAGTGTTTATTAGTTTTTGGCAAAGGCAGGCCCAGCCATTTTGAAGATACGGAGCTAAATATGTAAAAAATGGCAGTTTTTGAGAGAACTAAGCGTCCGATTTAAATGATTCAAAGAACTTTCTGCTTGTCTTAACAAAATAATCAATTTTGGAAAAAAAAATATTCCCATTTTTTTTTTTTTTTTAGTTTTTTGTATATCGAAAATATTTCAGATTTTATTTTTAATTCTGACTATAGTTCTAATATACTTTACAAATAATTTCAACTCTGCAATTAAGTTTATATAATATTTATTAATATTAGACAATGTTACAATATTTATAATAATCTATTTGAAAACATTCAGTAATCCTCGAACATTTCGTTACAGTACGGGAAGTTCCAGCAATTTGCCTTAAGGCACGATGCCACCCACCCCACTAGTTTATATTTTAGTTTGAGGACAATATTGGACAATATCGACTAACGTTGGCCTGATATATAAGTTGACATCATTACAGAACCGACGTTTGCCCATATTCGGGCAATATAGGTAATCACGGCCACAAAAATCCAACATTGGCAATATGTGGAACGGAGATTAATTTCTACATGGGCTTGAAGTGAAATTTGAAAATTAATCTAATATAAGTAACAATTACTTTGATTGTCAATGTAATGTAACACTTACTGTATATTTTATACAATTTATACATTCTATTACATGCAACAATATTTTATAGCATAAAATCAATTTAACAAATATTTTTATACTTCATTGATTTTCATCACATTGTCGACTATGAACTGTCATGTGTCTATTTAGACTACTTGCTTGTGTGAATGTTTTATTGCATATACTGCACTGATGGGGCCGTACTCCGTCATGAATCAGCATGTGTTTTGTCATATTACCTAATAGTTTGAATCTCTTATTGCATACACTGCATTCATGAGGGCGCTCAGCACTGTGAATAACCATGTGACGTTTCAGATTACCCAATTCTGTGAATGTCTTACTACAAATATTGCATTCATGGGGTCGCACTCCATCGTGTATCAGCATGTGATTTTTTAGACTACTGGATTCTGTAAATGTCTTATTGCATATACTGCATTCATGACGGCGTACTCCGTCATGATTCAGAATATGACGTTTCAAATTACTCAATTCTGTGAATGTTTTATTGCAAATGTTGCATTCGTGATGTCGTGCTACGCCAGTGTGAATTAGCATGTGATTTTTCAGAGTACTTGATTGGGTGAATGTCTTATTGCAGATGGTGCATTCATGGGGGCGTAATCCACTGTGGACGACCATGTGTCTTTTCAAAGTACTTAATTGTGTGAATGTCTTATCGCATAAACTGCATTCATAGGGGCGTAACCCACTGTGAATGAGCAAATGATTTTTCAATGCAAGTGATTGTCCGAATGTTTTACTGCATACATCACATTTAAAAGAGAACTCTTTGGAATGAGTGACCATGTGCTTTTCCTTTCCTTTTAATAGTTTGAAAGACTTGGGACAGATTTCGCATTTGAAAGGGTGTTCTTTGCTGTGACTGGGCATATGATCGACCATATGCTCTTTCAAATGATCTGATTGTGTAAATGATTGATTACAAATGCCACATTCATAAGTGGATGTCTCGATTGACTCATGTTTGACTTCCTCTTCTATAGTCACTTCGGAATTCATGAATCTTTCTAAGCATGTTTCATCTTTTTTAGAACACGATTCAGAATTAAAAATAGCCTGATTGGCATCAACATAATCCTTAATTTCGCGTTTAAGGTCTTCTTCTGAAAATTCTGGTGGTTCAATTTTAATTTCCTGATCATTCATAGACATAACTGTTTCTTCTGACATTTTTAAATATTTTTACTCCCTCTCGTTTACCCAGTAAATATTTATGACAACAGTTAAACAATAATAATAATTAACAATATACTAGTTTATACATTAAACTTTTTAATACGTTAAATAACTTTCACTAAATTTACATTTATTACTTGACATTTGAAGCATAGAGTATATTCAAAAAGATGGGACATTTATCAAATCGCTTCGATATTTAGCAGATGGCGCATAATTTCAAATTTATTAAAGTTCTCTACATCTCAAATGTTAACAAATGTTTTTGTTATTATTTAAATCCGCGAGCCTTTCGACTTCTGAAAAGATACAACCATAGATAAAAAAAAGAGTGCGCGTAAGGTTCATAGGCAATGGAAGAAAAACTTTTTTGCTATTGAACGAGATGGGATTTAAGTGAAAAATAAATACATCATATAACAATTTTGAATAATGCTTATTAGTAATTTTGTAACACTCGTGATGCACTTTTATTAATTTCAACCAATATGCATATTTTTAATTTTATTTATAAAAATAATATTATTTATGAAAATGTTTAAAATTATTAAATAATTTTATTTATGAAAATGTTTGTAATATTTGAAAACAATAATGTAATTGAAGTCATACTTCAAATATGACATGATGGGTTTGTCGTTTTAATTAGTAATTAGAAATGAACCTTCATTAGAGAAATAAAGTAATTGCTGATTTATAAATTCTATAATATTCGTTCATACGATATTATATATATGTTATATAATAGATTACATATATGTTAAATAACGCCTAAACAAATATTGTTTTCGCAACTTCACTCAATTAAAATTAACATGCATTCATTTACTGCTTGTATTTTTTGTACTTTTTCGCTGGCGAAATAATCTCATTCTTTGAACAGCTGTATAATATAACTGTTTTGCCTAAAAAATATTTTCCATTTCAATAACTTCAAAGATTCATAGAAACTACAAATAACATAGAAATTATGCCGATCTCCTTGTTGATATGAATACGCATACAACGTTGATGCCGGTACGCATAAAACGACAGATGTCTATTCACATACACGACGACTAATCACAGTCGACCCGTATAGAAATGATTTCATTCAGAGCGAATGACGTACAGTTCGGGAGTAGGGTATTTCCATTGCATTTGTAAAGATTTACACCCTAGTCGCGCCTACCGAAGTTTTACTTCAAAAAACAGAAATAAAATTATAAAATAATATAATAATATGCAATAATTGTCTTGATTATCAATAAATAAATGCATTATGTAATGTTTACAGTGTATTTTATACTATTACATGCAAGAATATTTTATAACATAAATTCAATTTAACAAATATATTAATATTTCATTGATTTTCATCATGCTTCTGACAATGTACAATTTGTTGAATTGAGTAAATCTTTTCTATGCAATAATTTGCAATTTCACATTTACAAGGATAGTTTCTATTATGTTGATCCTTCAGACTACCTGATTGTCTTCATGCAGGCGCTCATCGCTGTGAATGACCACCATGTGACGTTTCAGACTACTTGATTCTGTGAATGTCTTTTTACAAATATTGCATTCATAGGGTCGTACCCCACTGTGTTTCTGTATGTGTTTTTTCAGATTACATAATAGTGTGAATTTTTTATTGCATATAGTGCACTTATGGGGCTGCTTACCATTGTGAACGACCATGTGATATTTCAACCTAGTTAAAACTGAGAAAGCCTTATGGCATTGTTTGCATTTATAGGGACGTGGCTTGTGCTTCAGCATGTGACTTTCCAGAATACTTAATTCTGTGAATTTTTTATTGCATAGCCTGCATTTATGGAAATTTACTTCATTGTGCATCGTTTTGTGGTGCCTTCTCAGACCATATGAATCCGTGAATGTCTTATTGCATATAGCGCATTCATGGGGGCGTGGGCGCACTTCATTGTGTGTCAGCATGTGACTTTTCAGACTATGTGATTGTGTGAATGTTTTATTGCATTTACTGCATTCGTGGGGCCGTACTCCCTTGTGAATTAGCATGTGTTTAGCCAGATTACCTGATTGTTTGAATGTCTTACTGCATATGTTGCATTTATGGGGTCGCACTTCGTTGTGAATGAGCATATGATTTTTCAGATTACCTGATTGTGAGAATTTCTTATAGCATATGTGGCATTCATGAGGTCGCTCACCATTGTGTACAAGCATATGAGTAGTTAAATTACCTGAATATGTGAATGTCTTATTGCATATCTTGCATTTTACGTGTCGTTCTTCAGAATGTATAATCATGTGTGCTTTCAACCCTTTTGAATGTTTGAATGTCTTATTGCATATCTTGCATTTTAAGTGTCGTCCTTCAGAATGTATAATCATGTGTGCTTTCAACCCTTTTGAATGTTTGAAAGTCTTATGACAGATTTCGCATTTTAAAGGACGCTCTTCGCTATGAGTAGGCATATGCTCATTTAAACGATATCTTTTTGCAAATGATCTATTACAAATGTTACATACATAAGTGGATGTCTTGATTGTTTCCTGCTTGACTTCTTCTTCTATTTTTACTTCAGAATTCATGAATCTTTCTAAACAAGTTTTATCATCCTCAGAACTCGATTCGGATTTAACAATATCATCAAGAACATCAACATCATCCTCAATTTCGCGTTTAATATCTTCTACAGAATATTCTGGTGGTTCAATTTTAATTGTCTGGTCATTCATAGACATAATTGTTTCTTCTGACATTTTAAAATATTTTCACTTACTCGCGTGTACTCAATAAATATTAGTCTAAATATATTCAATAATAATATGATTTAATTAATATTTATAAATATTGGAAATGATTTCAACTAATTTGACTTTTACTATTTGACATTGAAGCATAGAGTACATTTTCAGAAGGATGAGACCATAGATAAAGATGAGACATTTATCGAATCGCTTTGATATTTAGTAGATGGCGCGTATTTCAAATTCAGTTACGGTTTTATCATAGATCTTATAATATTATTAGTCCAGTTATTTAAGCTTAAATTAGGTAAGAATATCGGAATTCGAGATACACAGCTGTAAGACTGTAAATACCCTAAAATAGCACCCTAAAGGTATTTCGAATTCCGAGGTGAACTTACTATAATGACTGGAATATATATGTGTGTGTGTAATTGTATAATTATTATTATACTATAATTGCATAATTATTATTATACTTTGGAAAATCGTTATAAAATATTCTTTCTTGTGATAGAATTTGTAAATAGTATGAAATGTACAAGAAGCATTACATAATATGCATTTATCTTTGGATAATGAAAGCAACTATTTCGTGATTATTGCGGACTATCTGAATGTTAATTTAGGAGCTAAAACTTCTAGAGATTTTTTCTTGGAAGCAAAGAAATTCGAAAATGGCCATATTAAGGAGCATCCAAATATATATATATATATATATATATATATATATATATATATATATATATATATATATATATATATATATATTTGAATAGTCCTATTAATATTTGATGTTGATATAATATATTTAATTTGAGTTTAAAAGTCGGGCGTTACATCAATAAAAATAGTATGAGAGTTTTTAGAAATTTATTTAAAATCCATACGATTCGACTTGCATCTTAGCCTTCAATAGGTGGCAATCAATTTAACTATAAAAATAAAATCTAAATAAATATTATGTAAGAAATTTCATAGAAAAACAATAATAATAAAAATAAAACACTCACAATTTTGTATCCTAATATAACAGATGAAAACTTTATTACTCCATTGTATTAGTATGTGCACAGTGGTAAAATATATATTTTTTAACATCACAAATGGTAAAATACAAATGAACACGAATAAACATGAATAACTCAACAAGTTGTCGAAACTATGTATTTACTATTCAGAGTCTAAGATAGAAATGTTACTTTTTTGAAATAGTTCTTTAACATGTGTTCAAATTTTACGAGAAATTTAAAAAGCGATGGGATCTTGTCATTTTTTAAGAAATTTTGACACGGTATTTAGGAACCACGTGTTTGTTTCGTTCAGGGCCGAGTTGTCGAATCGTTTGTTTATGACCCTGTCGTTATGCAATTGCAAAAACAACCCCTCAGCAAATCTTCTTTTAATTACGTTCTCTTCAAAATGTAAAATTTTTGGGTTAAAAAAAACTATATTATAATTATTTATATGCTCGGTTAACATGGTTTTGAATTGTTTGGGATTTTTTGAGTTATTTTTATCCCATAGATATATATATATATATATATATATATATATATATATATATATATACTAGAATACCTGGCCACGTTTTGCTGTGGCTTTTATTAAAAACTATTTTATTTTATCTTTTTAAAGGCTGTTATCCATAGATAAACAAGCTGTTATCTTTATGAATGCTTTAGTTAGTTGGTTTTACAACAAAGTGTATTGCAATAAACTTATACTTGCTTTAAAAATTGTCCGAAAAGATTTAATTTTTGACAACCAGATATTTCACTTTATTTCATATTTCTGCCTGCAAAACAATTTTCATATCTTTTTTTGATGAATTTTTGGCATAAGAGATTAATCTGATGGGTATTATTTGCTAAAGTGTTTAAATTTAAAGTGCTTTATTTTTAAAGTATGTCTAATTCAATTGAAACGAATGGTAATAATTAATAATTTTATTAATAAATAAATAGTACTTAAATTATAATACATATATCTTTATAATAGTGTACGTATAAAATTATTCTAACTTATTCAATATTTAAAATTTATTTTAATACGTTCTATGACTTTCGATCACTTTTAGCATAATGTATTGTACTTTCATTATTTTTTGGTGTTGTACTGCTTGTGTTCTGGCTGCTTCGTCTGGGGAGTTGCCTTTCCCTGGATAAATTACTCGACCTTTCCTGAAATAGGAAAATGTTTTATCACCATGGTAAATTAAATTTTAACTTCCCGTAGGGTAAGTTATTGTAATCGTCCAAAAATCGAAAATAGAACTAGTGGTGTATGGCTTCGTGCCTTAAGGCAAATTGCTCGAACTTCCCGTACCTAAATTATATATACTAGGAAAAAAATCAGTAATCAATAGAAATTGATCAATGATTTACAACAATTGTTTTATACATTTTCAAATAGATAATTATAATCTCTATATATTTTATCGTTCATAAAATATACAGTGACGATCTTATCGCTCAAAACACTTGAGAAAGTTTACATTAGCAAGAGGTGCCGAATAAATCCATCTGAAATATATACATTTTCAAACTGAATTGTAAATTTAAAATTCATATTTGAAGTATAAAACTTTGTAGATTTTTGAAAATTTTGAATTTTTTTTTCGGGAAATTTTGAAATTATTAATTAAAGTGAACTTTAAAAATTAAAAATTAAAAATCTTGGTACGGAACCCAATTGTAACAAAATTAATACTCATTTCTAAAAAAAATATTAAATATCTGATAATTCATTGTGCATATGTCTAATGTTCATTTTTGACCACCAAATATCTTTTCTTTTTTACTTTTTCCTCTGTATCTCCGAAACTGCTAGACCTGCCTTACCAAAAATTTCATCAATTATTCACTTTCGCCATTACAAGTAACATGTTTTTTCAATCATTCAAATCGAGTACACCGTTCTCTCAAAAACTGAATTACTGTTTTTGGCACTTTTTGCCCAATATCTCCGACACGGCTAAATCTGCCTTCGACAAAAACTAATCAGTCTTCTCATCAATAGGAATCGAATGTTTTTTGAATCATTCTAATCGGTTGATTTATGCGCCCGAAATCGTGGACGAAAAATGTATCCAAACATACATACATACGACACACACACTCACACACATCAATTTTTTCTGAGGTATGCCAAAATGTTCAAAAACCTTTGAAACGTAAAGATTTATGGAAATGTTCATTTTCGGGAAGTTAAAAAATGTATGTGTGTATGTGTGGATACAATTTTTGCCCACGATTTTGGGCGCATGCATCAACCGATTTGAATGATTCAGAAAACACTCGATTCCTATTGATATATTGATTTCTTTTGGTTCTTTGGTCCTTGATCAATATTAAAACCATTAAAACGATTCAAATCTACTCGACTATGATGATTAATACACTTTTTTAAGGCAAATTGCTGGAACTGCCCGTACCATAATGAAATATTCGAAGAATAAAATTTAGAAAAAACTAGTGGTGTGTATGGCATCGTGCCTTAAGGCAAACTGCTGGAACTTCCCGTACCGTAACGAAATTTCGAGGAATATTAAATGTTTTCAAATAGATTATTATAAATACGTTATCATTATTTATAAGAATTATATAAACTGAATTGCAAAGTGGAAATTATTTGTTTAAAGTATATTAGAACTTAAGTTAGAATTACAATTAAAATCAAAATTATTTTCGATATACAAAAAAAATATTTTTTGAAAAAAAAATTCAATAAAAAAATTGAAACAAAAAAATTGTTTTCCTAAAGCAATTATTTTGTTAAAACAAGCAGAACGTTTTCTGAATCATTCAAATCGGATGCTTAGTTCTCTCAAAAACTGCCATTTTTTGCATATTTTGATAAGTATCTCCAATTGTTAATGTTCTGGAGATAAATTGATTTTTTACATTTAATTTGCTCAGATACAACAATATAGCAAAAATAATAAAAGTTACAGTATTTGTAATAATATATTTGAAAATATTTGAAATTTCTCGAATATTTACTACTATTCAATTTGCCTTAAGGCACGATGCCATACACCACACTAGTTGTCAATTATATTACCTGGCTCGTATTGATTTTTTCAGTACTCCTATTCGTCTTGTTGACTTCTATGCTTGTTTGCACAGAATCTTCATAACTATCATTGTAGTCCGGAACGTATATCCTCATGTTATTATTGTTTTCTGTTGGAGCAGGTGCATTTGGTTGACTAATTTGGGGACTACTTTGTGGACTATGTTGAGTGTTAGTCTGAGATTTATTTTCCGCTGCAATTCTCTTCTCTGAATTTGATCTCGAATATTGCTGTTTCTTCTTCAAAATATTCATCAAGTTGCTATTGATATTGCCTGCGGCCTGTAGAGTCGCCAATGTTTCTGCAGCTTGCCGATTTGGCAAAGTCGTGAAGTAGTTCCTAGAAAAGGCATGATCCATTTGGATGTTCTGGTTTTCAGTTTCGCTGGAAGGACTTGTCGGAGGAGCAGGATTTATAAGCTGTTCCAACTCTTGCTGGTTTTGCAAAGGTTCAATAGCCACGTTTTGCCGCTGAGTTATATCGTTCTGCGCTTCTGGTTCCACCAAAGGTAATATACTAGGTATCCTCTGAGAAGCTTCGGATTGGTGATAATCGATATTGGCTTGTTGTTGTGCTTGATAAGCTTGCTCGTCCGCGACTTGCTGGTTGTTTGCAACCTGCTGCTGGTAGAACTGTATGGAACCAGGTTCTACGTAGTTGAATGTTTGATATTGAGGCTGAAAACTATTCTGCTGCTGCGTTTGAAGGTAGCTGGTATCCGGAATTTGGTATGTTTGCTGCTGGTGTTGGACTATCGCGTTTGCTGGTTGTTGGATGTAGGCTAGAGCTGAATCCATTGTCTGAAATAGAATTTTAGGATTATTGACTACACATTGACTCATCATAAAAAGTAAGGTTTATACAAAAACCGAAAACTTGGTAATTTTTTTTTGGTTTTGGTCAAATAACTCACGTATAACTTCACGTTATATGAAGGCACTCTTTTTTAATTAGCCTAGCAGAAACTAGATAAAATTTACCACAATTCCATTTAAACACTTATATACAGTCCGATATAAAAGTTTTGAATAAAACGACTTTGAATTTGATTTTTCATTCTTTAGCAATAAATAGAATTTTTTATTTTATTTTATTTACATATATTTATTGCCAATCAAAATAATATACATTTTTTAAGACAATATGCTGAGTAGGGAATGCAATACCGGTATACCGAATTACCGGTAAACCGCCTGATATTTCGGAGGTATTTTTACCGGTATTTATTCCAAAAATACCGGTATTTTCGGTATTTTTACGCAAGCGCTATTTGATACATAATACCCTAAAGTTTAAATTTCTCGGAACAAATTTATCTTTAAATTCCATAATCGCATAAACAGCTATATCTTCAAGTGATTCTATAGGATAAACAAATGTCAAATATCTCAACTCGTCATTAAACTGAATATTTATTGCTTTCCAAAGGGCTTCATATCGTGTTACAATAAATAGAATTGGACTGATAGATAATGATATTTGTTTCATCTTTTGTAAAAATGTAACGGTTTTTAAAGAGATATTTGCGCCAAAATATTTTATATCATACAGATTACCCCTGCGTAATATTTATTTTTTTCTAACTTTATACGTAATAACTATGATAACTACTAAGTATTTTTGCTTCTTATTACAATTATGAAATATAATTTTTCGAAAACGTTTCGAAGTTTGAAAATACTATAGAAGCATCAGGTTATTTTAAATAACAATACACAACAATTATAGTAACTTATTATTTATCTCGATAAAGAATCCGATCTTAAATTAGTGACCTAAAATTATTTGTTAAAAATATTGGAGATTATGCTAATTTAACACATCGGATACAGACAATACAGTTTATTATAATAATGTAATATGATCTTTTATGAGTTTTTGGTCTTTTTTACTCATAAGTTTGTTTTTGGTGAAAAGTACTCAATATACTCGATAGTGATAATGAATTAATTAAATTGGATGTAATTTTGTTAAATTATTATTTAAAAAAATAAACTTATTGTTTTATTTTATTGTTTTTATTGTTTAGTTGAATATAGTTGTAGTTGTATAGACATTTTTTTTATATTTGTACTAGTAACTTTCAATTTTGTTTACGTTTGTTCAAGATAATAAAAATACCGGTAATTTACCGGTACTCCGGTTTTAAAATGATAAATTACCGAAATACCGGTATTGAAATTTTCCATCGGTATTGCATTCCCTAATGCTGAATATGAGATATCCTCTTTTTCTTATTTTTTGACATCTTATTTAAGATTGTATGGCCACTTTTTTCAATTTTTGAGTAGGATATTTCTCGCTTAATTCTTTTAAATATTTGTTTGGGTGACCTGGTAGTTTTTCGTGGTATTTTTTGCTCCTTTTTTATCATTTCATTAATAGTTTTTATTTTTAGATCTTTATGTAAAGTGTCATTTGTAATATACCAGGGTACGTTCACGTGCATCTTAAAATTTTCGATTGCGCTATTTGTATTTTTTTTATATTTGAATTGCTTGCGCACGCCCATAGCTCAATTCCGTATGTCCGGATTGGGAGGTGGGATATTTTTTTTAGTTTTTGTCAAATAACTCACAAATTTGATATGAAGGTACTCTATTTTAGTTAGCTAGACAGAAACTAGGTAAAATTTACTACATTTCTATGTAAACACTTATATACAGTTCAATATAAAAGTTTTGAATAAATCGACTTTGTTATTTTGATATTTCATTCTTTAGCAATAAATAGAAAATTCGGGACAATTTTTTATGAAAGCATTCTTTTTTAGTTAGATAGTGAGAAACTAGATAAAATTTACTACATTTCCATGAAAACAGTTATAAACAGCCCGATATAAAAGTTTTGAACAAAACGATTTTGAATTTGATTTTTCATTCTTCAGTAATAAAGAGCAACCACGGGACATTTTTTTGGTTGTTGTCAAATAACTCACACATTTTATATGAAAGCACTCTTTTTGAGTTGGATAGGAAGAACCTAGATAAAATCTATTATAATTCCATGCCAATAGTTATAAAATATAAAAGTAATATAAAAGTTTTGAATAAAACTACTTTGAATTCGATTTTTCATTCTTTAGCAATAAATAGAAAATTCGGGACATTTTTTTAGTTTTTGTCAAATAACTCACAAATTTTATATGAAAGCACTCTTTTGCAATTAGATAGGGTGAAATTAGATAAAATTTACTACAATTCCATGCCTACAGTTGCACATGGTCCGATAGAAATGTTTTGAATAAAACGGCTTTGAAACCGATCATAAAACCGGTTTTTTAATAGTAGTTTCTCAGGAAAACCGGTTTACCGGCAAATTTAGTGTGATTTAAAGCAGTTTTTGACAAAATTTATTTACTGTTCAATTTTATGAGTAATATAATATTTTAATTTTAATTAAAAAAACAAAGACATAATAGTTAATTATGTCTTAGAAAAACAAAGACATAATAGTTGGTCTGATTTCAATAACTATGAAAATAATAAATCTTTATATATTTATGCATCATTTCTACATAAGAATGAATATATTTTATGATAGCATAAGAAAAAAGTTTAAATAAATAAAAATAGTACATTTTGAAATAAAAGTCTTCTAAAAATTAAAAAAAAATTAGATACATTCTGTCACATACTTGTTAATGTCAAATTTAATTTTAAAAATAATTATGCAAAACTCCAACTATTTTCTTTCGATTAATTAATTTCAAATATTCTAATTATTTTTTTGTTTAATAAAATATGATTTCAAAAGAGGGAGAATGTTTATCGATTTGTCGTTTTTCATTTATACAGTAAAAACCGATTTTTGCCACTAAATACTGGTTTTGGAGTTTCGTAATTTCCGTTCGAGGGCTCGATTGACTGCTGTTCGACTTCTTTTTCTATAAAAAATAAAGAAAAAAAGAAAAAAACATATTTTAAAAATATTGTGCAAAGATTAGTAAAAGATGCAAAGAGATGCAAAGATATTATATATTTTTTGAATTATATTGAAAAATAACTATATTGAAAATTTCATATCTGAATTTTGTGTGGGCCCTGATTATTACTCAATTTCATATTTTAAGTGAATTAATTTATCAAATCCTGTTCATATGTATCATTCAATCTGCCATACGTATATACTGTATCTTATATTATTTTAATTTTTGGCACATCTCAGCTTCTATTTGGCAATAATAATGTAGGCATTTCATTTTTCTTATTCATAATCATGAATTTATTATACATATTCTGATATTGTCTAGACTCATAAGTAAATTGAAATTTTTGGCAGATGACAGTTGTCATTTGTTTTCAATGCCAAACAATGTCTGAAATATTTTCAATGTCAAACAATAACATGTAGTTTTTAGCATTTTTTTCTACAATAAAACTATATTTTTATAATCACATACATTCTAAAAAAATCCCTTAACAAACCTCAGAAAGATTTATCAAAATCCGAATAATCGTTTAGGAGGAGTATATTTACATACATCATTACAGAAGAATTTTGTATATAAGATACTATAAAAATATTTTTAGAATGTATAAAAGTAACTAATTGCAAATGTGATATATGAGTTAAAATTAAAGTAGTAAGTAGTAGTAAGCTAATTAAAATATGATAAAATAATAAAATATGTAACAATTGCCTGGACTATCAATAAATACATATTATATAATGTTTACTGTATATTTTATACAATTCATACATTCTATTATATGCAAAAAGATTTCATAACATAAATTTAATTTAACAAATATATATCTTAATAGTTCATTGATTACCATCATGCTTCCGACTGTGAACTAACATATGTTTTTTCAGAATACTTGATCTTGAGAATATCTTCTTACATATATTGCATTCATGGTATCGTGCTCCATTGTGTATCAGCATGTGATTTTTCAGATCTCTTGATCGTGCGAATGTATTATTGCATATAGAGCATTTGTGGGACTCATTGTGAATTACCATGTGACGTTTCAGATTACCCAATTCTGTGAATGTCTTCTTGCATACATTGCATTCATGGGGTCGCACTCCATCGTGAACCAGCATGTGATTTTTCAGATCCCTTGGTTGTATGAATGCCTTATCGCATATGCTGCATTTATGGGGACGCTCATCACTGTGAATGAACATGTGACGTTTCAAACCACCTAGTTCTGTGAATGTCTTATTACAAATATCACATTCATGGCGAACTCCACTGTGTATCAGCATGTGACTTTTTAGAGTACTTGGATGTGTGAATGTCTTATTGCATATAGTGCATTCATAAGGGCGTACATCATTGTGTGTTAGCATGTGACGTTTCAAATTACATAATTCTGAAAAAACCTTATTGCATATAGTGCATTCATGAGGGCGTACTCCATTGTGCATCAGCATGTGAGTTTTCAAATAACGTGGTTGTGTGAATGTCTTATTGCATATACTGCATTCATAGGGGCGCAATCCATTGTGAACGAGCATACGATGACTTTTCAGACTACTTGATAGTTTAAATGTCTTACTGCATATGTTGCATTCATGGGGACGATCTTCACTGTGAACGAGCATGTGGATTTTCAGACTATCTAATCGCGAGAATGTTTTATTGCATATATTACAGTCATAGGGACGTGCTTCACTGTGCGTTTTCATGTGACTTTTTAGCTGACTTGAATGTTTGAATGTCTTATTGCATATATTGCATTCATGAGATCGCTCACCACTATGAATGAACATGTGTCTTTTCATATTACTTAATTGTGTGAATGTTTTATTGCATATACTGCATTCATGGGGACGCTCATCACCGTGAATGAGCATGTGTTTTTTCAAAACAAACAATTGCTTGAATGCCTGGTTGCAAAATTGGCATTTGAAGGGACGTTCTTCAGAATGTGTAATCATGTGAGTTTTTAAATGACCTGATCGTTTGAAAATCTTATGACAAATTTCGCATTCGAAATGGAGCTCTTTGCTGTGACTGGGCATGTGATCGACCATATGGTCTTTTAATTGATCTGATTCTGCAAATGATTGATTGCAAATGTCACATTCATAAGAGGATGTTTCGATTGACTCCTGTTTGACTTCTTTTTCTATTGTAACTTCAGAATTATTGAATCTTTCTAAACAAGTTTCATCTTTCTCAGAACACAATTCAGATTTATCAATATCATCCAGAACATCTAATTCCTCCACAACTACGGGTTTAATGTCTACTACTGAAAATTCTGGTGGTTCAATTTTAATTGCCTGATCATTCATAGACATAATTGTTTCTTCTGACATTTTTAAATATTTTCACTCACTCGCGTATACTCAATAAATATTAGTCTAAATATACAACAACAATATAGTTTAATTAATCTTTATAATTATTACTTTTATAAATTAGTTTAATAATCGTTATAATGCCAACTAATCTGACATTTATTATTTGACATTTGAAGCATAGAGTATATTTTCGGAAAGATGAGACATTTATCAAATCGCTTCCATCTTTAACGTAAGTGGCGCGTATTTCAAAGTTTCAACCGTCAACATATGATATAAATACTAATTATTGAATGATTAATACCTAAGTCTTGGACATTGAAATAATATGGGATTATTATTTAAATGATTATTTCTAAATATTTTACCAAGCACATAGTAGAATTTATGAACTCCATGTCTCTACATAGAATTTGTAAATACCCATTAAATTACTTTAAATCACTAAAAGTATAACTTTACGACTATGAATTTATATTCGTACTATCCCTAGAACGAATATAAATACAGTTCTTTAGTTCCTGAGTCGTTATATATAAAATTCTTCTGTAATGTTATATGTGAATATACTCCTCCCTAAACGATTATTCGGATTTTGATAAATCTTTCTAAAGTTTGTTAAGGGGATTTTTTAAGATGTATGTGATAAAAATATAGTAATGTTGTAGGAATAAATGGAAAAAATGCAAAAAACGACATGTCTTTTTTTGACATTGAAAATATTAGAGACATTATTTGGCATTGAATACAAATGAAAATTGTCATCTGACAAAAAAATTCAATTCACTTATGAGCCTAGGCAATATTAGAATATGTATAATAATTTCATGATTATGAATAAGAAAAATGAAATGTCTACATTATTATTGCCGAAAAGCAGCTGATATGTGCCAGAAATTAAAATAATATTAAAATAAGATACAGTATATGTATGGCAGATTGTATGATACACATATGAATAGGATTTGATAAATTAATTACTTAAAATATGAAATTAAGTAATAATCAGGGCCGGTTCTACCTTGAATGCGACTCATGCGAAAAATACGAGTGCACGCCTTAGGGGACGCCAACACAAGATTTGGATATTAAATTTTCAATAGTTTTTTTAAATATAATTTAATAAATACATAATTTCTTTGCAACTTTTACTAATCTTTGCACAATATTTTTAAAAAACGTTAAAAATTTCACTTTAAAACAACAAATAGAACAGTAAAGATGAATGTATACGATTCAGCCCTTACGATATCAATTCGGAGAAGTTTAAGATGCAATTTTGGATATCTTAAATAATAAAAAAATAAATTAAAATAATCCATCATGGAGTGCCAGTGTTATGTTAAGGTTCTGTTTAATGATGAGAGGCTAGAATTTTTTGCTCTCTATGATTTGCTCAATAGAATAATTCGCTTAAAATGCCCAAAATAAATAAATAAAATGTTTCAAAAGCCAAATATTAATTAATGAAAATAATTTTAATAATAAACTGTTAAAACAGGTAAAATAATAGGGAAGTGCTAGAAAAATGGCATTGGGCGCTGAGGACCCACAGAGAGTCCCTGGTAATAATGTACGTATATTAAATTATTACTAAGAAAAATGTTATTTAGATGTTATAATTACCAAAAACCAGTTAAAATATAGTACGAGATTATAAAAATTATAGGCAACATTATTGGAGCAATTATTTTGAGTGAAAAAATCCAAGGTGATATTGTACTTTTACCGCGGATACTATATACTAATTTTTTCTGAATTTGTTATACCGTTTAAAAGTCTTTAATTTCCAATATAGTATGGGAATTGAGACTCATCATTTTATTTAAAGCAGTTCTCTATTTAACATTGCTCATATTGATGTATATGCATTTAGGTGTGAAGAGTAATTTAAAAAACCGAAGTTATTATTTTTAGGTAAACATTAAATATTAGTATGGGATATTAAAAAATTGTAGACGTGGGTACAAGCAACGCCTGTCGTATTATATATATATATATATATATATATATATATATATATATACACACACACACACATATATATATATATATATATATATATAATAATAAATTATATTATGATTTGTTTTAGATTTTACCGGTATGGGAAGTCCATGAGCCTGCTGCAGTAAATGCTGGTGCAGTTGTGGTTGATGAGCAGCCTGGTACAAATTGCTACTGGTAGCTTCCTGGTTATGAGGTAAGGGAAAACTGTTCAGTAGATCATAAAATTCTTGAGTGGTCAAACCTTTTGTTTTTTGAGATTGTGTCTGCGTTTGCTAAAAAATAGTAACACAATTGTAATTAATGGTAATGGATTAATAGGTAATAAATAATCAAAAAACTAGCTGACCCGGCAAACGTTGTTTTGCTAAGTAAAATATACTCTAAACAATTTCTAGAAAATCAAAAATATTAATACTTCAAAGTGTATAAGGTTGTTTGAATGCTATTTGTAATGTGGTATTATAAAAACAATAAACCCCATTAGTTTGTCTATATTTTGCCAATACAATCAAACTGGAAGGTTTATACACTTTCTTTAGAAAACATGGTATAATCCAATCTAAGTCTTTTTTGGTCTTTCGACTTATTGATTACGTTTCAAGTTTTTCAGATTCTTATTGGATTCTGGATTTTGTGTATAATTATAAATGATACTACTGAACTTATACAAAATTTTCAATTTTCTGCGAGAAGAGATAGAAAATGATTTAAGTATTTCTTCTTTGACCTGTTTTTTGAAAAGTTTTAAGTAACATTTCATGAATTAAAGTAGCTTTAATAAAAAGTATATATGTAGAGCAAGGCGAGGCACAATAGTTCAATTTGACTTTGAGCAAATATTAATTATATTATAAAAATCAAACCAATTATATCACAACAAATAAAACATTTCGAACAAACAATTATCTGACTACGTTCAGTAAAACTGCCATCTACCACATCATTGTAGAAATGTGTTTTTTGCTGTCTTTTATAAATTTGTTATCTAGACCTTTTTACCCCATAGACGTGGTAACTTGGAATGGCCAGATGGCAAACAGGTTTAATGTCTTATTTTACTTTTAAAGGTATTTGACAAAACAATTACATTTTTAACAAATGCTAAAAAACTACCAACGGAAGAAAATACTTTTATTATGGATTTTCAAAGATTACCGTTTATCTCCCGATAGCAAAGTCATAAGAATCAAGGTTATAGTTGATTATACATCTTTTTTTCTGTACTTTCAAATATTGTTGTAAAACAATGCTTAACTTTAGTGGTTTTTGACACATCGGTGGTGAACCTTTTTAATCCCGGACTTTCATATATTATTATCTATTCTGCGATAAATTCTGGGAAATTATAACTGGAAAAATGTTATTCGACAAAATGTCCATTTGATCGATACCAAATTTAGGTTCTGAACTTAAATAACATGAATAAAAAATAATATAACCCAGAAAATGTTTTATAAATACCAATGAACATATAATCATACAAATGAGATCTTTCAGAGCACCGTATTTGAGAAAAATATGATTTGCATAAAAAGAGTGCTACAACTCCCAAAAATGCATTTTCATATTAACATTTCAAAAACGTTGATGTTTTGAGTTTCTAGTAACACTTGCGGCCCGTTTAATAACGTTTTTGTGTAAAAAAAAAACCTATAAACAAAACTACTTACTACAATTTAATCATAATTGAATAATATTTACGTAAAACATCCTATCAAACGTAATTGAACATCATCTGTCAAAAACGTTTGACATTTGACGTATTAGCCACCGTCCATTGTTTTATTTAAATTACGCTTCTACAAAAATGTTCAAATAAAAGTGTAAAGTTTCTACGCGATTTTGAAATAATATGTCACCTTTCCGACAACCTACTCTTTAGCACGAATTTTTCAAGACTAAGACTGGCCGAATCGGTTTAGCCGTTTTCGAGTTTTAGCGGATCATTTTATCTAGAGCTCCATTTTTATATATAAGATGTATAGTTTTTTTTTCAAATATTAAATACCTGTGTAGCATAATGTTGCACATCGGGAGGCAGAGGTTTTCCATTGCTCGGCATCGAAAATGGGTCATTTATTTTGAAAATAGGTGCTGCTGGTAACTTTGGGTCTGGATCTGGTGCAAATAGTGTGGAGGCTCCTGATAAATGGTCCTTAATACGCACATCATTTGACGGTTCCGTCACATGGTACTGGTGAAGCTATTAACGAAAAAATTCCATAAAATTTTACATATTTGTGCATTTGATTTTGGGAGTATTTTACCAACTTACCCCAGTTAACTTAGCTGGTTCAGGTTGATAAAAACTCGCAGTATTTGGTAATTGATGGAAACTACCAGCATTATTTCCTATATAAGTAGCTTTCACTGGTTGCTGAAGAGCCAAAGCTTTCGGAGGAGGTCCTTGTGCAAAACTGGCTCCTGCTCCACTTAAATTTGGAGCAGGAATTGTGCGTATTGGGCTTTCTCGATCAGCCACATCAGCCAATTGGAAATGCTGGTGAGATACTGGCTGGGGATAGCTGTAATGCTGTTGTTTTGGAGGTGTCTGGCCGCCGTGAATGTTTGATGGATTCTGCAAGTGCTGGGGAATAGAAAGAAATTTTTAAAAAGTGGTCCACTATCTATTCACTTATTTATTAAATTTACAAGCCGTCGGTATAATAATATTATAATAAGGCTTAAGTCAAAATTTTATAGGTTTAATATAATTTAATTAATTATTAGCTATATTACTTATTTATTTATTATTTAATTTATTTACTATAAACTTATTTATATTTAGTTAATTATAATTATTTTTAAATATAACTAGTTTGTTTGTTGCAAGTATTTTTAAAAATTCAATAAGTATGTTAATAAGCTTTACAATACTTTTACAATATAATTATTTTATTTGACGTTATCATTATCTCAACTAGTACAATATAGTATTTTTTAACTTCCCGAAAGAGAATTTTATGTTTTCATCAAAAAATTCGATTCGCTAATTTTATGTTTTCTCGCATTTCAAGCCATTCTGAATCGAATGAGACCAAATTTGTATAAAATATGTGTGTGTGTAAACATATTTTTTGCCGTAAATCGACGTTTTCTCAAAACCGGCTGGACCGACTTCAAAAATTTAAAAACCATTCGATGTATATCGATGAGGACTAGCGTGTATCAATTTTACGCGACGATCAGCCAAGCCGTTTCTTTGTAAATAGCAGAAAAGTGAACATTTTTCGTCCACGTTTTAGCCTGCAATTCTGAATCGATTTTGAAAATCCAAAAACCGTTCAAAAGATATTGTTTGGGAATCGTGCTGATTAGTTTTTGGTGAAGATCGGCCGGGCCGTTTTCTTGTAATAACGTGTTAAAACATTTTTTGACGATTTTCATGATTTTTTTTAACGGTAGATACCATAGTCTTATCATACTAAAATATAGATCATACTAAAATATTACGGCCCAACGACAACTCGTTTAGCTTTAAAAATTCGTCAAAATTTGCAAAAATTAGTATCGTTTTATTGGCGTTTGTCAAAATTATGACAAAAAAAAATTTAAGCCGATTTTCATGGAACTTCTTTTGACGATATATATCATGGTCTTATAGAACTTACTGAAATATTACGGCATTACGACATGTAGTTTAATTTTAAAAATTCATCTAAATTACGCCATGCCAAACTATATACTGATCGACCCATAGCAGCGGATGATACTTGGCTCGTTACCGATTTTCCTTCAGAGCGAATAAATCTTTTGTTTTGTTTGTATTTTGAATAATCATTTATTGTTATAAATATTATATTATAAATATTATGTAGGAAAATTTTTCTTTCCTCCTTGTTTGTCACACAGTTGAATTACACCTTTTATATTTGAAATACTTATTATTGTATTGATAGAACAGATATGAGGGATGATATTCCTGCGGGTAGAAAGCCGAAAGAAAATTGGAAGTGTTATGTACATAAAAGAATCTTATCTAACTTATATCAATATAAGATTCCTATTTTATCTTATCTTAACAGTTTCATCTAATTTTGAGAAAATGAGTATTGACGTTTGTTAAAATTCAAATTAGACAACTTTCTTGGTATAACGATAGAGTACTTGGTTTTAATGAACATACTACACCATTAAAGTGCTACGGAAACTGGTCCAATTATAAAAATTATTGATTTTTGAAAATTTGCATTTAGAAAATACTGCGAGTTAACGTTTTCGTTCGTTTTCAATTATGTGTAGTAAATCCACTCGGAATACTTTTAATCACTCATAAATTAATTTATTTTTTATTGATTAAGTCGATTAATTACACATATCGGAAAGTTCATGTAAACTTGCCTCAAGGTAAAATACCAATATCAACTAATTTGTTTCCTATTTTAAGAAAGTGTGTATTTTTCCATTATTTTCTTACCTGAGAATTGGCGGTATGTTGATAAGGCGAAGTCAAAGCAGCTGGTGCTGGTGCTTGAGATTGTTGTCTCAAAACGTATTCATCATAAAATTTAGGGTTCTTCAAATAAATTGGTTCCTTCAGTTGCGGGTCCTTGAAATACTGAGGTCCTTTAACCGCATACTGTTGGTCCTTGATCGAGATCGGAATCTGCTGGTAAGGATTTGGGAAGATCGGTTTTGGTTTCCACATCGGTATGTGGATGTGGGATGAAGATTTGTAAGGCCTGTAAAGAATAGAAAATATTGCTATAATAATAATAAACTAATTATGTTTAATGTTTAAGTTCCCGTAGGGTAAGTTATAGTAATCGCAAAAAAATCTAAAATGGAAATTTTTATATGTCTTCACGTTTCATAGGTTTCTGAACATTTTGGCAAACCTTAGGAAAAATTGATGTGTGCGTGTGTGTGTGTGTTTGCGCGGATACAAATTTTGTCGACGATTTGGCGAACACGGATTAACCAATTCGAATGGTTTAAAAAACATTCGATCCCTATTGATAGAGAGATGTGCTCATTAGTTTTTGGCAAAGGCAGGTCTAGCCGTTATGGAGATACGGAGCAAAGAGTGTTGAAAATACAAATCGAGTTTTTGAGAGAACAGAGCATCCGATTTGAATGATCTAAAAAACATTCAATTTGTATGGACTGGGAGAAGAGATGATTAGTTTTTGGAAAAGGCAGGTCTAGCCGCTTTGGAGAAAAATGAAAGTTTTTGAGAGAAATAAGTATCCGATTTGAATGATTTAAAACACTTTCTGCTTGTATTGACAAAATAATTGCTTTTGGCAAAAAAATTTTTGTTTCATTAGTGTCGTCTGAATCAAACTCATGCTGATAATATTCGTCAATCACAAAGTAAGTTGCGCTCATGAGGTTTATTTTACGAAATTGAATAATGTAATTACTACATTTTGCATCTTTATTGAAATAAGCATATAATTCATACGTATTAAACTAAGAACGGATTAAATTCAATGAACGTATGAAAGTAAGAATAGTTTTTGATGCAAAGCAAAAACTATTTTTAAAATTAATATTTGAAAATGTTAATTAAATTGCTAAATCTTAATTATTGTTATTGCTGTATATTATTTTCACATGTCGGGAATTTCAAGCAAATTGTCTTATGGTAAAATGCCACTTACAACTACTTTATTAACTTCCCGTAGGGCAAGTTATAGTAATCGTCCAACAATTGAAAATGAAATTTTTTGCATATTTTCACGTTGTAGGAATTTCTGAACATTATGGCACACCTTAGAAAAAATTGATGTATGTGTTTGAGTGCGTGTTTTGTGTGGATACAAGTTTTCGTCCACGATTTCGGGGGCACGGATCACCCGATTCGAGTTAGTCAATAAAAATACAATTATCTATTGATGGGAAGACGTGCTGATTAATTTTTGGCAAAGACAGGTCTAGCCGGTTCGGAGCCACATAACAAAAAGTGCACAAGACAGAAATTAATGAGATTTTGCTCATATTTTCACGTTTCAACAGTTTCTGAACTTTTAGACACATTTTAGAAAAAAAAAAATTATGTGTGTGTGTGTGAATGTGTGTTTTGTGTGAATACAATTTTTCGTCCACGATTTCGGGCTCACCGATCTACCGATTTAAATTATTCAGCAACAATACAATTTCTATTGATGGGCAGACGTGCAGATTAATTTTTGGCAAAGACAGGGTTAGCCGGTTCGGAGCTACATAGCAAAAAGTGCAGAAGATAAAAATTAACGGACCGATTTTGCCGCATAACAGAAAAATGTTATGGCAAGGCTATGTTATAAAGAACTTTGCATACTAAATATTAACAAAAGCTATTGGCTGCTGTGCAGTCAAGCGTTTTTCAGAAAATCAATCTAGAAACCACACAAATGTCAAAAAAACGATCTTAGATAACATGATGTTTTTGACCCAGCTTCATAACATGCGAGCGACGTTGCAGTTTATGTGTAAAACGCCTGAATGCGCAGATAAGCGCATGACATTTTGAAAGTATTCAGTATGATTCAGTAGCATAATGTATGGAAGTTGGAACATAACATGGCCTTGCGATAACATTTGTCTGTTGTGCGGCAGAATCGGGCCCTAACTTTTAGAGAGTAGAGAGCATCCGGTTCGAATTATTCAAAAATTGTAGGTTTTCAATTGTTTTATTACCTTCTATAAAATGGTGGTCTCTTCGGCGACGGCGGCGGTGGTGGATATCGGTAGATTGCTGGTGGTTTCCTATAAGCCCTGTTGGACGCTTGTGGATGATGGCTCACCATCGGCCACTTCTTGTAAATTGCACCACCTTGAGGTGCTGGCATTCTTGGCGGACGGAATTTGTAACGATATTCTGCATTGCAGACGATGATGGTGCCGAGGAGGAACACCGCCAATGTTATTGAGGGAGACATCTGGAAAAAGAAATATAAAATTTAATAATTTTTCTTGATACTAATTTATTATAATTTAGTATCTTAATGAACATCATTTTTATGTATCTCCATAACAAATCTTTCATTAAGCATTAAGGTCCGCGAAATATACTTTATTAACTAATACGTTTTTTTCTAATCATTCTAATTTTTTTTCTACTTCCGTAGTTATGTTTGTAGAAGTTTTGTAATTATGTGACTGGAGATATTCAAATTTGTAAAATTCGTCATTTTTTGGGCGTTTTTCATAAATGGTTTCATCGACTGATTTTTGCGTATGGAGTCCTTAATTCCTCATTTCAATTTTAAATTGGTTGTGAATCCGAAATTTGATAAAACACCATTTATAATGGTAATTAGATGATAATATTTTAATCGTTATGTACTATGAATGCTATAGCATCCACGACAAGTATTAGGTTTCTATTTTACTCAATGTGTAGAAATAATATTTACAAACGCTTTAAGGTTATATAAAATCAAATTAAAAACTAATGGTGTATAGCATCGTGCCTTAAGGCAAATTGCTGGAACTTCGTACCGTGAAGAAATGATCGAGGAATATTAAATGTTTTCAAATAGATTATTATAAATATTGTAACAATGTCTAATATTTATAGATATTCATTTAAAGTATATAAGTGAGCTTTAGAACTTAAAATTAAAATCTGAAATATTTTCGATATAAAAAAAATTTGTTTGGAAAAAATAAATTGAAATAAGATTTTTTTCCAGAACCAATTGTTTTGTCAACACAAGCAGAAAGTTTATTAAATCATTCAAATCGGATGCTTAGTTCTTTCAAAAACTGCCATTTTTGCACATTTAGCTCGGTATCTCCGAAATGGCTGGATCTGCTTTTGCCAAAAACTAATTACCAATTCTCCCAATCATTACAAATTGAATGTTTTTTGGATCATTCAAATCGGATACTCAGTTCTCTCAAAATTTCGATTTCTATTTTCTGCACTCTTTGCTCCGTATCTCCTTAACAGCTGGACCTGCCTTTGCCAACAACTAATTAGCATATCTCCCTATAATAGGAATCGAATGTTTTTGAACCATTCAAATCGTCGAAATCGTCGACGAAAAATTGTCTCCACACATGCACCCACATACACACACGTTCATTTTTTCTGAAGTATGCCAAAATGTTAAGAAACCTCTGAAACGTGAAGATATGCAAAAAGTTTCATTTTTGTTGTTCCATTTTTGTTTGCCTATTACTATAACTTACCCCACGGCAAGCAATGAATGCTATAGCATTCACCTCCGTTAAGATCAACGATAAAACTACATCTACTTACCAAATTATTCGACTATGACGATGCCTTATTAAAATTCATTACAAAACAGATTCCATTAATTAAATTATCAAAATTTCTTTGACCGATATAAGTGAAATCATAATAATCAGCGATCTACATGGTCGCTGAATCAAGAACACGATAGATAAAAAATTCTTAATAAATTATTCATTAAATTACATGTAGAATTTGCGAACGAATGATTCTGATACACCATTTATCTTCACAGACTTTTTAAAATTTATCTGATGTAAGGCGATCAGTGAAATTGAATCGACAATTGGAGCAGAGATTGATAATAACATTTTGTAAGAATCTGTTTTTTTTAATCAAAACTATGAGACCGATTCTGCCTCATAACAGACAAATGTTAGGGCAAGGCTATGTTATGAAAAACTTTCTATACTAAATATTGACAAAAGCCATGTGATTGATGTGCAGTCATGCGTTTTTCTTAGGTTGTCAGATAGAAAACCTAACCTAGACACCGCACAAATGTCAAAAAAAACGATGTGAGATAACAGGGTCTTTCTGACCCAGCTTTATAACATACGAGTGACGTTGCAGTTTACATGTAAAACGCCTGAATGCACAGCAAATACGTGGCATTTTGACAGTATTCAGTATGATTCAGTAGCATAATGTATGGAAGTTGGAGAGAAACATGGCCTTGCCATAACATTTTTCTGTTAAGCGGCAGAATCGGTCCCATAGGGATGTGTTTTATGAGCTGTCTTTATTAGCATACATCCTAACCTAGCATTTTTCTCTAAAGAGCAACCCAATGGTTAATCACTTTGTTTTTTGCTTGTAAAAAGGTCCAACGCCGATATCTCAAAAATAAGCAAAGTTAGGATTTTTTTGATAACAATATTTAAAAGTAGAGGGCAAAAGGTGTATAACCAGCCATCACCTTGATTCTTACAACGTTGCTATCGGGAGAAAAATGACAAAGTTTAAAAATCCATAACAAAAGTATTTCATTGTTGGCATTTTGCAACAAATTTATTATATGTATATATGCGTCCACCTGAAAATTTTGGCATCTCTTAGAAAAAATAAATGTATACATACTGATATTCTTATAAAAGCTTATATTACATATCGGGATGCTGAACGGGATATTTCACTCGAAGATTCATCTAATTCAGTTCAACAATCAATCACGAGAAATACGAGCGTTATTCTGTATATCTCGATAACTAGATGTAAGAGAATCGTATTTTTGTTTACATTTTTACTTATATACAAATACTGAATATCCTCTGAGTGTGTACGTATGTTTGTGCGAATACCATATAAAACTATTCGAGTTTTAATATTAAAAAGACATGGTGCTGGTTGATTTTAGGCAAAGGCAGTTCCAGCTAATTCGGAGATATGGAGCAAAAAATAGCAGCTTTGCAACCAATAATAACGTCTTTTGGGTGGAGGGGGTATTTGACAAAAAATCACGATACATTACATGGGGTAGGAAGGGGCTAGTAAGATATCAAATGTATTCATTTTTTACCTGAATTTGTGGGAAAATCCAATCATTTTCAAAAAAATACTTTCAAAAAATTTTACTTAACTAAAAATACACGTAATGTTTGGGGGGGAGCGGGATTAATTTTATATATCACGAGGTATCACCTCAAACTCGATCACGTGGTTAATGGACGCCCCCTAAACGTCTATCAATGTTCTATTTATGGGTCAAAAGAAATCGTGGGTGTTTATATGAATTTTTCTCTTGCCGGAGATATTTGCAAAGAATCGGAGCGTAAACCGGTTTAGAATGCAGAAATTACCAGACGATGGTAATTATATCGAATACGAGGTGGTCAGTATAGAGATTTTAATGGTCTGTTGACTTTCATTGCATATTATCGCTATGCCGTGATCCAGTTGGTAATTATCTACACAACTTACTGTTATTAATTATTTCGAGATTGTACAATTTGATTTTAAACGATTTTATTGTCGAAATTAGACGAGGAGTTAGTCGGCACATGTAATTGACTTGATATAATGGTTGTTTCCATTTTGGTAGATTACCAGGTCATTATTTTAAGCAACTGAAGGGGCAATTAGAGCTCATAAAATAGAATTGTCCTGACAACGCTTTTTATGCTTGTTCTTGGTATCAAAAATTATGAAAAGTCTATCTCGATCAGGCGTGTTTTTCATATAAACAAGCAAGGAAAAATATTATGATAACTGCACCATCTAGAATTCTGTTATCATAAGATTATTTCTTGCATGTTTATATGTAAAATACGCCTGATCTCACGGCAAATAAAAAGACATTTTTAACTATTCACTACCAAGAACAAGCATAAGAGAGCGTTGCCATGACGACGCTATTGTATGAGCTCTGTTACAGCAGAGTTGCCCCATGAATATACTCTGTAACATCAATTAGTATAAATTAATTGATTAATATACGACTTGATCAGCATGATTTGAAATTGTTTACTTTTTTCTATTACTTGGCACATCTAATTGACGTGTCATAATATAATTTTCAAATAATTGTTTTCATTCTGGTAGACTGCAGATTGCCCATTTTGTGGATTATCTCATTGTATCATCCATATAAAATCAATGATGATGAAATTATTTATCCAATATCTCTTTCGCAACTAAAGTTTTCTTATGAAAAATTGCGCAAAGTATTAAATTAATTCGAGCCCGTCGTGGCGTAATGGTTGAAAACATGGGTAACCAGATCTCGGTTTGATCCCAACCTTGGCCAGCTCAATATCAAGCGGTATAATATCAAATTTCCACAGAAGGTTATGGATCTCAAATATAGAGCTAAAATAGCCTTTCGTATGCATTGGTGCAACATCTATATGCCAATACTTTTAGATATACAAATCTGATATATGGTAGAGCGGGCACAAAGGTCCAATTCGACTTTGAGCGATTCTATTGTAAAAATAAAACCAATTATATTACAACAAATAACATATATCAAACAAACAACTATCTGACTATTTTCAGTAAAACTCTCAGCTAATGCATGATTGTAGAAATGTGTTTTTCTGCTGCTTTTTAAAGATCTGTCATCTGGTCTATTTTACCCCATATGCGGGGTAAATTGGGACAGCCAGCGGCAAACAGGACCAATGTCATATTTTTAATTTTCAAGGGATTTTACAAAATAATATCTGCATTATTCAACCAATGCAAAATATAAATTTCAAGGGTACATTTTTTCACACTGTATATAACCTTGATCTGGTATTTTGACAAAAATAATCAACAGTAACTTTGGAATAACTATTTTTTTAACTTATCTCTTGTAAAAGTACTTTCTTTAACATGTCGCGATTTGATTTCATATCTTTTATAATATATTATTATTTTGCATACTCTTTTTATCATTATTTTGTACATTTTATTATACTCTTATAATGAAAAAGTTAAATTTATGTGATTTTCATTCAATTTTGAAAATAATCAATTCATTTTCATTTTAATTTTACGCGCCTTAATTTGAATGCCAAACGTTATGCGATTGAAGCGCTATTGCTAAGTAGCGGCCATAGCAATTACTATGCTCTCTGAATTTAAATATGGCGTCTACATTAGCTTGTTGTGTAGGCTTCAAATGTCAAATAATAAGTGTAAATTAGTTGAAATCGTTTGTAATATTCATAAAGATTAATTAAACTAGAGTAATATTGAGTATATTTTCACTAATATTTATTGAGTACACGCGTGTGAGTGCAAATATTTAAAAATGTCAGAGGAAACATTTTTGTCTATGAATGATGAGGCAACGAAAATTGAACCTCCAGAATGTTCAGTAGAAGACATTAAACCCGAAGTTGAGGATAAATTAGATGTTCTTGATGCTATTGTTAAATCTGAATTGTGTTCTGAGAAAGCTGAAACTTGTTTAGAAGAATTCATGAATTCCGAAGTGACTATAGAAGAGGAAGTCAAACATGAGTCAATCGAGACATCCACTTATGAATGTGGCATTTGTAATCAATCATTTGCAGAATCAGATCAATTAAAAGACCACATAGTCGATCACATGCCTAGTCGTAGCAAAGAACAACGCCTTTTCAAATGCGAAGTCTGTCACAGAACTTTCAAACTATCGAAAGGCTTGAGAGCACACATGGTGACACATTCTGAAGAACGTCCTTTTAAATGCGATATCTGCAATCAGTCTTTCAAACAATCATATTCTTTGAAACGTCACATGCTACAACACAAAGAAGTACGTCTACGCCCCCATAAATGCAGTGTATGCGATAAGACATTCACAGAATCAGGCAGTCTGAAAAAACACATGCTCATTCATACTGGTGAGCGCCCTTATGAATGCGATGTATGCAATAAGACCTTCACACACTCGAGTCATGTTAAAAGACACATGCTGACACACTATGGTATACGTCCGCATGAATGCAATATATGCTTTAAGGCATTTTCAGATTTAAGTAATCTCAAAGGTCACATGGTGGTGCATAATGGAGTACGTCCCTATGAATGCAGTGTATGCACCAAGTCATTCGCAAAAACAGCTGATCTTAAAAGACATATGCTCGTTCACACTGGATTACGCCCCTACGAATGCAGTATATGCGATAAAACATTCACACAATTAAATTATCTGAAAAGTCACATGGTGCTGCATAGTGAAGAAAACCCCAATGAATGCACTATATGCAATAAAACATTCACAGTATCAGCTAGTCTGAAACGCCACATGCTAAGTCACACCAATGAGCGCCCCCATGAATGCCCCGAATGCAATATGACTTTCACACACCCAGAACATATGAAAAGTCACATGATGATTCATAGCGAAGAACGACCCCATGAATGCAATATTTGCAATAAGACATTCAGACAACTAAGTAGTATGAAAAGACACATGCTGACTCACGACAGAGAACGTTGTTTTAAATGTGAAACATGTGATAAGGAGTATACTGAATTGTACAAATTGAAGAAACACATGGCAATTCATGAAAGTCAATGAAATATTAACATAGTTGTTAAATTGCATTTATGTTGTAAAATATTTTTGCATGTAATAGAATGTATAATAGTAAAATATACAGCAAACAATATGCATTTTTAATAATCAAGGCAATTGTTACATATTATTTTGTTTCATGATTATTTTTATTTCATGATTTAGTTTTAAAAATGGTTAATCTTATAGATTTTGATATGCTCTTTGATAAATATATGTTGTCTGTAAACTAAAGACATAATGGAGAAAAGATTTTTTTAAAAATATGTTTATTAAGATTCGACACATGTGTAGAAGTAATTGCAAATCCTTTGCGCAACATTTTTATTATTTTGTGAGAAATTTGGAAATACTATCTAAATAAAAGAAATTTGTGTCGCACAGTGTGCTATGTTCATTCCGTTTATTTATTGTCTTATTGTTATATATAGTCAAGAAAGATCCTTCAATAATTATTCGTTTGAATAAATAGTTGGGTTAAAAAAGTGTATATTGTGTTTTAAAGTATTAATGTGGTTCACAAGTATAATTTTAAATTGTCTGGAATTTTCTGAATTATTTTCATATTGTTATAAACGTTTAATTAAGTCCTGGCACGTTTCTTCAATATAAATTAAATTACAGTCCAGATAATTCATTTGATAGACGAGATTTCTGAGTTGTTCTATGTTAAGAGGTTTTGGTTTTGGTAAAAATAGTGCTAGTCGTTATAGTAAAATTGTTTACAGATAATACATATATTACACACTTTCTATTTGTGATTTTTTAAGTTAGTATTTTGTGAAATATTATTTAATTACAAGTTCAATATTTATATTACATAGTGTAGTGCATTACCAGCATATCCTGATACCATCAATTATCAAATTTTCTGTTTTTACACTAAGATTAACTAATTGTAAGTACTTTTCACTCTTTATAATTTTATTTTCAATTTAATTGTTTTAAAATTTCATAGAAAAGAATGAAGGCTAGGATTATAGCTGAAACATATGGATGTAACATAAATTTTTGAAAGAAATTGATGATTTTATTGATGTTATGCCCGATTATTAGACTTTCTATATATATATATATATATATATATATATATATATATATATATATATAAATATAAAGCGAGAGGTTTTTTCATAATAAAGTTGCTCTTGGGCATCCATCCAATAATAAAAACGATTTTATTGTAGAAAAATGTTTTTACTGTAATATCATAAGTTTGGGGTCCTGATTTGACCCATCTTCAATGCATAGAAATAAACTAAAGAAAAAAAAACACACGAAAATATATGAACACCAATTGATAAGTTTTGACAATTTTTAGTAAATATTAAACAAAATACAAAAAAAAAAATAATATTTTTTTTTTTAAAAAGACTCTTCTTGTATCACTTGTGAAACAAACTCCAAACGAATAACATGTCTTTATGAAAAGAGCCCTTTTTTTTAAAAAAAAAATTAATTTTATTTTGATTAGTTTAATATTTATTAAAATTTCCATATAACTTGATGTTATATCAATTGGTGTTCATATATTTTCGTGTGTTTTTTTTCTTTAGTTTATTTGTATGCACTGAATATGGAACAATTTTAGAGAATAAAATCGTTTTAATTATATATATATATATATATATATATATATATATATATATGTGTGTGTATGTATTATTTTAGTTTTTTTTAAAGTATATATTGTATTTTATTTATTTGTTCAGTAAGGGAGCGTTCATTAATCACGTGATCGATTTTTTGAAGATTTTTGGAACCCTCATGGTGATTGGCGGCGATTTTCAAAATTACCCCAAATCCCCTCAGCAAAAATCACGTGTATTTTTAGTTACGAAAAAAATTGCTAAATTTTTCAATTTTTTTTGGAAAATGTTTGTTTTTTTTTTAAAAAAAAAAATTCAGGTGAAAAAAAAAATACACGTAATTCTTACTAGACTCCACCTTCCGCCACGTGGTATTTCGTGATTTTTTGTCAAAAAAGTAAATTAAATTGAAAAATACAATGCTACAAAAGATAAATTAAATAAAATACGTATTCCAACTTTGCTGATGATTATTTCTGACGAAATACCAGATCAAGGTTGTATACAGTGTTAATTCTAAAAAATGTACCCATGGAGCTTATATTTTGCATTGGTTGAATAATGTAGCTATTATTTCCTAAAATTCTTTTGGAATTAAAAACAAGACATTGGATCTGTTTGGCCTCTGAATGTCCCATTTTACCCCGCCTATGGGGTAATAAGGACCAAGTAACACATTTTTGAAAAATAACAAAAAACACATTTTTACAATGTTGAATTAGCTAGGAGTTTTACTGAACATAGTCAGATAGTTGTTTGTTTGATATGTGTTATTTGTTGTGATATAATTGGTTTGGTTTTCACAATATAATTGCTCAAAGTCAAATTCGACCTTTGTGCCCCGCACTACCCTATAGTAAAAACCCATAATAATCCCTTTCAAATATAAAGTATAATAACCTATCCAAACCTGTCTATTACAACTTCTGATTCCATTTCAACGAGTTCAGATAAAATCATACGCACACAATTTCTATCTATATTAAAGAGCGACTCGTCTAATTTTATAGAAGTGGAAATTTTTGCTCATAAAAACTGCTCTGGCATCTGGTTAGAGAGATATCTTTCATATTATTATAATAATATCGAATTCTTTAACAAAAAGAGATCAACGAAATGTGTGTCAGTCGGTATACGAACTGATTGACTGACTGACTGTGTTGGTCCATTCACTTAAAATACCAGTTTGATTAGAATTATATATATATATATATATATATATATATATATATAATATAAAACATTAAATTAGCAAATCGGATTTTTTGATGAAAGCATAAACTTCACCTCCGGGTATTTATATACATATTGTATATAAAGAATTTTTCAATAAAATTAATAAAAAAAACAAACAAATGGCTATTATTAACTTCCCGAAGAAGTTTATGTTTTCATAAAAAAAAATCCGGTTCTCTCATTTTGTTTTCTCGACGTTTCAAGCCATTCTGAATCGAATGAGACCAAATTTGAAAAAAGTATGTGCGTGTGTATGTGAACAGATTTTTTGCAGTAAATCGACGTTTTCTCAAAAAGGCCTGGACCGTTTTCAAAAATTTAAGTCATTCGATGTATCTCGATGAGGACTTGAGTTTCTCAGTTTTGTGCGACTATCGGCCGAGCCGTTTCTCTGTAAATCGCTGAAAAGTGAAAAAAAAATTGTCCACGTTTTTGCCCGCAATTCTGAATCGATTTTGAAAATTCAAAAACCGTTCGAAAGATGTTGGTTGGGAATCGTGTTGAAAGCCGACGCCAAAAAGAGTTCCATAAAAATCTGCTTAATTTTTTTTTTCAACAGTTAATTATAAAAAACCGGCTCGGTAGATTTTCACCTAAAACTATCAGTATCATTCCCAACTAATATCTTTCAAACAGTTTTTGATTTTTTAAAATCGAATCGGTAGTTTGTGCTTAAATGTGGACTAAAAGTTTAACACTTTTTTCCAAATTTCAAAGGAATGGCTCGGCCGATCGTCGCACAAAATTGACAAGCGATTGTCCTCATTGAGACACATCAAATGGTTTTTAAATTTCTGAAATCGGTTCAGGCGTTTTTGAGAAAACGTCGATTTTCGACAAAAGATCTGTTCACTACACACACACATACGTTTTCCAATTTTGGTCTCATTCGATTCAGAATTGCTTGAAACATTGAGAAAACATAAAATTACCGAATCGGATTTTTTGATGAAAACATAACTTCTCCTTCGGGAAGTTAAAAATTATATTAAGGTCTCGTAGACTAAACGACAGTGTGAGCACTAAAAAACTAACAAGAAAGAAAATACTATTGTTATGGATTTTTAAAAGATGGTGCCTGGTTATACATCTCTTGTCCTCTACTTTCAAATATTGGTGATAAAAAATTCTTAACTTTACTTGTTTTTGTGATGTCGGTGGTGGACCTTTTCAAGCCCTATGAAAAAACTGATATCTAAATATTATAAGCAGACACTCCAATTTTTGAAGTAAAACTTTTTAAACGCGACTAGGGTGTAAATCCGTACAAATGCAACGGAAGTGCGTTACGGCAGATAAGATAATATAAGAGTCGAGTGCCAACGATTCGTCATTCGCTCTCGATGATATCATTTCTATACGGGTCGATTGTGATTAGTCGTCGGGTATGTGAATAGAGATCTGTTGTTGTATTCGTACCGGCATCAACGTTGTATGTGTACCGATATCAATGAGAAAATCGGCATAGATAAATAAACATTTTAAAGTTACAGCGTAGTACAAATGTTGATTTAATGAACAATGCCTGAATCAGAAGAATATTTTACCCTGTTTCTTGAAAATAATAAAACAAATTAAACATTTGAGCCGTGTACTAAACGTAAGTTTATTGATTAGAAATTATTTTTATATTATTCGTAGTTTCTATAAATCTTTGAAGTTTGGAATGGAAAATATTTTTTAAGCAAGACAGATATTACAATTGTTCAAAGAATGAGATTATATCACCAGCGAAAAAGTAAATAAAAAATACAAGCAGTCAATGAATGTATGTTAATTTTAATTACATGAAGTTCTTTGAACACAATTATTACATGATGAGAGAAGTTGCGAAAACAATATTTGTTTAGGCGTTGTTTAACATAATCCACTGTGTGAACGAATATTATAGAATTTATTAATCAGCAATTACTTCATTTCTCTAATGAAGGTCCAAGTCCTAAATGCTAAATACAATGACAAACCGATCATGTCATATTTGAAGTATGGCTTTAATTACGTTATTATTTTTAAATATTATACATATTTTTAATGCTATTATAAATATATAATTTATAATTTATCATTATATAAATGTGTATAATGGTCGACACTAATAAATGTGTGCATCACGAGTGTTACCATATTACTAATAAGCATTATTCAAAATTGTTATATGATGTATTTGTTTTCACTTAA